ATTTCATATTTAAGTAATAGAAAGCAGAAGGTTATTATCAATGGTAAAAGTTCTTCCGGGTCACCTGTACTAATGGGTGTCCCTCAGGGCTCGATTCTCGGCCCATTCCTGTTTCTGGTGTATATTAATGACTTACCTCACCTTGTAGGGGATAGTCATAGTATTATTTGCTGATGATACTTCCTTGATTTTTAAACTTAAACGTCAATCATTTAAATGTGACGAAGTGAATAATGCTATATCAAAATTAGTGCATTGGTTTAACGTTAATAATCTGCATTTGAACGGAAATAAAACTAATTGTGTTAAATTTATAACAACGAATGTTAAAAATCTGAATACCAATGTGTTTTTAAATGGGGAGGAATTGAGCCCTGTTGTATCCACTGTTTTTCTTGGCATCACTCTCGACGCGAAGCTTCAGTGGGGCGCCCATATATCCAAATTAGCAAGCAGACTAAGTTCTGAAGCCTACGCTGTAAAAAAGATTAGAGGTCTCACTAGTGTCGAGACAGCTAGATTAGTTTATTTCAGTTATTTCCATAGCATAATGTCTTATGGGATTTTGCTATGGGGAAATGCGGCTGATTCAGAAACTATTTTTGTTTTACAGAAGAGGGCCATTAGAGCTATTTACAATCTAAAACTGAGAGTGTCTCTTAGAGATAAATTTAAAGAAATAAATATATTTACTTTGGCCTCTCAGTATATTTACGAAAATTTAATGTATGTTCACAAAAACAAAGATAGTTTTAGTAAAAAAGTGATATACATTCTGTAAACACTAGGAACAAACACAAGCTAGTGATGCCAATATCTCGACTCCACAAAGTCAGTAATTCATTCTTGGGGCAATGTATACGCTATTACAACAAGGTCCCGGAAAGTGTACAGGTTCTTTCTATTACCAAGTTTAAATGTTTTATTAAGCTGAAACTGTATAAAAAGGGTTATTATAGTATAAATCAATACATGGTTGATAATAACTCCTGGGAATGAGGTGGTCACTTCCAAGCGGTTTCTAAAATAAATCAGGTAAATAGTTCGTAATCATTTATATTGTAAAATTTATTTAAAAAAAAGTCCTGCTGGGTTTCTTGCTGGTTCTTCCCAGGACAGAGGGTTTTTTTTCGAACCAGTGGTAAAGTAAAAAATGACTTTCAATAAGAATTACACATGTAATGTATATTGAATAAAAATTATTCTATTTTATTCTATTCTTCCTTGGTTGAGCCGGCCCAATTATCCTACAACTATAATATAGCTGCAGCATGGCTCTACCAAGTATGAAAACTTACTAAGCAATTAAGAGATTGCACAGACTGAATGGACCACAACGCAAACTTTGCACATGTTTGCTCTCGAAAATATAACGGCTCTCCATTATATTTTAGTTGGTGGGTTGAAGTGTAATTTGTTAATTAAATGTCGTTGGTAACTTTATCTCAGGGTAGTATGTGAATCTAAAATAATTTAAGTCGGTTCCGTGGGTGTTTCTAGTTAGTTTGTGAGTCGGTTCTTTAATAAAAAAATTGAAGGAATGAATAATGAAGAATCGAAGCCTTGAATTTAAGTACACTTTCTAAGGCATCTCCACTCGCCATTTAATTTCTCAACTGCAGTTTTAAATAATAATTTCAGCAAATTAATCTTTAGAGTTTTTTGAAATTTAAAAGGTTCTAGGTATAGATTAAAAGTTGAAATTTTAATTTTTACGTCCGGGTCATTAACGAATGGTCCACATCATCAAGGTACCGTAAACGTTCTTACTTTACGTAAACTACTGTTAGTTAAAAGGTCAATTTTTTATGTATTCGCGAATCGCGGACCCTACACATAACGCATACAAGTCATAAACAGTATAATATAATATAAATATTAAATAAACAGTAAAGGACCAATACGTAAAAAAAACTATTATTTAACTTTTACACACACATACGAGTAGTATAAAATATGATGTCTTTGTGAACTTTCACTACAATAATTTAAATTTAAAAATTTTGGATATCTGACTTCAATATAAATTATTAAGAATAACTCAATTTAAATTTGAAAATTTTGGATATCCGACTTCAATATAAATTATTAAGAATAACTCAAATTCAATTAAACTATTGGTCAGACTTTGATCAAATTTATATGATCATGAGAATCACCAGCTTTCAAATAAAAAAGAATCATCAAAATCTGTTCACCCAGAAAAAAGTTATGAGGTAGGTAACACACATAAAAAACATACAGTCGCATTGAGTACCGTCTCATTTTTGAAGTCGGTAGAAAATAATGCAAGTTACATTGCGTTTAAGAGCGCAATTATAAGTTCAAAAAGTTATAGATAGAATTAAATTAATTATCTTTTATTATGATGAAAGTAATTAACGAATACCCATATCAACAATATCAGACCCATATAACCTTTATTCAAATTAGTTTAAATAATTCAAATTTAAGTAATTTAATTTCTTTACAGAACACCAATAATTTATATAAAAAAATACACATTAAACAAATCGTTATTATAATATAATGACGGCTCCGTAGCGCAGTCGTTTAGAAATGAGTAGTGACGTCGGGGGTTCGAATCCCGCGCAGTACAAGTATTTGTATTTAAATAAATGTTCCGGGTCTAGATTTTTTTTTTTATTGGATATGGGTGACAAACGAGCACACAGTCCACCTGATGGTAAGTGGTTGCTGCGGCCCATAGACATCTACATCTATCCTCTGTTACAAATCAAAATGTAGATGCGTTGTCACCCGTGAGGACTAAGATGGAATGCCTCATTTCCAGTAAAAAGGGCCTCCGGCCACCTGCACTCACCAAGCGAAACGCAGAGTTAAACCTCTACTTCACGCTGGTTTTCTGTGAGGTCGTGGTACTACCCCGGTTCGAGCCGGCCCATCCGTGAGACAGCAAAAGCTGCTGCGTGGCTCTACCACTGTTACTAGATATCTGTCTTTGTGAAATTTATGCATGTAAACTCCTTCCCGATACAGGAGAAAAATCTAATAGCTACGACACGGGGTCCCGTTTTTTAATAATTAGATGATTCATGTTTGCTATTCAGCATTGACTCTGTGCAACTCCGTTATGTTAGCAGTGTTGCCAGTTAGTTACATTTTTTACATGTTTCGTAATTTTTGTCAACCCATGTGACTTGTATGTAAGAAAATCTTTTAGGCATATGTATGTAACAATTTTTATATATAAATGTATTTGTGATAAATCCACAATTTCGTTCATCTCGGTTTACCGAATAATCTGAAAATACCGGTTATTTTCAGAAATATTTAGAATTAACTGTTTGTTATTTAAGGTAGATCAAATCAAAATTATCACTTGATAAATGTTACTTTGAAAATGTAACTTTTCAAACACGACAACGTAACTTTTAATCAAATCACTCAGGCAACGAAAACCATGTTACAATACAAGTGCCTCAATATGCATAAATAATTTAATAATTAAAAACATTTCATAAAATAACTTGAGATACTATCGTCATCAACTGTCCGCTGGTTTAAGCTGTCGTCAATATCCCCAAAATGTTTTACAAAGTGATGCATTTATCATACTGTGTATTAAAAATACATCAGATTCGGCTGTATGATCTAAGACCTTTGCCTACTTTTTATTGGCGATTCGTAACAACTACAACGCAGTGCTGCGATTTTAGCGCTTTGGGAACTAGATCTAGCGCTTTTTTGGAATGTATAGCGCGCATTTCGTATTATTTTGGCACCTAGCGCTTAATCCAGCGCTTTTTGGTGTAATTAGCACACATTTCAAAATTGTAGCGTCTAGCGGGTTATCTAAATATTTTATAGCAGCACTATTAGTCCACAACACCGATAATAATAATAATGACCTTTATTATTTTTTCCCGCAAACAGTACATAGCAGTTTATCTTTTTCAATCATATTTTTTCTACAAAACAAAGAGCATGTGAGACGAATCCAAACTAGGATACCCTGTGCTATGGCTCTCCCGGCTCCCCCTTTAGGATGATCAACTTGATTTTTTTACCGACGACTATAAACCCTTTATTAAAGTTTTCGTTCATGGTTTTGGCAACGTATTTATTTTGCTTTATTCAGTTTCAGTCAGTTGTTTAGAGCACAGCTTAGTTACAAGTTAGTTAAAAGTTACTTGTACAACACAAAAAAACTGTGTAGCAACCGCAATCAGATGCTGACATCTGAAACTAAGTTGCAAAATACATTGCACTTTAAAACAATTGATGACATTTTAATTGTTCGTACAGTACTAACTACTGTTGACAGCATTTGCCATAATTATAAGTCGATGTCTTGCGAAGTATTGATACATCAAAAAAATATTGCCAGAAAAAAACTTAATGTTCTTTTCTTTATTATGATTATATTATCTTGAATTATAAATTATAATAAAAAACACAAACTTTGTTTGTAGTTAATTTAACGCGGAATCTAGAGCTTTTTTTAAAGCGCTGTTTTTATGAAATCTAGCGCTTTTCGTGTTGTCCTAGCGCAGAATGAGTTTTTGGATCTGGCAGCTCTGCTACAACGATCAACGATCAAAATGTCGAAATGAAGTTGAAATGATAAACAAACTTTTGTAGTAGTGGGCGTTGCCACACATTGTGTTCATACTTGATAATTCATTGATTTAATAACTGATAAAAAAGTACTGTATGCGAGACATGAGATAAAAATGTGGGTCTTTTGTGATAAAATACACTATTATTAACGCTACTGAAAACAAGAAGAGTAGAATGTGAAAATGTCTAGTTTCGTGTGAAAAAGCCTATTTACTGTGTAGTAATTACATTTAAACTTGATTTTTATGTTTAATGGTAATTTAAGTTTTTAGTTACATGTTGTAATTCATGAAGTTGTTTATTTTTGTGTTATGATGTAAAAGTAACTCAATTAATTTTACGCAAACAATTGATTCATTTGTACATTTATAGGTAAATATACAAATTTAAATTATCTAAAGATCTCAGTATTTAAAATGTTTAAATATATTATAATAGTTATTTTTATGTGTGTCAATATTAATGGTCAGTCGAACAAAGACCTTTACAATGGACAATATAATAATGAGTATTATAACACACGACAAGGCGGTTCAAGAGAATCAAACCTCCCAAAACCTGGTGATAGTAATTATAGAACCTATGTGTATAAAAATAGAAGATATGGTGCAGATCCAAGCCGCTATAATCCTTACAACCCCAACATAAATCAACCTGGAGGATTTCCATACAATCCACTTAATACAGACCCTTTAGATGATCAATTTAAATACAACACTGTAAGTTAATATTTTCAGTATATCTTTATATCATATTTTATAATGTTTCTGCAGTGTGTATTATTTTTGTCTTTTTGTTATTATAACATTACTAAAGGTTAAAAAATTTTGGACAAATGGTTCATAGAAAATGCTATTATGGACCACAACATTTTTTTGTGGTACAGTCATGCTGCAGCGATATTAAGGTTGTAGCACTAATAGGTTGGCTCGACCAGAGAACAACCATGCTCACAGAAAACCATTGTAAAATAGCAGCTTAATAGAACTTGGCTGGGACCCAGTTATTTCAATGCTAAAAGAAATTTTTAAGTAGTTTTAACTGGACATTTTAAAATTTTAAATAACTCATATTCAATATAGCTAATGTGAGTAATACCTTAACCTATACATGTATTAAAAGTACTAATTTGATGATAGATTGTATGATCTTGTCTAATTATCAATTGTCTTTAATGAAAATGTAATAAAAATATACAAAATTTGACTTGCTCAAAGTTCAAAAACTATTAAACAAATTTTGTATAAAAATGGTTAGTACTTATTATAATATTGAGGAATTTATGGATGATAATAACCCCTGGGAATGAGGTGAACACTACCAAGCTTTTTCTAATTTGTTTTGTGTTGTTAATTGTGTAACATGCATGATTGTAAGCTGTTTTTTAAAAAAAAGTCCTGCTGGGTTTCTTGCTGGTTCTTCTCAGGACGGAGGTTTTTTTCGAACCAGTGGTAATTAATCAAGAGTGACTTTCAATAAGTATTAGTTTCTGTTTCTAATGAAATACATAGTTATTTTGGATCTTGACTTGATCTTGAAAATATTTATTATTTATAAGAAAATTATAATTTTGAACTATAAGGCCAAACTTTTATTAAAGATAGATCTTATTTAGGTTAGTATGATCCTAAAGTATTATTGTTAAGAACAATTGTATTTATTGTGATTTTTTTTTATTTTTTTAACATAATACAATTATTTATTTTAATGAGTTATTGTTCTTCATCAGAGTCGGTTCAGTTCAGTTCGGGAAAAAAAAGTCCCGCTGGGTTTCTTGCTGGTTCTTCCCAGGACAGAGGTATTTTCCGAACCAGTGGTAAATAAAATAATGACTTTCAATAAGTATTATGTAATAATCCATATTGAATAAAAATCATTCTATTCTATTCTGATATGTCATTGTTACTGCTTCTTTTTTACATTTTCTATCTTTGAATGATTAACATATAAATGATTAAGGCATGAAGTAACTAGTTAGCATTTTATAACCACAAAACTTTGTGCAGCACATTTAATTCAGTAAAATTTTCCAATGTTGAACATTCAAATTTGTAATAATGAGCAAAGCAAAGAGGAGGCTAAGTTTTGTATGAACACAACAGCTGAGTTGAATGAGAAAAGAGGACACCACATGGTGTGTTATAAGTAAAAGTTTGCAGTTTGTTTTTAAAGTATGTTTTTAAACTACTTCTACATCACCTTTATAACAGGTGTTACACTGTACTACTGAAATTCTCCCCTTACTTCTTTTTCTTACTTCTCCTTACCCTATCTACTTACAAAAAAAGAACACTGAAGAAACTGTTAAGTATAGAATAGACTTCCATACCTTTGTTCTCTTATTGAATATATTATTATCAAACTTAGTTTAATGTTAGTTTGCAAAATGTTTTTTGTTTTGTTTTTTGTCCAATAGAATAGGGACCCAAACAATCCAGATGCTTTATTTCCTGGTGTCTTAGGAGGATGGAGGGAAGATTTACAAGGAAAAGAGAGGAGGGACTCCAAACAATTGAAAAGAGATATCTTTGTCAATACCAACTATGGCCAGGTTCAAGGGTTTAAGGTAAGTTTTGATATCACCATAATCCTAAGAATTAAAGTAAAGTAACAATAAAAGAGCCAAATAATGTTTTTTTAACTCCTAAGAATAAAAAAAAACCATAATTTAACAGTTCCTTTTAATTTTTATAGACCAGGTAAATAAATAATTTAATTTACCTTTAAGTTGTGTGTTAGAAGCATGAAATAATCTATCATCCAATTCCCTACCGTTGGTGTCATAAGCCTTCAAAAACTTGATTAATGTAAAATAATTATTTTCTTATAGTTATGCGAATGCTACACATTGAATAAAACTAAGAGAAAAGAGTTAAAAATAAGTATATTATAACACAATAAAATCCTTAAAAATAGTTTTAATTAATGTAAAATACTTTTATTTTTATGATAATCTATAAATCAATGCTGGATTCCACAAATTAATTTAAATATTTATTAATGTTCCTTTTGTTCTCTAAAGGTATACTTATATGACAATCCTGATCCGAACTCTGGTTATCGGCCATGGTTGACTCCTGTAGAGAGGATACAGGGAGAAGTGTCAGTGTTCTTGGGCATACCCTATGCTAGACCACCAGTGTTAGAAGGCAGATTCAAGGTAAATGTATATCATATTTGGGCATTTCTCTGTAAACTGGGCAACTCGTTCTAAGAGAGTTGTCTAGGCAACTTTGTTGCTTATATATTTAAAAAATCTTATTCAGGGGACATATATCCACCAATTTAATAATAAACGGCAGATGAACCAAAAATATTTCCATTACTTTAGAAAATATTGAGGATTTTATAAAAAATAGATACAGGGGACTGTTGCTTATGTCAGGGGACTGTATTTCAATGAAAAATAACATTTCAGTTCTAAAATTAAATATTTTTATTTTCTAAAAAATTTGCAGATTAGGAATTAAGTATGTAAAGAAACAAAAAATCTACTCTTCTTTTCATCCTTCTCGTCTTTTTATAATATTCTACTCATACTCAAATTCTAACTCTGAAATCTTAATAAGTAATTAATTAAAGTAAAGTATTCAATTAAAATCACATACATTGAAAAAATGTTTAAGTATGAATCTTACACTTTACAATTAGTTTCATATAATTAAAGATAATTATTTATAACTTAGATATGGCACAAATTGGTAAAGAAAAATAGTATTAAGAATTTTATTATATTTTATTACACAAACTACCTATTCCAAATAGAGTTTTAAGCCTTTTTAAAACTATATTTGGAATAGGTAGTTTGTGTATCACCTGGTCCATCGAATTTCGACATCTTCTTCATCAATCTTGTCAATAATGCTCACATGTGTAACACATTCCATATTTCTGGCAAGCAATTTGTCGAGGATGTAATATGTGTTTACTTTTGCTGTAGCAGAACTAGGTCCAGCTTCATTATCAGATTCCGAATCAGTGAACACATCTTCCACGATTAGTTTTAGCTTATACTCATAAATTACTTTTCTGAAGCTAATATCTTGAAATATATATATATTCGTGTGGTTAATGCACAAGCAAGTGTCGCGCTTATCAATTTTGGGCATGATAATCCAAAAAGGTTGCAGTCAACAAAAGGTTTGATAACTCAGTTTGAAATTGCTCTTCTGTTGCTGGAATTTTGTATATATGTCGAGTAACAAATCAATCATGTACGAAAGCAATTACATAGTTTAAAAATATACCGAACACTAGGTTGCAGAAAATGGCAGATACTCAAAGAAAAAAGACTTTTAGCAAAAATTGTTTCAGAAAAGATTGTTGGCAAACATAAGTTAAAAAGTATTGCAGTCTTCTTTTCTTCTTCTTCTTCTTTTATCTTTTTTTATTGCAGTATTTCAATACATTAATTTTTAAGGACTCTAATTTCTTCATCTATTTCTTCTTTATTTTATATCTTAGCATCTATCTTTTTCAAACAATTTCAGCAACTTCAGGTGTTGACTTTTGAGATGAATTAGATACAACAAAATCTAAAGTATTTTCTCTCATACACGTGTTTGTAATACGTTTTTCTTATTGCGATACTTGGTGCAATGCTCTCTTTACTTTTCTTTGCTTACCGGTATTCTGATGGAGTCATATTTTTAACAAGCTTCCTAGCTCCATTTTCTTCTTACTCCCTACGTTCTTCCTTTTTCTACGGGTCGTTTTTAATACGTTCATAAGTCCTTCGCTCGGTGTCTCATTTTCTGTGTAAAATATCCTCTTTAGAGAGTTATTTCTTCCTTGGCGCTATACTTAAAACACACTTATACCTGAAACAATGACAGAGATAATATAAAGACAGTCCCATGGAGGTAGAAACAATTCCATGTCCTATTGACGGACAGGGGACTGTTTAATTTGATTTAATTGAAAGGCAGCACAAAATGTAATTGAATCATGTTATTTTGCTGTACACAGGGAATATTTATCAATTAAACAATATAAAGTTTCCAAGGTTTAAATATGGTACATTAAAAATAAATAAAAAATTAATAATAATCCTTACCAGAGGACTGTCGGCTGTCAGGTTAAGACGTGAGTTCCACGGGGTGACGTTCGTGCAGCACTAAAAAAAAACTTTTCCGAGCACTAATAGCGACACCCGTGCAAACTTCAGATCGTTTGCGTTTTGTTACACGCAGCAATACAATTTTTTTTTTTTTATAGGAGAGGGGGCAAACGAGCATGCGGCTCACCTGATGGTAAGTGACTACCGCCGCCCATGAACAACCGCAACACCAGGGGAATTGCAGATGCGTTGCCGGCCTTTTAAAAAGGAGTAGGCTCTTTTCTTGAAGGTCCCTAAGTCGTATCGGTCCGGAAAAATCCCTGGTGGTAAACTATTGCACAAGGAAGTTGTGCGAGGAAGAAAACATCTTCTAAATCGCACAGTGGTGGACCGCCAATCATCCAGATGTTGAACCTTTAGATTACGTAACGCGTAATTTAAAACATAGACAGGGGAACTGTTCACAAAATGCGGAGACAAACTTTGATTCACTTTTTTATTTTTATAAAATAATATGTATAAAAAAATAAACATGTCCCATTAACACATACACATTATTGTCTCAATAATAAAACGATTTGATTGATTCATATAGTTATTGCCTTAATCGGTTCAGTGCGGGTGACACGCAAGGCTTGCCATCGATTACTTTTGTGTGAGGCGTATGACACGCGAGTCGTGTCTTTTTAAAAATCGTTATAACTCGCTCAAATTGCTTTTTTGGTAAATTTATCCAGAAGAAAATATTCATTATTTTGCGAGTAGTTCAGCAGCTTCGTTTCTGGATATTTTGAAAATTTGAAATTTTTAGGGGTTGACAACCTTTTTTTAACGTGTACATGGTACTATTTTTACTTTGTGGGTTTAAAATCATGTTATGGAAAAATTGTCTAATAAGTAACAAATAATAGCACTCATTGCGATCGCTCACAAACTCAAGTAGTAAATAAATTTCTCCTATTAAAAAAAACAATGCGTTTGTCTTATTGTTTAATTTTGCGTGGTAGAGCCATGCTGCAGCTATATTATGGTTGTAGCACGAATGGGTCGGCTCCACCGGGGAAGGACCACGCTCTCACAGAAAACCAGCGTAAAATAGCAGCTTAACGCTGCTGTGTTACGTATGGTGAGTGTAGAGAACCGGAGACCCTTTTTACTGGCAAAGAGGCATTCCATCTTGGTCCTCACGGGTGTCAAAGCATCTGCATCTTGAGTCTTTATTGAGGATAGATGTAGATGTCTATGGGTCACAGTAACCACTTACCATCGGGTGGACTGTGTGCTCGTTTCTCACCCGATCCTATAAAAAAATTGCTTAAAATGGTTGAACTGCCGTCTTATTACTATCATATGGCCGAATAGACCTACGAAGTACCATATGCTCTTGTGATTATGCTATAAGGTTTATTTTTGCTTGAAACAGTTCAAAACCGTTCATGCATAAAAAAAGTTCGCTAATGAATAGTCTTTTGTCAATTCGCCGCCGTATAGCGCCGGCGTTTTTTTCCTTTTGAAAACACTTGTTTTGCTATTCTTACTAATTAGACGTTTTCAGATCGACTTTACTTTTACATTTGTATAACATTAAATAATATTTAACATTTGTAAATATCAATGAATAATATACCTTTTTTTTTTCAAATTAAGGTTCTTCGTTGTTTGATATTTACAAATGTTATTATTAGGTGAAAATTTAATTTAATAAAAACCAAGGTTTCCGGGGTGATTTAGCTGTACCTACTTATATAAATGATATTTTTATAACAACAAAAAATAGTACAAAAGGTTTGTAATCTCTTCATAAAAAAAGTCACTTTTTCTCAATTTCAAAGAAAACGCGTAAAATAACACGTAGTTACTCACTAAAAACAAGTATCCTTCCATTTGTAACTTATGTTTGATGTCAAATAAACTTAATTAGGTCTAAACAAGTAAAAAAAGCATAAAAAAGAACATTACTTTTACACATGGCTTTTACGCTTGACACGCCCAGTGTGTCATAAAATATATGTTCGAGTTGTCGAAAATTGGTGCCGCAACGAATCGGTTAATTAATTTGATCTGACGTGACTATACTGCTATGGTGACACGTCAGCGGACTGTTTTCTGAGGGCTATGAAAACGTTTTTGATACAATAAAGTTTAATTTAATAGATATTACATGCTAAGCAGAGTTAGATTAGGCTATTATCTTTTAAAGTTATCTACAAAATATTTAGTAAATTGTACGTATTTATATAATATTGGCCTGAGACAACGAGTTGCCCAGTTTACAGAGAAACGCCCATTTAATAATGCTTGTAAATTATTAAGTATATGATAATTAGCTATATTGAAAAAATAGTTCATTTAACTTCTGTTTTAATTTTTGAAAACTACAGATCTTTTAAAAAATGAAAATAAATAGCGTTCAACCTTGAACACCATGCTCAACAAGCTCGATAGCATGCACCAATTGGTCTAAAAATGAACATGGACAAGACCAAAATGATGTGTTTAATTCATTTTCAACGCTATGCTCAAGTTGTTTATGAGTTTATGTATTTTGATTAAAAATGCTCAATTGGGTAAGACCAACTTAGATCATGATCAAAGTTGGTGGACTTTGATCTTGTTTAAAGTTGGTCTTACCAACACATGAATTTTTTTAATAAAAAAATTTGTGTTTCGTATGGTGAGTTTAGAGAACCGGAGACCCTTTTTACTGGAAAAGAGGCATTCCATCTTAGTCCTCACGGGTGACAACGCATCTGCATTTTGATTCGTAAACGAGGACAAATGTAGGTGTTTATGGGCCACAGCAACCACTTACCATCAAGTGGACTGTGTGCTCGTTTGTCACCCTATCATATAAAAAAAAAACACCGGATTTGAAATAAAAGACCAACAGGGAGGAATGTCACGATCGCCAATCTACTTGCTTAACGCGCCGGTTATGACAAACTCTACATATTATGGAATAGGCTTTGTGGTAGTCGCGTAAGAAACCACTACCTCATTACTCCGTGGGCTTTGTAAGCGGCGACAGGGGGGAAGCTGAAACAGATGGGCTGCAGCATCTACTAAAAACTACTGTTGTCCCAAACATGGCAACTATGGCAAAATCCCTAATATGAGGTAATCTATGTCAGAGGCCTGTTCTTTTTTTTTTGCGCCCAGAAGCAATGAAATGGGCTACCCTCCGGGAAGCGGGGGGAGGTGGTGAATGCTCTAAGCATACCACGACAGCCGGCTGCGTGGTGATGTGGGACTCACTACGAAACCTAAGTGCCTGCCCACTTTTTTTTGAATTCTGACAATACGCATTGGGGCAGCGTAACGGACATTTACTTTCCCTAAAACTCCCTCAGAAATGAAAGATCTGAGCCCAGCAGTGAGCGTATATAGGCTGTATACGTTTAAAAATGTAAAAAAAATATGTAAAATTACACACAACCTTAAGTTACACTGAAGAAACCGATGTGTAGCAATGGGAGCATGAGTATGATAATGGTACTTCCAAATACCTTTCAAAACCACTGCCTCTTTTGTAGAATAACCCTACCATACATACGACCTATGGTTTAACTGTTGTGTCAAAAAATGTGCTCTAATAACCTGTTCCTAACAGCCACCGAGGCAGCACCCTGGCTGGCAACTGATGCAGGCCGTAGACTGGGGCCCTGCCTGTCCTCAGCCCGTGCGATTCACCGGTGCTACTAAAGGCATTCGCGATATGGACGAGGACTGCCTCTATCTCAACATATTCTCGCCTAATGTGAGTATTGAGTGATACCTACTATAAACTAAATTTTTAAGCAATACAATTTTTGGACGATTTGATTATTGTGATGTAAACATTTCATGATTGTTGCCATGTTCTGATGTCCTGTGTTTAGTATTAGTAGTGCACTTGTCTGGATGCTAGATATTTTTTTTATTTATGTTTAAGGAAACTTTAATAATAATAATATTCAAAACGAACTTTCGGTCAGAGTCAATGTACAGTAGCCATCTTGAACGGGATTAAAGTGCCAGACTGTGTGCACAAACACAGGTGCACTTTTTATTCCCTCACTGTCATAGTCCGATGGGGCCGGTGATTCGACATGACCGGAGAGAGATCAGGCGCAGGACCAACGGCTTTACATGCTTTCCAAGGCACCGCGGTGAAACACTGCTGACACATGAGGGTCACTTTGAATTTCTTGATAGAAAAATCCAATAAAAATTCTTCATTCATTAATGCAATATATTCGCCCAACACCTGTTCCCTACCCGTGGCCATATGATCAGCAGTTGCACTTATGACCACTAGACTACAGCCAACACATTAAAATATGCTGTATCGTTTAGTAAAAGGAAAATTTTCTCTTACTGCAGCACTCGCTGCTCATAATTAATTATTTCGTCAGCCGCCGTGCTAATTGCAGTCACGCGCGCTCCAACGAACTGTAAACCAGAGTTGACCTCACAAACAATATGTGCCGACAATATGTATCTGTGAATTTGCAATTTGCTGCACTGAACCGCTATTTTCAAAAACCTTGGAGGAGGTTCTCAATACAACTGTATTTTTTTTTAATTTGTGTTATCTCAAAACTTTTTTCTAGGTGAAAGTATTTTGACGATTCTTTTTTATTTGAAAGCTAGTGCCTCTCACGTGGTCCCATATAATGTGATTGAATGTGAGAAAAACACAGAGTTTTAGTACAGAAAGATCTCACAAGTAGTTTTTGAGTTATCCTTAATAATGCCTATTAAATTGACTTCGACTACATTGATGATGTTCTCATTTTATTTATATTGAAGTCGGTTGTACCTACAAAATTTAATTTTACCACTTATTTATGCATAATATATTTTTGATCAATTAGGAATAATCCACATTTTGTATGAATATATCATCGCCTCCTCCTCCTCCTCCTCCTCCCCCCCCCCCCATATCGTCGTTCCTTGTCGTGGGTGTCGTAAGAAGCGACAGAATGAAACTGAAACTTTACTCAACTGAACAACGGTTCTACGTGCTTTCCGAGGCACGGGGGTGAAACACTGCCAACTTCCTGACACCGGGCTGCTACTGCAAATTTATTGACAGACTCAACAACTGATTTTAACCCAACCCGAAATGAGGTCCCGGGTAAAAAAAACATTACTAAAGTAGCGACATGAATCTAGCAGATTTTGAGAAATTAAACTTGCAACGAACGTTCGGCTATTATTCGGTATTTGGCTCATTCGCCTTATCGGTCGAATGCCAAATATCTTCGTACTATTCGGCTGTATACCAAATACTTAAGTAAGAGCTTTGGTACGACTTTCCATTGACTCCCATCGAGTTGGGGGATGATACGTATTTATACAGAAAAGTTACACTATTATAAGCACACACACAAAGTTACAACATGCGGAAGCGCGTAATTTTTGAGAAAAAAGTTATTGAAAATCAATTATTCTTGCATTGTTTATGTCTAATCCTACAATAAAACTGACGCCATTTTTTTATTGTTATTGTTAGTCGATTCTTTCCGAAAAATGATGTATCGAATCCCAAAAAATCGATTTCTAAAATATCTATATTTTTTCATGTTTGCATTTATAATGTAAATATAAATCCATTTTATGAGAAAAAAAATCCCCTTCATCATAAAATATAGGGGGACTGATTCAGTAGGATTTCTGTATCTATTTTGAGACTGCTACCTCTCCGGTGCTACGGGAAGAGCAGCCTCTACGCCTTAGCGTAACAAATCGTAGGCATCGGACGAGGAAGAAATCGATCCTTTTCGGAAAGAATCGACATCCCTACTGACAATAACAATAAAAAAATGGCGTCAGTTTTATGGTAGGATTAGACATAAACAATGCAAGAATAATTGATTTTCAATAACTTTTTCTCAAAAATTACGCGTTTCCGCATGTTGTAACTTTGTGTGTGTTTATAATAGTGTAACTTTTCTGTAAAAATACGTATCAACCCCCTACTCGACGGGAGTCAATGGAAAGCTAAGCCTGAGGTTTTATTGTAGTCGGATAAATCGCAAATCTTCGTCACTCGCAAGGGAATCAAAAACTACAGGGTACTTCTCGTGAACTCAGATTCTTAAAATCTGGTACGAAGCAACGTATTATTAGAGCACAGATAAAGGAAAAATTGCGAAAAGCATAAATTTTAGTTACATCATATAATAAAAATATTTTTAATAATTTTAAACTACCTACGGTTTTGCTCGGAACCCTCGGTGCTCGAGTCCAACTCGCACTTGGCCGGTTTTATTTAATTGAAATTTGACATAAAATAATCGGAATATTGGAAGTATAATAATAATTATAAGGTTTTTAGTAAAAACTTGTGATGTTATACGTAATTTTTTTTAATGCGCTTCAGACATGCACAATTGGATTTACCATTAGTTTCTTAAAAATACCACTAACTAGTGTGTAGCAAAAACAAAACTCAAGTGTAAAATTCTCCTTGCGAATTTCCCCAAATGGAATCGTCATTGGACATTGTTTTAACCTGTTTATGTACTTTTGGTATTTATTTTAATAATATTTTCTTGTAATCATTCAAGTAGTCGTATAAGTCCTAGGCACAGAATCAACTTCCATATTATAAAAATTAAAAAAGAACTATCAGATGAATATCTATGCACTCGAATTATAATAATTAAAGTGGAAGATAATGGTGCAGAAAGACTTTTTTTTTTCAATATCAGACAGTAGTTTACTCCTGTTCTTACTAACGAATAAACCTAGCAAGCTAACAGTATAGCAAAATGGCGAAGCAATCAGCTTTGTAGCGGTTTCTAACGGTTGCCGTTGAGTAAACAGTTTCAAAATAGGAGGTTCAGATGCCTGGGTGATCAGTAATCGATTGCTGAAAACAGAATTTGAAAATTCGAATCCGTTCTCGAGATAATCGTGGGACAGACAGACAGATGGACAGACATCGTGAAATCAATAAACCTAGCAAGCTAACAGCATAGCAAAGTGGCGAAGCAATCAGTTTTGTAGCGGTTTCTAACGGTTGCCGTTGAGCAATCAGTTTCAAAATAGGAGGTTCAGATGCCTGGGTGATCAGTAATCGATTGCTGAAAACAGAATTTGAAAATTCGAAACCGTTCTCGACATAATCGTGGGACAGACAGACAGACGGACAGACATCGTGAAATCAATAAGTGACTTCGCAAGCTTCGCCACTTAATAAGTGACTTTGCAAGCTTCGCCACATAATAAACACTACTTCCGCCCCGGCCGAATGCTCTTGCCTAACATTAGGCTATTCGGTCAGGAAGTTCGCAGAATATTTGGTATTCGGCGTGTGGTGGAAGATAGAGAATAAGAATATTTGGTATACTATGCGTTTCAATACGTAATATATCAGCTCAGTATTAACATATATGTAGATTAAAATCCAAGTAAGCGAAATACATATATATAACTAAGACATCACCAACTCTATAATGTATCTCATATATCATTGTGGTTTGCGGTCCTGATATATTAGGTCGAGGAATGAAACGCGCTGTTAGAATATCGAATGGGAGTAATCTATTATTAAACCAGCACACATACGTAGGCATATTCTCGTTTCACTGAAATATTCATTATTTGTTAATATTATATTTTACCTGGCCTATAACAACTGTGTCTTCCAAAATTTTCAATACTTAAAATAATTTATAACACCGATCTAGTAACTATCGAAATTAATCTTAATGTATTTTGATAGATTGACATCGGAAGTAATAAAATTCGAGGGATAGCATTGGACAATTTTTTTTTTATAGGATAGGGTGACAAACGAGTACACAGCCCACCTGATGGTAAGTGGTTGCTGTGACCCATAGACATCTACATTCATCCTCAATAAAGAATCAAAATGCAGATGCGTCATCGCCCGTGAGGACTAAGATGGAATGCCTCTTTTCCAGTAAACTGGGTTTCCGGTTCTCTACACTCACCATACGAAACAGAGCAGCATTAAGCTGCTATTTTACGCTGGTATTCTGTGAGAGCGTGGTAGTTCCTTGGTCGAGCCGACCAATTCGTGCTACAACTATACAACTCAAATAGCTGCAGCATGGCTCTAGCACGTAAAATTCATTCAACTCCGTGCCTCGGAAAGCATGTAAATCTGTTGCTGCTGCGCCTGATCTCTCTCATGTCGTGTCAGATAACCGTCCCATCGGACTATAAGAGTAAGAGAATAGATGTAGATGTCTATGGGCCACAGCAACCATTTACCATCAGGTGGACTGTGCGATCGCTTGTTACTTTTATTCTATAAAAAATGAAACACCGCCAACTCTCTGACTTCGGGCTACTACAGAGAATTCTTAACAGAGAAACCCAATAACTGATTTTAACCCGACCCGCGGTTCGATCCCGGGAGCTCATGGTCAGTAATCGCGGCCACTAGACGAACGAGGCAGTCAAAAATTTCTCGCATAGCAGCTTCGTATAGACAAACTCTACTTCGACTTAGGAGTGACCTTCCAGCTGAGTGTATTAGGCTTACGAGGTGATACAGTTCAGGATCCATCGTCTGGTGGCTGTGGCTTTGGTGGTACTGTAAGAGAATACACCCGATATCACCCCTTGGGTGTCGTAAGAGGCGACATAGGGAAATAAAACAGGACATGGGAAGCAGCATCTTCCTAATAATAACAACTCGATAATAGTTAAAAAACTACCATTGCCAACCTGTCAAGCATGATATATAACCTTGGCAAATATCCCCTTTGTGACGCCTATGACCAGCAGTGGGTTTTAATTGGATGAATGAAAAATTGTAGTTCAGAATTGTAGTTTAGGGGAGGTGTAAATTTAACTTTCAAAGTTCTGATAAATGAATGAAGATTCTGGACAGATCCAAGACTTTTTTTATAGAATAAGGATGACAAACGAGCCCACAGTCCACCTGATGGTACCAGTGGATGCTGTGCCCCATAAACATCTACATTTATCCTCGATTAAGAATCAAAATGCAGATGACTAAGATGGAATGCCTCGTTGCCATTAAAATGGGTCTCCGGTTTTCTACACTGACCATACGAAATAGCTGCATTGAGCTGCTATTTTACGCTGGTATTCTATGAGAGTGCGGTCCTTCCCCGGTCGAGCCGACCCATTCGTGCTACAACCATAATGTAGCTGCAGCATGGCTCTACCACGTAAATAGACTGGACAAGTTGGTTTGACCCTAACATGCACATCTCTATCTTGGAAGTAAGAAATAAAAAATTACGTATTCTGCGCCGTAGCAAAAGAAATACCTCCGCATATTTCTACCTGAGGCACAATTTCTAAATGTAAAATCTATAAGTACAGAGCTTAGAAGTGAAATATTATTATAATTAATGGTTCGATATCAGGTTGTTAGGTAGGTAACATTATAATACAGATTTTTCAAAATCTAAATAATATCTTGCTCATTTAATGTTTGTCGACGTAATGCTGGGAAATAAATTGTCATCCGTGATTAGTACATTAAAAAAGATCAATCAGATGCAAACTTTCAAAGCTAAAGGTTGAAATAAACGCAATTACTTGAACTGCAGTAATCAGCGTAACAAGATACCGACGACCGCAGCTGTTCAAAGTCTTAACAAGTTTGGACTACTTATAACTCTTATTACGACTGAATAAGGCACATATAAAGTTATTACATTGTTCAAATATGGCTTGGTAATAATCATCAAAGCAACACCGAACGTAATTGAATAATTCACCTTAATTCCAAGTAATAAGGTTGAATGACAAACATTTAAGTAGGAGCTATCGCAATTGCGATGAGAGCGATTAAAACAGATGTAGGAAGCACTGCTCAAATTGAATCAATTATGCATCATACTAAGCTGACAAGCCTTTGTTTGGTCAACCTCACAACGTGGTTCTATATTTTCTATTTTTTCGTAATCATGTTTTGAACGTATTTCATTGGGGGATAAAAAGCAAATTATAACAACTATATAAGTAATATTTAATGATTAACAACAAATTGATGATGACTGAATGATATCAACCCACCTGCCAAGCGTGGCAAATGGCAACTACGACAAGTGTCTACTCAATGAGGCAATCATTAGAGGAAGCCTGTGTTCAGCAGTAAACGTTAATTGATTGTAATGAATAAATTAAAAAAAAATTACAGCCAAAGTCAGAGAGAACTGAGTAAATTAAGAGCTCTTTCAACATTTTTTTTTATTATAATCCTTAAAATTATAGTAATTTTATCCTAAAATGTTTATTTAAAGTAGGTCACCTATAAATAAAAAAAACTGCGTATTGACGTTCCAATAAAAGGCACATCATAATTTTAACACGTTTTTATTAGCTTCGCATGTATCTATCTATATATGTAACGGAATCTAAAAGATCGAAGCTTCCTTCCTATGGGCTTTCCAAGAAATTTTGCAATTGAATCACCAGTTTCCTTGCCTATCGGAGCATCAAGTTTCTAGTAGACTGTGCATGTTCCGATTACGACCCTATCAATGCTGGTGTTCCACAAGGCTATGTGCTATCACCTACACTGTTCCTTCTGCATATCAATGATATGTTGCAAACCAGTAGCATTTTTTGCTCTGTCGTCCCACAGCACAGGTGATGCTTTTTACCCCGGCCGTGCCAATATTTATCGGGATCACGTGATCGAGTACCGGAACAAACTTGTGTTTAAAGTCGAGTCGTTGTTAAACAAGGCCTTGTTTTGACAACTAAATATAGTCCAGTTTAACCCTCAGAAGACAGGTTTGCGCGATTACCGCTAAAACGAACCCCTTTGTCGTATCACTTCAATTTCAAGGTACTCCCCTTGCTGCCTCAGCTAGCATCAGAATCCTCGGTGTCGACATATCGAATGATGTGCAGTTTGTGGTCACTTGGAAAGGAAAGCTAAATTGGCCTCTAAAAAGCTTGGCGTGCTCAGCAGATTGGGATAGTATTTTATGCTGGTACTCCCCTTGCAACTTTACAAGGCGCAATTTCGGTCTCACATGGAATACTGTTATCATCTCTGGACCGGGGCAACCCAGTGCAAAGCGGCTCGAATCACGATACCATTCACACCATTTGGTTGGCGGTCCACAACTGTGCGTTTTACTAGGAGTTTTCTTCCTCGCACTTCCTCTTTGTGGAATAGTTTACCACCGGTGATTTTACCGGACCGATACGACTTAGAGACCTTCAATAAAAGAACTTACTCCTTTCTAAATGGCCGGCAACGCACCTGCGATGTCCCTGGTGTTGTAGTTGTTCGTGGTCGGCGGTCGACACTTATCATCAGGTAAAACGCATGCTCGTTTGACCCCTCTTCTAAAAAAAAAAAAGATTCCGTTACATAGATATAATGATACAATTTTCACCAATTTGTAGACGGCCGATTGACTTGAAAATTTGCACTCGTAACAAGTTCTGATGACAATACAATAATTTAATAACTTTATCCTAGTATCCTGATCAGGATCACCAGGATAAAGTCAAATAATCATCATAGCTCATCAGGAAGGTTTGAGAAAGAACCCATACTCATAGTGTCCAAGCGTGATGGTATTGCTTTTGACCATAATATGGTAATGGGAACTCACCAATTATATATTTGTATAATATTCATGATAATTTATTAAGAGTTCTTTTTGGTTTCTTGCCTGTTCTTTGAATAAACTTTTTTTTATAGAATAGAGTTGACAATCTAGCACACAGTTCACTTGATGGTAAGTGGATGTAATACCCATCTACCGTTTCATTTCCTCTGATGCCTCTTACAACAAACACGGGATGATATGAGATAGTGCATTCCCTTTCGCCGCCACTACACGGCATTTTACAGATTCTTATTTTTGATATTACGAATTTCTATAAAGCATTATTTTTTTTCCAGACCGAGGCTGGAAGCACAGCACAGAAGTACCCAGTAATGGTGTATATCCACGGTGGCCAATTCTCCTCAGGAGCTTCTAACCTCTTCCCTGGGCATATGTTAGCGGCCTTCTACAATGTCGTCGTTGTGTCTATAAACTACAGGCTCGGTGCTCTAGGTAATCTGTAAATTAATACGTGAAGGGATACCTTTGTACCCATTTTTTTCGTTCATTATTTCGTTCGTTATTTCGTTCGGTTAGTTGCACAACTCGTGCAAGCGCATGTGAGGCACATATGTTCCATTCGACCAGTGAACGTTCAGGGGGAAAGTGTGCAGGGTGTGTGTGAAGTGTGACTCATATTTTATTTCACAATTATACATTTTCATACAACAATTCTTTACAAACAATTACTAATAACTATGTGACACACTATAAAACATACAACAACTCTTTATATGGCCATAAACAATTACTAAGTTTACGTACAATTGTAAACTTGCGTGACTAAAACTTAAATAACTACATAGATCGTATTAAAAGGCATTCAACATTAATAACGTCTTAAATCTAGGCTGTTATTTACAACGTCCATATTATGTTACATTGTTTTTCAACATTGCAACATGTAACAATACTGTACACATTAGAATAACAATGCCATATAACAATGTTATATGACATTGTCGTTTGTCGTTCTGCCGTGCTATTCACAATGTCGACGCAAGAGGACGTTTTGCTAGCTGCTGCAGCAACTCTTGTACTATTAAATAACAAAAGAAAAAAACCTAGATACTAGGTTCGTCCTAGTTTATTGACTAGAGAAAAATACTGTGGCGAAACGATGGTGAATAACCTTATTTGTGAAAATACACTCTATGGAGAATTACGTGATAATGGGAATATTAAAAACTTTCTTCGGATGTCCAGCACAGACATAGAATTTTTAATTATTAACGTGGAGCCGAAAATAATAAAACAAGATACTGCATTCAGAAATTGCATATCAGCTACAGAACCTTTAGCCATAACATTACGATTTTTGGCCAGTGGGAAGTGTCAAAACAGAGTATTTCTTCTATCGTACCAGAAGTGTGCACACCAATAATAGTCTCATTAAAACACGAAATTATGGTAAGTATTTCTTTATTAAAAAATGTTTGTCATAAACTTAAACAAAAATCTATAAATGCTTTGAAGTATTATCCTGTGATTGTTGCATATTTATTAATGTCATCAAAATCTTCCGAAAACTGTGATATGTCGGTGTGTGGTGAATTTGCTGGACCGGAACTACTGCTTTGAAAAGAATTGTGGCTTGTACTAGCGCCGCCGCTGTATAAACCAATTTCAGCTTGGAATATAATGTTGTGAATTTGGTTTTGTACTGTAGCAATAGTATATGGATCCCGTAAATTGCGCAATCTACAAGCAATATGCTCCCCAAAAACGGTAAAATCATCTCGTGATTTGCGCTCAGTATGCAGCTCTTTCATTATGCCGTAAGCTTCTTTCTGAGCTTCTAAACTATCGAAAGTTTTATTCTTTTTCTTGTTTGGAGAAACACGGATTTCTTGAGGTTTCTTTTTTGGAGAAACACGGATTTCTTGTGAATTAGCCTAAAATAAAAAATAAAAATTTACTATCTTTTCCAGATGCCAAGAACGCCTGAAAAGCGGAATGATATCTCAGATGACTTTTATAAATTGTGGCAATTCCCACATTGTGTCGGTTGTATGGATGGAAAGCATGTCATGATACAAGCACCTGCTAATTTAGGAAGTGAATTTTACAAGTATAAAGGGTTTTTAGCGTTGTATTATTAGCACTTGTCGATGCAAAATATCGTTATATGTTTGTTAACGTAGGAAGTCAAGGCCGCATATTTGATGGAGGTGTGTTTTCCAATTCAACAATAAAAACCATGTTGGAAAACGATTTTCTGAATCTGCCTGCTGTGCGTCCGTTTCCAGGGAGGATCTTACCTACACCCTACGTATTTTTGTCGGATGACGTATTCAACATTATGAAACCATATCCAGGACTTCACAATAAAGGTTCTAAGGAACGAGTTTTCAATTATCAACTAAGTGGTACAAGAAACGTTTTTGGGATTATGTCCGCTAAATTCAGTCTGTTGAGAAAACCCCTTCTCCTGAATCCTAAAAAATCATCTGACATAATACTTACATGTGCCTATTTACATAATTTTTTATTAAAAAGTGATTTATCACGATCATTTTATGTTCGTCACAGTATGGATTTTCAACAAAATAATCTTTACTTAGATACTGTAAATCAACTTATAGCTGTTGAATCTGGAAATGATATAACAGAAGCAGTAGAGAAGTTCGAAAAGAATTTGCTGATATTTTTTTAACAAATGTTGGAAAGATACTCTGGCAAACAAATTACTAAATTTTATCGTCGTAATTTCTCATAGTATTTGCCTTGTCTAGTAAATAAACGGTTATAATTACAATGTGCTTGTTATTATTATATACCTAAATCCTAATTAAAAGAAAAAAACAGTTTTTAAAACAAGTTTTTATTACTTGTTACTAAAAAATAAAAAAAATAATTCAATTGCAAGTTCAAGTGCAAGATAAATAAAACCTTGTAATAATAAAAAATACTGTATAAACAAATTCTTTTACCTCTGGAATACCCGCCTCTTTTGTAGAGCGAACCTTGTTTTTATCCTTTAGAAATAATAGCAACTCGAATCCAAACCATTTTGAAGTAAGTTCTTCCGCTCTTGCCCCCGATCTAAGCTTTTTTAATTCTCTTTGAAACTGTCCAATTAAACTTCGCATCTTCTTTTCGATAACACTCTTTTCTGTGTCAAACTTGTCAGCCAAATCCATCCATGCGTCATGTTTTTTGTGGCGATCCTTAAAATGTATACTTGTCGAATCCCACAATTCTCTTTTTTCTTTAAAGTGCTCAATTAGTAGAGCAGTGTTCTCTTTGTTCCACTCCATTTTAGAAACAACAAAAAATGAATACGTTCGTTCTTGGCTAAGCCTACTTAAACACTGAACACTGCCATACTGCCACCTTCGCCCGCCCCGCGCGCCGCCTCCGTCGCATCTCGAGTTACATAACATTTGTGTCACGTTATATAACACGTTTTATAACATTCAGCCTCCACATTACTTACGTTTTATAACATATTATGTTATATAATATGTACGCACCGTAAGAGTTTACACTTGTAGCTTCAGATAGAAAGAAGCAGTCAAGGTGTTCAAATATTTTTAAACAGCGAAAGTGATTATTAATAGTCAACAATACATAGTAGCCAAATTATTGAGAATATCAATCTTCCTCAAATTTATCGGAACACGCACAACTTCAAAACATCAACTTCAGACATTTATGATACAAAAAATTCAAAGTATTCAAAAATTCGGAACTCTTCAGGAATTCCCTCATCTCTTACCTTTTCTTCTTGAAGAGTAGCACATAAGGTTGAACATGGCTAAGATTGGCTCTGCCTACAAGATAGAAAATTAATAATTAGGGTTCCGTACCTCAAAAGGAAATAAACGGAACCCTTATAGGATCACTTTGTTGTCCGTCTGTCTGTCTGTCAAGACCCTTTTTCTCAGGAACGCGTGGAGGTATCAAGCTGAAATTCATACCAAATACTCAAGTCTACTGTCCCTTGGAGCTGTGAAAAAATCAAACTTCTAAGCCAACGCAATCAAAAGATACAGCCGTTTATGCCGCAAATTTTTTTTTCAATACTCAGCTTACTATAGCCAACTTATTTTAATCGTCCTATAGTCCTTTTGTATAGATAATCTATAGTTTTTACAAACAAAAAATTATTATAGTAAAAATATTCTCAGAGCTTTTACAATAAAACAAAACAATATTTGATTTTTATTTTTATATTAATCCACGTGAATAAAGCTATGCGAATGCTACAACTTAACGCTGAGATTCCATAATTAAATTTACAAATCATCAGTAGAGATGGTTTTCAAATAATGTACTGAACAACACATGTCAATAACGTAATGTACTAAATAATAGTAGGCGTAATAATAATGCGTGGCATTAAAAGAGGCATAATCATTTAGTATGAAGTATGATGTAATTTTTTTATAATAAAACTTAGCGCAGAATAAATTGCGCCCTATCGCATAAAGATACCTACGATACGAAACTAATCGAAATAGACTGTTGCCAAAAAGGGCAGTCTACAAGTACAAGCAAGCAAGCAAGTATAATTTGCTTGTTATAAAAAATTATAAATACATTTATATTTTCTTATTATAGGTAAATTGTGATGTACAAAGGGTTATGTAAAGATTGGTTACCCTTATTAAATTACTTACATTTTAATATAATTGTCTATTTTCTGCCGACTTCCAAAGAGAAGACGGTACTCAATTCGACTGTATGTTTTTTTTTATGTATGTTACCTCATAACTTTTTACTGGGTGAATCGATTTCGGTGATTCTTTTTTTATTTGAAAGCTGATACTTCTCGTGTGGTCCCATATGAATTTGATCAATGTCAGACCAATAGTTATTGAGTTATTCTTAATAAGTTATATTGAAGTCGGCTGTACAAAATTTTTAATTTTAAATTATACTGTTGTGTCCCGCGTTTTTGAGTACTTTAGCAGCTTACTACATTACTTGACTGAAACCATATATTTGACGTTGTACATGTTCCGATATGTTTGAATAAAATGGGTGATCTCAAGAATTTGACTACTTTGGATGGTTAAATTTAACTGATCACTTCACACTGAAGTATCAAAATATTTAATCGCCTTTACCTATACCTTCCTTTTGACGCTGACTGTACACTCCCCATTGTCAAATTCAGAGTCTAAACATATGTGTTCTTTCAGGCTTCTTATCCACTGCGGACGAAAACTCCCCCGGGAACTACGGCGTGCTCGACCAGATAATGGCGCTGCGTTGGATCCGGGATAACATCGAGCCGTTCAATGGTGACTCGGGCTCCATAACTCTGTTCGGTCCCGGTGCTGGAGCTGCATCCGCTGGTCTGCTGGCCCTCGCGCCGCAGACCAGCCACATCGTGTCCAAGGTCATCGCTCAGGTGCGTTTTTACACTGGCGTATGTTAACATTGGTTTTAAATTAACTTCCCAAATAGCTAGAGACTACTTAAAAGTTTCACTTTAAATAAAGTTCAGAATTGGATGACAATGGTATAATAGTAAACTCACTTCCTTGTTTGTGTTTGTTTGTTTGTCTGTTCGGTACACATTTTGTAATGGATTTTAAAGTAACTTCCCAATAAGCTAGCGACTTAAAACTTTAAATATAGCTCAGAACTTGATGAAAATCACAATAATCTCACTTTCTAGTCTGTCTGTTTGTTTGTTTGTGTTTGATTGTTTGTCTGTTCGGTACAAATTTTGCATTTTATTTTAAACTGACTTTCCTATGAGCTAGACAGTTGAAACTTTAAACAAAGCTCGGAACTGGAAACATGTAAAGAAAGTGGTCTCTATTTTGAGTTAGAATTATCTTTAACAAACTTTATTAGCTTGACCTGTACATAGTATGTCTCTCTATGTATATAATGGAATTTTATTGTTCAGTTTTTACCCACTAACATAATATGTCTGAATAATCTTATAATATGAAATATTGGAACGAAGTTCCTTATCGGACGGTACGAATTTGGCGAATTGGGGCTAGGCGAGAAAAAGTGTAAGATTTTTCCGTCACGACTCCTTCTGGAGTATTGTAGACAGCCTTGGCTATAAGGAAGCGAGATGGGATAATATCCATCTCCCTCGTAATTTTTCTTATCTTGCCATGAAAGAAACATTATTTTATTTTAAACGACGCTTCATTTTAATAGACGCTAGTAGGTCATTTATTTGTATTTGTAAATCAATAATATAATACGTTTATCAATAATAATATACTACGAAAGGAACTTCGTTCTAACCGAGTGTTCCACTACAACACTCACGCATGTTATTTTAATTCCATATTGTTATTACCAAAACACAAACGTATTTAACTTAAACGTAAACGTAAAACTATAAAGTAACAGTTGACGCCTCCGTAGCACAGTGGTTCAGTAATGAGTTGCAGCGCTAAGGAACCGCGGGTTCGAATCCTACACGGATCGAGTATTTGTATGACCTACAAATAATTGTTCCGAGTCTGGATGCTTCCTCTTGTGAAATTTATGTATGTAAACTGCCCCCACGATACATGAGAAAATCTTAGTGTGGAGGTACATTTTTAAATAAAAATAAAATAAATAACAGTCTATATTCAACCTACTGCTTGAGCACAGGTTTCCTCTCATTTTAGAAGGGTTATGCAGAGGTTAGTCCACCAAGACATCTAGTTTTGGTGAACCGATTTCGATGATTCTTTTTTATTTGAAAGCTGGTGCTTATCATGTGGTCCCATATAAATTTGATCAAGGTCTGACCAATATAGTTTTTTAAGTTATTCTTAATAATTTATATTGAAGTCGATTAATTTTAAATTATTGTTTCGCAGAAATTCAGATTTATATACTATGATGTAAATCAGTGCTTAAAAAATTATATTTCATTGGGGGTAAAGGGAATCCCAATTCTGTCTACCTCTTCGTAGATGCCGAAACTTGTTTTGCGTTGTGTTGTGATGCCTCGTGGGTCTAGTTGTCGTAAGCGCAACTGGTGATCATAAGGTAAAGAAAGGAAAGGTAAGGAATCCCGGGTCAGACCAAAATCAGTTATTACATTTTTCTGTCACGAAATTCTCAGTAGTAGCTCTGGAAGTTGGCGGTGGTTTATCTCCGTGCCTCGAAAAGGCACGTAAGGCGGTGGTTACTGCGCCTGATCTCTCTTCGGTCGTATCAGATTACCATCACCATCGGACTGTGAAAGAATAGAGAGTGTACATGTGCTAGCGTATACACTCGGTCATTGTAATCCTGTCCTGCACAGATGGCTAGCTTCTGTTAAGACGAGCCGCCGTGACCGAAATTCGGTCTGGAGTATATTATTATTATTTACATTTGCATTTACATTTTCAGAGTGGGTCAGCTCTAGCGGATTGGGCGCTGATAGAAGATAAGTACCGGGTACAGAACACCTCGCTCGTGTTTGGTCGTCTACTGGGCTGCCCCATCGACTCATCCTGGAAACTGGTGAACTGCCTCCGACAAGGCAGGAGTTTCTATGAACTGGGAAATGCCGAGTTTCAGGTATAATTTTATTTTTTTAAATAATTTTAACGTTGATTCTATACACTACCATTACAGCCTATGAAAAGTCCACTGCTGATTTGCCCATAGTTATCACGCTTTGCAAGTGATAACAGCTGAATAAAAAAATGCGGTTATTAATTTTTTTTATTCAGCTGTATCAGGAAAATGGTGCTACCCATCTTCTGATTCAGACAATATGGGATAGTGGATATTCTTACACCGCCACTGCACCGTCACAATAAACATATCAATCAAATACATAATACAGCAACATTTAGAGAAAATGAAATGGTTATATATTTTAAATTAGTAATATTAAAAAATGAATAGGGATTAGAACAAATTTCAATAACGATGGTGACTTTTCCTTCAGCCACACGTGGGCTTCATCCCGTGGGGTCCAGTGCTGGAGAACAACTTCACTTTCCCGGGAGACCAGTGGTACGAGGGCTGGCGCGAGCGAGACTGGCATTTCCTGCAGGACAGGCCTGAAGAACTGATCCTTAAACGACAGTTCAATCCAGCCTTAAGGTACATGACCGGAGTCACCACACAGGAGGCTGCTTATGTGCTCTGTGAGTATAGCTACTGATTTTTATTTAAAAAATATAATTATAGACTATATACATCCTTTGCTGGGCACTAGCGATGGGTAATCGACGTATTTGTCGTTAACTAAACTGACCGTCCATTTTCATTCATCGACTAGTCAAAAACTAGTTAAATTTGTTAACTAGTTTACGCGTCAACTTGGTTTAGTGCCGTGCCGTGGTAGTCCACAGGTTAACTGAGGCAGGGGATCCTTTTTCACATACACATCTGTATAATTACTAAATTGTAATTTTTATGAATTTCCGTTTCTCAATGTTGTGTGTTGGTCAAATAAATGTTTCTTTCTTTCTTCTTTCATTTAGACAACTTTACATTTGTCCTTGATTAAGAATCAAAATGTAGCTGCGTTTAAACACCTGAGGACTAATATAAAATAATCCATACCAGTAAAAACTGCGTGCGTGCTTGCGTGCTTGCGTACGTGCGTGTGTATTTAATTAAAACAGATAAAGAAACTGTACTTCTTATTCCTATATTAGGGTGCCTTTGTAATCTATTTTAATTTATTTATTTTTGGTTTTAATAAACGTTAACCTCACGCCAGGATTTTCTATTGTACCGTGGGAGCAGTGTACATACATCAATTTCACAAGGATAAACATCCAGACCCGGAACAATTATTTGTAGGCCATACAAATACTTGTTCCGTGCGGGATACGAACACGCCACTACGCCACGGCGCCAAATTATTTTATATATTTAATGTTTTTTTTTTATTCTTACGTGTTTTTTTTTTGGAGTTTATGGCCTGGCATCTAGACCTTTAGGCCAAGTCTTGAGTATTTTTATTCGGTTTATTATAATTTCCCCACTGTATTTTTGATGAATTTATATAGAGGCACGTAATAGGATCTATTTTTTAACATATCACTCAGGCGGCGGGAGGGATCTTGCACTGTCACTTGATTTTGCACTATGTCACTAATTTCACTGACAAGAATCAATCTGTCAAATGAAAAGCACTCACATGTAAATATGAAATGTTCGATATCACCAACAGAATTATTGCAGAAGGTGCAGTAACTGCTCTCCACTATGCCCAATCGAGCCAGGTGGGCCGGGACGGTGGAGTGACCAAAGCGCAGTCTATTTATAGTGGTAACAAAGTCCCGACTGGCCATTTTCAGTTTGTTATACCATGGTGCTACAGGTAGTTTTTCTTGAACAGTTCCATACCATTTACCCTTCTGTTCTTGATCTTGTTTCCAAATTCTTACGTGTTTTATCGATTACTTCACAGATAATAATGAAAGCCTGGCCCCGACGTACGAGATCAGCGAGGACTGGTTCAACAAGAAGGTGTGGGAGCTCGTGCAGCGGTACAATTACACACTGAACCCGCGCGGCGTGTACGAAGCTATCCGCTACATGTACACCTACCACCCCGAACCACACAACACTAGTGCCATCAGGGACCAATACATACATGTAAGATGTTTTTATTTATAGATAGTTATAAACATTGACTTTAAAATAAAATGCAAACATGTTCACATTCACATACATACGCACGACGCACACGCAACCACTGTGTATGGTCCACCTTTTGTGTGGTCTAGAACCTAGAATGCTGACACAGTTTTCTAGTCATTGTTTGTGAAAACAGTAGAGGCTCCCATCATTGGGACCACAGTCAGTCGGGTCACCTAACATCCGTCGCGTTCGGGCATCCGTCGTTTTCCTAAATGATATTGTACTTTATAATCGAATAAACTAAAACTCCTACCTAACAGTAAAATTGGCATACGTGCTAATTCTCCTCTTGATATATTTCCGAACAGAGTAAAGAAATATCAACTTAGAATTATATATATACATACATTTATAGATATATATTAGAGATGAGCCGACTACGACATTGGCCGACGAGCCAACTGGCCGACTATTCGGTTGTAAAAAGGCCGTCATTGCTTTCGGCGGAGTTCGGATGGTATTATCGGCAATGGCGCTTCGTTGTCAGCGGAGTTGAGTCAGTTAATTGGTAGAGTCGTAACAGTTCAAGATATCCCGAAATGTCGCCTCTTCCTAAAGTGTACCTTTGTTGTGCAGTTAGTTCTGTGTATAGCGATAGACTCTTCGATGAAAATAGCAACATATACGAAAAATGCCCTTTGTGGCAGTCTGGTGTATTTACACCACAATTTGCTTCTTATTATTTAAATTTTCTTATTATAGGCAAATTGTGATGTACAAAGGGTTATATGAGGATTGGTTGTAACCCTAATTAAATTACTTACATTTTTTAATATAATTGTCTATTTTTTGATTTGCCATTATTGCCAAATAATACACAGTGAGTTTTCATTTTAATTCCTACTACCCCTAGAATCTAGGGCCTAGATTATACTTCAGTTCATTAAGATAATACTCATATTGTTATTGTTTATTAAGACATATTGACACTAGCTATTTAGAATTTACTTTTTGTTAATTTTAATTATGCCTTCATGATTTAAGACCAATTATTTACCAAAGCAAAAGTTCGTTATTTTAAGAAGTTTTTATTTCTATATTACAAACTGTAAGACTAATTCGAAATAAAAATTATTAAAACTGAAGGTTTAGATTTTATTTCAGGGTAGTACGGTATGTTTTTTATAAGGTGTCAAAGTTAGGTGATTTTATTTTTTCCACTACGACTAAAAGAAACTACGTTAATTTTAACTAACCTAACAACCTTTTTTTGCTTGTTTTGTGATTGCGATTAATAGCACGTTTATTTAAGACCACATTAGTGAAAAATTCACTGTAAAATTGAGATATTTGTGGACATTCCTCATTTTCATAAATTTGTCAGTTATAAAGTTATAACTGAACTATGGATATGGATTTTTCCCGGGGCTGGTATGAGGCCCCCCCCCCCCTCCCTCTCGCCCCGTGTCCGTTTGACGTGGAGTTTCGGGATGTGTTGTATTTTATCTTTATTTAAATATGTATTTTATCAACAGAAATACATAGAAAAAAAAATGTTAATTGTTAAATATAACTTAAAACCAATTTTTATTAAGTAGTGATTTTGTTCATTAATAAGTACGCGCGATGCTACCTTCTTCCTTTATATATATGACGGCACGTGCACCATTGCACGTGCGGCGGCGTCGGTATAGCTAGACAGAATTCTTGTAAATAACACGTGCTCCGCACACCTGCACCATTGCACCTGCGGTGGCGCCCGTTTAGCTTGTATAAAACGGACGGAGCTGCCGCCGTTAGGACAGTCTTGGCTCTGACGTGGGGTGCGCTTGTCGTATTCCGTTACTAGTTTATCCTCGACTCGTTGGATAATTAATTCGTGTAAACGAATTAATTATTATTCCTAACTACAAAATCAGTCTCTGTACTATACCCACTATACTTCCCACATCAGAAGTGGGATAAAGTCCCCATTTTTGCCCACATACAATCTTCGAATAGTATGAGGATTATTACATTTGTGAAAGACTATAATGCATTCTGCATTGATGATTCTGTTTTTATGTTAAATACCGTAATGAAATTTGCTGTCCTACTTACGATATTGTCGTATCATTAAAGTGTAGAGAAAAGATAAAGTGAAATTATTCAAGCAAAATTTTTAATTTCTTCGATTTGTATTAAAAGTACCCGCAAGTATTTTCATTATTTCTTGACGTACCTAAATATGTTAACAAATGTCAAAAGAAATGTTGGAGGCTTTCTAATTAACTTGTTCTAGTTTTGTTGTAATTTGATAGTTCACGCGAAACATGATTATCATTTGCTATATTTTGAAGTTTAAAACGTTTAAGGGTTGTACTACAATAAAGGATTAACTTTAACACGCTGTGAATTGAAAATAATAAGTGACATTTTTGTGTTTTAATGTGTTGATCAGTGTTGCAATTTGCTCCGGATATTGTGTCGTGGACAAGATTGGGGTTTGATGTCGAGGGATTCGTAGAAGTCTCTACAACAATGATCAATGAGGAAGACGTTGTGATGACTAATCGAACATGGTGAGGTACGGCCGAGCACTGGTTAGATTGAGCCTACACCGCTACAGTCGGTTACTTATCGGCTGATCTTACGGCAGGGCAATTCAAGCGGCCGCCGAAAAAATGGTGCTTTGGCGCTGTAAATGGACGGCTTTCGTAGATTTTCCGCAGTTGCCTCCTTCGCTTCGAGATATGTTGTGGTAACTGTCTCTACACATAGTTTCCATTTTTTTTGCAATGTTTTCAAATGTCATACAGTTGCCGTTTCTTAAGAGAATATGTGATGAATTTTGGAAGCTCGGAATTATATGGTTCGCAATACATTTATGTCTATTTCTTTTAATTTTGCAAAGCATTGCGACGATCCGCTAGCGCTAGTACGGCGCGACGGCTTTCTGGTGCGAATGTGGCACGAACGCAGCAGAACCAAAAACTGTAGTGCGTTTGCCTGGAGGTAGCCATATCGGAGCGTTCCAGACTTAAATTAAGTCTGGGATGGTCGACCATTGTAATATTTAACAAGCGTTAATATCTGTTAGCAGGTGGTGATAACTGATAGACCGTATGCTGTTCACTGTCAACCGCACGAGGACGTGCGACAGTCAGAGGTAGCCGTGTCTCTGCATCTAGAAAATACTAGAGACGTTGCGAAGTAATTATTCTAGTGCAGGAAAGGAACATGAAGTTGCAGGGAGGCTGGTCTGTGCTGCACTGGGATATGTGTCGTGTTGCTGTTGGTTTACATACTTAGGTGTTATTGTGTCTCTACGTCCCTCACGATACACTTTTGTGTGATTGTGACGGGGACATGTTTGCGGTATGGTTGGTCTGTAACTGTTCTATACTGAATTGAAAAAAAAGAGAGTAAGAAAAAAATGTGGTTCTTACTATCATTGCAGGGCGTTTGCCGGTCCAATGATATAGCTACAGGGAATAGTGATTCCGGACTAGCATAAATAGTACTGAAAAAAAAAGAGATTAAGAAAAAAGAATAGTTCTTACTATCATTGCAGGGCTTTGTGCCGGTCCAGTGATACGAGTATAGCTATAGGGAATAGTGATTCCGGACTAGCGAAAACAGTACTTGAAAAAAAAAAAAGTGAGAAAATAGAAAAAAGCTACAGACTAATCATTCCGATCTAACATAAAGATGATTAAAGTTTTGTGGGGCTTACTGCCAGAACAAAACTGACTGTCACCAGAGTCTGAAGGGTCAATATAGACCGGACCAGACGCTGTTTTGTCAGGAGAATCGAACGATGTTTTTCTGTCTACAGATAACTAAGATTGTTATGGAGCGCGTGCGAGGACGCACGCATGTCAGTATGGCCGTGACGGCACGTGCACCATTGCACGTGCGGCGGCGTCGGTGTAGCTAGACAGAATTCTTGTAAATAACACGTGCTCCGCACACCTGCACCATTGCACCTGCGGTGGCGCCCGTTTAGCTTGTATAAAACTGACGGAGCTGCCGCCGTTAGGACAGTCTTGGCTCTGACGTGGGGTGCGCTTGTCGTATTCCGTTACTAGTTTATCCTCGACTCGTTGGATAATTAATTCGTGTAAACGAATTAATTATTATTCCTAACTACAAAATCAGTCTCTGTACTATACCCACTATACTTCCCACATATATATATATGAAACTATTTCTCTTTCGCATAGGGTTTGCTGGAATAGAATTCTTATTAGGGTTAAGCTCGCCTTTGTACATTTTATCAATTTAACTATTTATAAAATTGCTATCATCTTATAGAGCGTACAATAAAGAATAAATTAGATTATTAGCCCTGATTATTTTCCAGCTGCTGTCGGATTTCCTGTACCGTGCGCCGACGGACAAGATGGTGAAGCTGCTGCTGGAGCAGAAGGTGCCGGTTTACATGTACGTGCTGAACACCACCATCGAGGCTTTCCGCTGGCCCGCCTGGCGCCGCTACCCTCACGATGCAGAGCACCTGCTGCTGTGCGGCGCTCCCTTCATGGACCACGAGTTCTTCCCGCGGAGGATGCGCGTCGACCGCCAGGCCTGGACCCCCAACGACAGGAACATGAGCCACTTCTTCATGAAGACGTATTCGGATTTCGCCAGATTCGGGTCAGTGATTGTGTATTCCTAGTCAATTATTCAAAACAAATGATACCCCCACACTAGGTTTTTCTCCGGTATCGTGGAGGCAGCTTACATCATTGAAGTAATATGCACTACGTCCTAAAAGAGACACTGAAACTTGGTTATTTACAACAACTGTTAGAGTCATGAAGCAAATCAAAGATACATAGAGGAGACGGCATAAGCAACTGTAAACTGTAATTTTAAGTAGGTCCTGACGTCACTATAGTAGGCGTGGCCTTAGTTAGTACACTGTCAGCATTCGTCCTGTGCGCTTATGTGTTGAAAGCGGTTTATTTTCGTAGTATTAAGAAGGAATAGGAAGAAAATGAAGATGTTGTGTTTTATCGTGTGAAAACTACTCAGATAGACGCTCTGATGCTATGGATGGCATCACATTTCATTTGTAAGTAATTTTAGACCTAATTTATTAAAATAGTTCTAGAAAAATCTCTTTGCGTCGGCTTTCAAATATAATTAAATATATTCGACCCTAGATGGCGACGCTTTGTGTCATGTGAACTAAAAATATAAAGGTACGTAGAGCTCAGTATTGGAAAAATAATCATACGAAGGTGCTGAAATTTGTTTTGCATTCAGTCCTAAAGAATTTTTAATCGCCAAAATATTATTTTTATAGTTTTTATAATAATTTGTGAACAGGCCGCCATCTATCGTCAAGGTAGCTAAACTACATTGCAACATCGCTATGGAACGATTCGAGTTTTACTATTTATCGGTAGATGTAGAAAGTAAAGTGGGCTTAACATACCCTCACCCCGCAAATTGTCACGCGTTGTTACATAGTGAAATTTAATTACAATACCATCTCTTTGTATTTGCTTCATGTTTAGAGCCCACAGGCTCAAACTTATTTTGTCTGTTCCATAAAAAGAAACTGTGCCTCATTCCACGCGCCCCGCACTGCCGCACAGTAGGATCACTTCCTACGCAGTTCATATCACTTCAATGGTTTACATACATAAATTGCATAAATACAAACATCCAGAAACGAAACAATTATTTGTAGAATTGTAGGGCTTACGAATACATATTTTGTGCGGGATTCGAACGTACAGCCCTCAGAACCACTGATTAATGGAAAGCCACGGATCCGTCAAAAACTGTCAAGTATATAATGTCAATAATTTACTTGGTAGTAGGACTGTTTTTATATAGAAGTACACCGGGGTTGATTTTATCCTCAAAATTAGTTCTTATACAATCCGTACGCATAAATAATGGGATTAGAATGGCGGCTTATCTAGCCCGTACCATCAAGATGCACAATACAAATAGCGAAAACCCGCTAATAACGGTATATCTTTATAACGTAATATTTTTCGGTTAATGGGATTAATTTTAAAATCACATTTATAAATAGCGATCCGTTCTGGCTTCTCCTGGGTTGGATCTATTAATGTGGCGTTATTTGAACTTAACATAATCATTAAAGACCATTTATTTTATCTTATGAATATTTCCATTTAAATAAAATCTCAAAATTTTTCTGATAAAGTTTAATCTAGATCACTCCTGGTATTACTCTCTGTGAAGTTTTATTAGACAAACTAAAATTTTAACTTGTCACACATGTCTCAATGGCGTGTTAATATTTTATACAAAAATATTAACAAACAAAATTAATAATGCAGAAAACTCTCAGAACGCGTCAAGCTCACAAATTAGCAAAACTGAACTGAGTTTTTGTTGTAATTTATGGCATTTTGTTATCATTGATCCCAATGACAAATTGGACTGAAGTTATAGAACGTACGAAAAGCGCATATCACAACGTATTTTTACAGTCTTTACCGGCGAGTATAAATATCGACTGTGTGTGAGCGAAAGGTGAATAGAGGTGACGCCATTTTCAATCCCATTCTTTCCCCGCACTTTATATTAAAGATATTCTTTTTGACAAGAAATAAGTCAAATGAGAATATAATTCAGTAATGTTAGAGTTATTTGGCTAATAACACCGACATCACCGAAACAACAAACAATAGGAATGTACGAATAGAGACATAAATAACAAAATAGAATGACAAAATAGTTTGCTCTTTTACCATTTTACCACGAATAAATAACTAACGGTAGAGTCAATAAATAACCTTTTAATTATCACCATCGTCATTATACACGTCACAAGTCCATTGCTGAATATAGGCTTCCCTAATGGAATGCCCCATAGTACGGTCCTAAGCCTCCTGCTTCCATCGACTTCCTGCAGGTCTTACCAGGTCCTCACTCCGTCTAAAGGAAGCCTTCTTACACTTCGCTTGCTAGTTTGAGGCTGCCACTCGAAAACCTTTTCTACCCATTGAAATAACTTTTGATGTGAGGTATTTTTATTATATTTAAACAATTGTTTTCTTTTAGATTCCTCCTGTTATTGTTATATTACTGAATACGGTTATATTCCGGTCTGAAGATGAAGTTGCATGCCTTAAGCACTTTTTTTTATAGGATAAGGGTGACAAACGAGCACACAGTCCACCTGATGGTAAGTGGTTGCTGTGGCCCATAGACATCTACACCTATCTTCGATTACGAATGAAAATGCAGATGCGTTGTCACCCTTGAGGACTAAGATGGAATGCCTCGTTTCCAGTAAAAAAGGTCTCCGGTTCTCTACACTCACCATACGAAACACAGCAGCGTTAAGCTGCTATTTGACGCTGGTATTCTGTGAGAGCGTGGTCCTTCCCCGGTCGAGCCGACCCATTCGTGCTACAACCATAATATAGCTGCAGCATGGCTCTACCACGTATAAAACTTGCCCTCAGAGTGGACTGAGAACTTGTTCGTTTCTCTTATATGGTCATGCATTCTATGAGATCTACAAGAATTATTTCTGATTGCAGGAACCCCACACGGTCACGAGTCTTAGGCATCCACTTCGAAATGGCGGAGGCTGGGCAGCTGCGCTACTTGAACCTCAACACGACATTCAACTCGAGCATACAACTCAACTACAGACAGACGGAGCTCGCCTTCTGGACCGTGTACCTGCCAACCGTTATCGGTAGACTTGTGCCTACCTACCCACCATTCACCGAAGTATGTATTTCTTAGTTTGGTTTTATAAATTTGACCTGTGTCTATTCTATTCATTACAGCCTATAAAAGTCCACTGCTGAACATAGACTTAACCTATAGACTCTCTCTGGTAGGAGGCATTTTATAGATATGCCATATAATATGCTATAGATTGCCATTAAATCAATACCACAGGGTAGTGTTCTCGGTTGTTTATTATTTTTAATTTATATTAATGATTTCCCAAAAATAATCAAAGCTCCCTGTACCTTGTTCGCCGATGATCTTTCTGTAGTATGTAAAATTTGCGACCCACAAGTTAATCAGCACTGAGTTTTTAAATGTTTTAATTTAAAAAAAAAACTAAATGAATAAACTTAAGCGAGCATTGGATAAAATTAATCAAAATAGGTAAGTATCTGTTTTAGTATAACAATAGAACAATAGGTACCTATTTGCCTTGTTAGAAAACTGATAACTACGTAAGTACCTAGGTAGTAGTAGGACTTACCCACATCTGTTATAATATGGTATATAGGTAAATATTGACATTTTCTGTAAGTTTAAACTAATAAAAAACATAAAATAATCATCGATAATCTCAAGATGTGGATTACGAGTAGGTACTTAGTATTTTTAACGCCACCCATATTAGGTATAAGTGTTAAATGAAACACACAAACATTCAGTTAGGTTTAAGTTTGAACAAATACCTAAATAGGTATTTGTTCAAACTTAAATCTAATGCTTACCGAGAAGAGTAGGTACCTAATGCTTACTTAGAACATAGGTTCAATTTTTTAACAACGAATTTCAGCAGCCATAAAATCCTGATTCTTCATGAAATAGTGTGCTATCAAACTATCCACTCTGGGCAAATTTCCGACTGTCCTTTTACAAAACCTTCCATTCTAGCACTACACGTTTCACTTTAGTGTAGTCGGATTTAGAGGATAATATCATCTCTTTGAAATACAAGCACAAACACTAATAAGAATACAAAAACGATCGAAAGAAAATGAGACGAAACCCGCGTAATTTGGTCGCGGTCTGGTGTAAGTGCGCGTAATCTCTGAAATTCAAAAAGGGCTTAAAATTCTCGTCGTTATAACTTTGGAAATACTGCATGTATTGGAGTGAAATAAAAACTAATGTAATGTGCATGATCTCTGCTACGATTTTAAAAGTAATTGGTAGTAATATTTTGACCCTTTTGTGTTCCCCATTAGTGACGCGTACCTGGACGCTTTTTGATAGTTGTGAAGCATCTCATTTTAGTGCTCAGAGTTACCAACATTTTGATTCTTAATCTTGAATAGATGTAGTTGTCTATGGCTCACAGTATCCACTTACCAGGCCTGTATAAACATTTTAACCGTTTTATTCTTATTGTTACAGTACTGGTGGGAACCAAAGCAACCTCTCCAGATCGCCTTCTGGTCTGTCTCAAGCGCTTGCCTCCTGCTTTTGGTTTTCCTAGTTGTTTGCTGTATGCTTTGGAGGAATGCTAAGAGGTATCATTAACTCAATATATTTATTTGAAATAGATTGGCTTTGTTAAACGCGTGCTTGCTTACTATGCTGCAGAGACTGGGTTAAAAATACAAACCGTAGCCAATATTTGGCCAAAATATTGGTTCACCATTCTAGACGGGGTGGATAATCGGAATTCGTATATTATTTTTCTTCCGAGTTTCTTCCTCGGCTGTGTACAGTCATTTATAGAAACATGATAAGAACTGGCCCAAAAAACTTATTTTAGACATTAGCATACCTATAAAAGTATATTATACATGAAGTATGTAGATGAAGTATGCATGAGGTTTTTGTTAGAAAGGTCAAACCTGAAATAAAAGGAGTGCCTCGCAGCACTACAGATTCATTGGAATCTTGACATAAAACAATTTCAAAGTAAGTTAAAGACAAACATTCAAATAAAAAAAAATTTTTGAAATGCTTGCAAAAACAGTAATCCTAGTGTTACGCTAACACATGTGACACTGTTACTATTACGCTAACACAAAGACATTTAGAGATTGATTGCAAATGTACATTAAAAAATACCAATTTATTAATGATATAAAATTATTTAATAATGAAATTATTGTTGGTAATTGGAAAACTGGATGTTTATTGCAAAAATTTATAAATTACATAATATTATTATTTAAAACGAGAAAGGTTAATTTGATTTAAATGCAGTACGTAATATGATTTATGTTTAAGTTGGTGGTTATTAAAAAATATTGAATAATTAAAGTGATTGCCCAATAGGGGCGAGAGGGGAGGGGGGAGGATTCAAGAGTATATTAATGTTGAGCTGTACTCGGGGTAAAAATTCGGAAGAACAATCAAAAGTGAATTCCGATTAACCACGCTGTCAGGAGTGGATAGATAAACACTCGTTTCCGCGTATCCACCCTAAGCTGGATTTTTTAGGGTGGATAAACGGTATGACCGGCTGCAACTCATCACTAAGCCATTGCGCCACGAAGTTGTCAATCACACCTGCAATCAAATTTATACAACGAAGGCCACGAATACATTGTCACCCCTAAAAACTATGTGTGAATGGCTCACAGTCTGAAATTACACTTGCTTAATAATTAAACTGTCTTATACTTTAAACTTGAATTTGTATATAACAATTTTATGGGTACCGGCCAAGATCGAACCCAGGTTGCTCGCGTACCGTGTGTATAGATAGATAGTAAGTAAACTACAATTTTAAGTTCTGATTTACCATTTGCGCGGCGGTAAAGGAAAACGTCATGGGGAAACCTTCATATTTAAGAAATTAAAAAAAATATTTTGAAGACGTGAAGTCTGCCAACGCGCATTGGGGCAACGCGGTGGACACCCCCTTGCCCTAAAACCCTCTCAGGTATGAGAGAGGACTGAACCCTGGAGTGGGACATATGTAAGCTGTAGTAACTTTACTAACATTTATACTTCAAACTGGAACCCCAAAGTCTTATAGGAGCTCTATACTTGGTATAAGTACTTAACAATTTAAATAAATTATATATGTATAAGCACATAAAATATGGTACTAAACCACTAACATTAGTCGCTTCTGGCTTAACGATACTAACCTCTTAACATTGCAGGGCTGTACCGCCAAAGTGGAAAATGATACCCGCGATGTAGGTGATGAGTACACATTATTTTTTATTAAATGTTTCCTTGCTTCTAGTTGTGTTTTGTGCATAAAATGCATATTTTATGTGGCTGTATTTCCTTTTTATTTTTAAAGTGTGCAATAGAGTAGTTAACACCGTCATTAATACATTACTAAATTATAGAATTTGCTACATTTAGTAGTGCCTTAAAATTTGGGCAATTTTTTTTATTTTTAATTAAATTATGTTTATTATAATTATTTGACTGAAACAATTATGACGTCCTTACACTTTATTCTTATACAATTTCTATAGAAATGTTTCCTTTGACAACCCAGACAGCTGTGTCAAATAGCCAATTGTTAATCCACTGCGGTGCTTAAGTTTAACCCATGTATTATCTCTGATAGTAAACATTTTGCCATAGTTGTCATGCTTGACAGGCGGGCTATCAACCGCAGACTTTTATTATTTCAGTTTATAAGGAAGGTGCTGCAGTCCATCTTCCACGACGCCCACGTGATAAGGAGTAGTTAATATTCAACCCCCCCCCCCCTTCGCCCCCCATCCCCCACTTCACAGTAATTGGTGGACAAGGGCATAGTTATTAAAGTGTTCTGAAAGTTCTTACTTGGATTGGGAATATGGCCGTGTAGGCGATTTATAAAACCTTTAAACACTGAGGACTGATTTTTCAATCTTCCTAAAATCAATAATAAAAAAATTATATAGAATATGTATTTGTTATATTAATGTTATTTATAGAACTGTAATTTATAATTTATGTTGTACTTTATCCTAGGAATACATTTTATCTGAAGTTTGAAAAATCGACCCTTAGTTATATGTGTCTATATGAGTGTATGTTATTGTGACTGTCGCTATGTTTATATGTTTGTGAATAATTGCACCGTTGTTAAGTTTTTCTGTTAATCTCAGAGGTTGACTGGTATAGAGCGAATATACCAACAAGTCTACCTATTTTACCTGAACTATTTAAAGATATATGTAAAGACTATCGGTCCATGATGGGGTCCGCGTGCGTTGAAGTTCTTAAAGGAACTATGTCCGCGACAACTCACTCAAAAGCTAAGCATACGGAATTAGCCTCTTGTAGGCGGTCGCGCAGTGTAGTTATAATTTCATACCTAAAACACGGAGTGAGACTGGCCTGATACAGCGGATAAGGGAGGAAATTCTCGACTGAACGGTGAAGCATTCATGCGTAGTCATATGAATGTGAAAAAAGCGAGAAAGGTGTGTAACAAGATCGTGTCATATGAAAATCCGTTATCCCCGTCTAGGAGACACCAGACAGACACCTGTTTGTATGTAAAACCTTAAATTAGATAATATAAAAGAGATATTGACATATTATAATAGGTCGGGGAATAAGTTTCTTCGTATTTTGTTTGTATAAAATTGAAAAAAAAAATCTCTTTGGTTGTACTGTTTGTATCTGGCTGATTTTAATATCAATACATATAGGACATTAAGAAAAAGTAAAAAACACTTTCCCTCTATTTTTCAATTGTTTTTCTCCCCGCCAAAATGAGTAAATCTAACGAATAAATTCGATACATTCTAAAGTTATATTACAAAAAAAAGTAAAAATGCGACTCAAGACGCTAAAAAAAATTTGTGACGTTTATGGGCTTAATGCTGTGTCAGTAGAAGTAGCACAAAGTTGGTTCAATGTCAAAGATGCAGCTCGCTCTGGTCGCCCTCATACGGATAAAGTCGATGACATTTTTGAAAAAGTGAAGTAATATTAGCATATTAGTATTTACGACATAGTTGAGAATTGACCACAAAACTGTATTGACCCATTTGAAAAAGTGTGGCTATGCAAAAAGCTCGATATTTGGATACCACACGAGCTTACTGAAAAAAACCTAATATGAATCGTGTACTCATTTGCGATTCTCCATTAAAATGTAATGAAACCGAACCATTTTCGGAAAGCTTGATCACTGATAATGAAAAGTGAATCACCTACGACAAGAACGTGCGAAAAGGACCATGGTCAAAGGGTAGTCAAGCTCCACAAACTAGCGAAACCCGGATTAACACTCAATAAGGTGATGCTGTATGTATGGTGGGATTGGAAGGCCATCGTTTATTATGAGATTTTACCGCCGGGCAAAACGATCGATTCGGATCTCTACTGCCAACAACTAATGAGACTCAAGCAAGAAATTGAGAAAAAACGGCCGTAATTGATCAACAGAAAAGGACTGGTCTTTCATCATGATAACGCCAGACCACACACATGTTTGGCCGCTCAGCAAAAATAGAGAGAGCTTGGTTGGGAAGTGTTAATACATCATTAATTATTATTCAAAATATAGTCCTGACCTTGAACCCTCAGATTTTCGTCTGTTTCGGTCTCTTCAGAATTCTTTGGGTAGTGTTAGATTAACATCAAAAGAGGAGTCAAAACTACTTGTCGCATTTTTGATAAAAATTCCAAGATTTATACAGCAACGGGATTATGTCACTACCATGATAAGGTGGCAACAAGTTATCAAACAAAATGGCACAACATGTATATTATAATTAAATGTAATTAAACTTTGAGAAGAAATGTCTTGAAGTTGTATATAAAATACGAAGAAAACTTTCCCCGGCCTTTTATAAGCGATACTGATACATTTATATGTAGATCACAATGACACCAAAACGTTAAACGTCAAGTCAAAACCAACCACGATTGCAGCATGAGTCTACCTCAATACACGAGGTGGACTCATGCTGCAGCTATATTAGGAGTACAGTTGGACCATGAATGCTTACTGCACACATCGTGAAGATTATCACGTATGTTAAAATTGTTACTAATTACCTTGAAATAAACATGCAGGGAGACTGACCGCTTCTATAACGGCGACATCTTCATGGTCCCGGAACTGGAGGCGTCGGGCATAGACAACACGACTCGTTCCCGGGACAACATATACGAGTACCGCGACGTGCCGATTAAACGGCCACATACGCCACAGACTTTAACGAGATCGGTTAGTTATTACCACCAGTACTGCTCACCATTTGATAATAGAGTAATCTATTTACCATTGGTTCTTGCCTTGTAGTGACGGCGTAAGATAATACACGTGGTAAAGCCAGGCTGCAGCTATATTATGGTTGTGGCACGAATGGTTTGGCTCGACGGGGGTAGGACAACGCTCTCACAAAATACCAGCGTAATTAGCAATTAATACTGCTGTGTTTCGTATGGTAAGTGTATAGAACCGGAGACCCTTTTTAACCGGAAAAAAGGCATTTCATCTTAGTCCTCAGGGGTGATAACTGATTACACATATGCATGTAGATGTCTATAAGCCACAGCACCCACTTGCCATGAGATGGACTGTGTGCTCATTTGTCAGCCTCATTCTATAAAAATAAATCCACCACTGTATCACCCCGTAGACGTCGTATTAGGTGACGAAAACTGAAACAGGAGATGGTTTTATGTGGTAGAGCCAAGCTGAAGCTATATATGGTTGCGGCACGAATGGGTCGGCTCGACGGGGGTACGACCACGCTCTTACAGAATACGAGAATGAAACAACAGAATATTGCTGTTGTGTTTGTTATTATATATGGCAGTGTAGGAAACCGGAGACCCATTCTTACTGGTATAGTTCATTTCAAATAGGATGGCAGGATTCCACTTGAGACTTAGCAATTACAGCTGTAATGTTGATCTATTGTTGTGTGATTATTTTATTGCTTTAACACTTGAAGTTAAGCATCTGTTGATAATAATGAACCAGTATAGCTGGAATGACGAATTTTGGTACTTGAACATTAAAACAAATTAAATTGTAGATAAAAAACCTTTATTACTTTTAACTTAACTATTTTAAATACTTATAACAACTTGTTAATATTTTGTTTAATCAATCCTTCTGAAGAACATTCATCGGTATCTGTGTCCTCACACGTATTTATTATAAATGGTTGTATCCGATCCCTCGAAAATTCGTTTTCCACTCTTATGACATGGTCACAAACATTCTTCCAAAAAATTTTTTTAAAGATTTTTTATCTACAATTTAATTTGTTTTAATGTTCAAGTACCAAAATTCGTCATTCCAGCTATACTGGTTCAGTATTATCAACAGATGCTTAACTTCAAGTGTTAAAGCAATAAAATAATCACACAACAATAGATCAACATTACAGCTGTAATTGCTAAGTCTCAAGTGGAATCCTGCCATCCTATTTGAAATGAACTATAACAAGGTATTCAATCTTAGTTCTCAGGGGTGACAACTTTGATTTTAAATCGAACATAGATGTAGATGTCTATGGGGTACAGCAGCAGCTCTGTGTTATCGCTTGTATGGAATTAGACAGTAACTAGGTACTTCTTTCGAGAAAAAGACTTTTTAATCCAGATACCTTCAATCGTTTTATATTAAGACTATTTAATATGTGACATTAAAAAAAAACATATGCAAAATCTTATATAGTAATTCTTTACAGAAAATATGCAATATATACTTAAAAATAACCAGTTATTTCTCGTTTTCTTCTAGGTTATCAACCTTTTATTATTTGTGTAATTAAAACTTTTGCCCCTCTCTCGTAAAACTGAGTTAAGTCTAACTTGGGGTTTTCGTGAAACTGAAGTGCATGGATATCTTCAGACAATTTCAAATAAAAATGCATTGTCATTTGTATTTATCTTGGCTTTCTATATATAGCAATGCAGCCACTGTTATTTGACGGCAGAAATAGCAGATAGAAAATAAACATAGCAATATACATAGTATTTGTTCACGGTTGCGCTTGTAACACGCGTCAGGGTTTACTATACGTATTTGAACTTTAGTATATTATGCTTTTGTGCTTCTGATCACGCGTCCTACACTGCCCCATATATTTTCGAAAATTAAACGACACACAAGATGGACAACGATGTTGTGGATGCAGTATGTTTGTATTATCTAAGTGCGTCGACTTTGAACGCTTTGATGTGCGCTAGAAAACGAACATCGCTTGGCAAAGTATATTTCTTTGAACACTTATTTGAGCATTGATTTAAAGTCCCGTGCCGCACATAGCTTCAAACAAGTGTTCAAATGTTTAAAGCTGTATCTGGCGCTGGTTTTACTTTAATGCGGTTGCCCCATAGGTTTTGAAATGGGACAGCCAGCAGTGATGATGATGATGATTACGATTATGAACAGATAAGCCAGCCGCAAACGCTGCAATCGTCCCGGGCGCCGTCGGAGACGTCGGGGTCGGCGCAGTCGCTGCGGGGCGGCGCGGCGCGCGCGCCCGAGCCCGTGCCGCGCGCGCGCTCGCGCACGCAGCTCGTGCACGGCGTGCCGCAGACCACCGTCTGAACCCGCACCTTACTTACTGACACCTTCACTGCCTCCTTGCTCTAGTACTTGTAGTAGTGCCAATGCTGATTCGAATCCCGAGTCGGCCCAAAAAAAATCACTCGTTGAATTTTTCCATCAAGAAATTCTCGGTAGCTTACCCGGAATCAGGAAATTGGCGGTGGTCCTGCGCTTGATCTCTCTGCGGTCGTGTCGGTTTACCGTCCCATCGGACTATAAAAGTGAGGAAATAGAGAGTGCATCTGTGCTTGCGTATATACTTGGGCACTATAATCCTGTCCTGCACCGATGGCTAGTCTCCGTTGAAACTGGCTGCCGTGACCGAAATTAGGTCTGAAGGACATTATTATTTTTATTATTACTAACACCTAGTGTCGCATTTCGATTGGATACCAACGTTAACCTTACAGGTAATCTATTAGAAGAGTTACGAATATCCTCACGCACATTACTTGTGTATAGAGTGCGACAGGATATGTAGTAATTTTATGCTCTAGTGCCTTAACAATACGATTGCATTTCAATTGGGGAAAAACGTTAAATATTACTCTGTAATTTCCTTTTATTCTATTGTGAGTTCCCGGTGTAGCGCAGATCACCATCTGATTATGGACTTTACCATACTTGTACATACGGTTTCATATTACTTGGGAACAAACACCGAACATTATGAGTAATTTCTTTTATTTAAATTAACGATAGCCGCAATACTAAAGTAACTATATCTCATTCACGGTGGACCGCAACACCACTTGAGTTTTAAACTTAACCTCAATGTTATTACGGCTTAATTTTGATCGTAAACTTAACAAGAAAAGGTATTATTTCTGTATAGATCGAACTATCTGATAACCATAAACAAAATTGAACAATAAGTTTTAGATATTAGGTTTTCATTTTCCTTGACAGAGTAGTTTTAGCAATACGTGAAAAATTTTGCACACATTTTAAGACTTGTTTTTTTACTTTAAAAGAGGGTTAACATAATATGTACCATGGATTAAGCACTTTCCTACAACGTGATTAAGGCGATATTACACAGTTCCTTACTTGCCTTTTGTTTTCAATTAATCATTCAGAATGAAGGATTAAAGAACAGTCTAAGTTATTCGTTATTCGTTCAAGCTATGGTAACAAATATAGGTATCGTTCAATATTAAATGATAATATAAACAGAAAGAACACAAAAAGATATCAATGAATAAATCGAGATTGCTTTTCTGCGCTAATTCTTTTAGAGAACTCTATTTTAAAATTATTATTATAATAATTGTTTTCCCATACACTTAGATATATATATATATATATATATATATATATATATATATATATTAGATTTTTTCTGCTATGTAGTGTTTGTGTAATGTTTTTCAGAGTTCTAGTATTTATTTAAATAGATGAAACAAATCAAGAAATAAAACAAATGTACGTACGTATTGTACTTAGTACATTACACATGATAAATTTACCGGTAGCAAATCAACATACACTATAAATATTTCACTAAGGTCATTAATTGTTAGTTTTTTATGGACTTTTATTATATACTTTATTTAGTTTTAAGTATCATTTTTTAAACCGGTGCTTTTTGGATTTATATGATATATTTTGTATACAAAATTTACAAACATTTTATTTTAATTTCAGTGTATAACACGAGATTTCCACAGCCTAAAGCCCGTGATACACATGCCTGTGTATGGTATGGCAGTATCTAAAACGTGCCAGTGACATGTGAGTGCGACTTGTACATGACAGTCATTCATTCATCACAGCCTGTCAAAAACCACACAGACTGAACATAGGCCTACAAACAGATTACCTCAATATTTGCCATAATTAGAAAGTATTGTTGTTATCTCCTAGTTTGTTTCCCTCTCATCACTTACAATACCCACGGGACTATATTACGAGTAGTGAATATTTTTTGCACCGCTACTACACAGTGTTCAAAAATATCACAAAATTTGTAACATATTGTTGGGAATGCGGGTAAAAAATAAAAGGGTAACAAGGAACAAATGAAGGTAGAAGAAACTTAATCTGCCACCCGTTCTAGCAGTATAAAGTATCCATAAGCGACTGAGAGGGGTCTGTCGGTAATTCTAGTCTAGAGTCTCATGTCGTTATTATGCCCGTTGGGCTAAAACATTACCTCTACACTGTCGTTCTACCTAAGTAAGACAAATGAAGTGGTTCTGTTCGTGAAGTAGTTCTTCTAGTGTAAGCGAGGAAGATCGTGTTGATGAGAGGGTGTCCTGTGTTACATTGAGATAGTAGTGTTGCTGTTGATTTGCATACTTTGGTGTTATCATGTAATTATGTCCTTCGCATTACGAGTACGTCAATGTGTGATTGTGCCGGAGATATATTACGGTTGGTCGAACGTATTTTACGTGGTAGAGCCATGCTGCAGCTGCATGCCAATAGTTGCAGCGTGCCTACCACGTTTAAACTGTGGTTAACTGCTGATTAGATGATTGTAATGCCTTTAAGTACGGATTAGTAAGCTGAAGTGGCAGTGGGCCGGCCATATAATTCGAAGAACCGACAACCGATGGGGAAGAAAGGTTCTTGAGTGGCAGCCTCGTACCGGTAGGCGAAGTGTAGGGCGACCCCCCACGTGAGGAGTGACGACCTGGTAAGACATGCAGGAAGTCGATGGATGCAGTTGGCTCAGAACCGTGCTTTGTGGCATTCCTTGGGGGAGGCCTATGTTCAGCAGTGGCCTGATGAAAGGCTGTAATGATGATGATGAATGCCTTTATGAATTTTAAAAAGAAAGGTCCGTTTCATACTACTACAAATAATAAAACCAAAAATGTTAACATGTAAAAAAAATTAACGGAAGAATGCCTGGTAGAGCCATGCTGCAGCTATATTAGTAGTATAGTTGTAGCACGAATGGGTCGGCTCGACAGGGGAAGGACCACGCTCTCACAGAATACCAGCGTAAAATAGCACCTTAACCAACCTGCTGTGTTTCGTATGGTGAGTTTAGAGAACCGGAGACCCTTTTTACTGGAAAAGAGGCATTCCATCTTAGTCCTCACGGGTGACAACGCATCTGCATTTTGATTCGCAAACGAGGATAAATGTAGATGTCTATGGGCCGCAGCAACCACTTACCATCAGGTGGACTGTGTGTTCGTTTTGTCACCCATTCCTATAAAAAAAAAACTGTATGTTGATCTATACTGAATGTGTAGTGCAGTACGCTGTCTTATTCCTGATAACAATTAATTGCGTAAACAAGAGAGCAAGTTGAACATCAGCTCTCACACTTATTATTTTTAACAACTAACCTTCAGAGTAATTTCTAATATTCTTTTATTTAAATAATTTTGAGAATAGCTTCTAACATCAGAAGTGGGATAGTTTCTTACAATATATTATGAACAATTAAAAAGAAACTTTTATAGCAAGGAATAATAGACGCAAAAGATATTGTTATTGTATAGTCAAACAAAAACTAAAGTAAACTACACAAAACATACAAAAGTACTTGACAAAGGCTGCAAGTTACTAGCAAACACGGTATTTGCTATTATATAGCAAGCTAGATATATACATGCTTAGTACATAGATAGCTCGCCTCTCCTCCCTTAATAGCGTCCCTTATTTCTCCGCAAGGCATGTCCTGTTAAACTCCTGGCATGTCTTCTACTGGCACCTGAGCTACTGGTAATTTTACCAGTAGCTTAGTTTTTCAAGTATGTGACTAACTAACCGTGTAAGAATATTCACTTCCCCATATTTTCCCGTGGGTATTGAGGCTACAGAGGGAAACTGATAGGCAGCTGCAGTTGCCAACTAGCCTGCTCAGCATGCCAACTATGGCAAAATGCCAAAGTAGGCATGCTGAGCCATCTATAAGGGAGGCCTGTGTTCAGCCTTATCTTATCTGCCTATAGGCAGTAAAGGATGAATGATGAATGGCTCAAGTGTTAATTACAGGTATGTGTATCACGACCTTAATATAAATCATTAAATAATATAGGTTTGTAAGTAGTGGTAGTTAAATTACATTAGAAAATAATAGTATTGTTTATGATGTTTTTAATCATGACTTAATTCATATGGTGAAAAGAAAGATATCACTTGTAACAATGCAAAGGAATTATTTGTGTATTATCCTATAAATTGCAACATTTTAACCACCGTTAGATTAAATAGTTATTTTGTAGCAAATGGACAGTGTTTTATGACATTCCGTTAGAGTTGCCATTATCAGTGTTGTAATTTAGACTGAATCAAATCTTAATTAATTTTAATAGTATTCCAACGTGTTGTGATAATGTACAACGCAGAAATTAGTGTTATTATTTACCTTCTATATTATATATTTTTTGCTTTGTCGTTGCTGATACTTTTTCATTTATGTTTAATTAAAATTATTTACACACACATATATATAATGTGTATATTTATTTGAAAGGAAACTTTTCAATTTAGTATGCAACACAAACATTTTATATGTGTCACAGTCAAAGTTAGTTAAAGTGAAAGAGACGGCACGAGCCTTAACGGTTTCTTAAAATTGAGCTGCATTTGAGTATTTGGCCATTAGAGTATCATTTGCACATTTTGTAAAAAATTAAAAGAAAAACATTTTTATAAAATATGTAAACGATAGCGCAAAATTGCAATTATGCATGAACATGGAATTAGAGCTTAAATTCAACGAATTAGCCAATGTTGCAACCACATATACTACCGTCGTTTTAAAAAAAAACTAACTTCAAAACATAAATGAGGAATTATATCAAGTAACTAATATTGTGAATATTGTAATGTTTTTAGTTTTAAGCACGTGTTTGTGATCGTTTGTCCGTCCATTTTTGTGCGATGTTTACATATGTATGTAAGGTATACTCTATTTAAAAAGACAACATACCACTATACAGTTGCCTTACGTAATTATAAAATAAATAAAACATTTTTTTGTTTGACTTTTCTCATTTCCCATGTAGTCATTCCCAGTTAACCTATATGTATAATATCATAGGTTTTTTTTTATAAGACAAGTGACAAACGAATTTACAACTCACCTGATGGTAAGTGCAGTAGTGTAGCGTGCCTTATATGGACCCCGTATCAAAATCTGTTGGGGGGCCCAAATGAAGAGTAAAAGATTTTTCACAAAAGGAACAAAAACTCTCGCAATTGAACTAAATTAATTACATATTGAATATAAGTTATTACTTACTATGAATACTCCTAGGAACTATGCTAGCCAAACAATTCAAATTAAAATAGATATGTACTTTTCTTGCCTTTTGTTCGGCGAACTTATTTATTAAATCATTCATAGCTGAAGACTATTTCAGTTTTTCAAAATTTTCTGCCCTATAGCAATAGTGTCTAGTCTGATAACCTTTCCTTCCATAGAAGTCTTTAGAGTTTTTGCTTATAGATGTTCGGGGCCACTAGCCCGGGGGCCCCGTATCACTGATACGGCGGTAGCTACGCCCCTGGGTAAGTGACTACTGCAGTCCATGATCACGTGCAGTCCATTTCAAACAAAGAAAGCTACATATGCGTTGTCACCCCTTAAGGACTGGATGGATGGAACGCCTCACAGTCTTGTCATTATACTGTCCAACTATTCTCTTCAGGGTTGACAGCAGTACAAGCACTGCTATTTATTTTTAGGAATAGACAATAATAAAAGGGTGGTACCTACCCAGAAGGTACTCCTAAGCCAAACGGGAGTTTATCACCTAGAGAACGTTCAGCTAAGTTTAGTTGCTTTATAAATATTAAGAGACCTTAAAATAATAAAGCAATAGAAATAAAAGCTGTTGCACTAGCGCTACTTCGTTCCGCAACATTCGTAGGGTTTCTAAAGAGTTTTTATATATTCTTTCGGCCCTCGATACACCTAAATACCTCTCATATTTTTACAACTTATTAATAAAAGTAATGCTGAGAAACGAGCATACAGTCCACCTGATAGTAAGTGGATACTGTTGCCCATAGACAACATATATCCTCGATTATCAAAAATATAATCACCATGTGAGCCGTGGTATCTCAGATGCTAAGCGCTCGCAGTAACTCACAGTACTCGAGCAACCCGGGTTCGACCCCTGCCGCACCAATAAAATTGTTAATTGCAATTTTAAGTGCTGATTTAGCACTTACACACGCTTACGATCACTAAACCAACGACAGTCACTGTAACCATAATACAGTTGCAGCGTGACTACCACGTGTAAACTGAGGTTAACTGCTGATTAGATGATTGTAATACATTTAAGAATTTTAAAATATAAAGTTCCCTTTCATACTACTAAGTACAAATTACAAAACCAAAAATGTTATCATGTATAAAAACAACGCAAGAAATTTTCCAAGCTTGAGATCCACAATCCACATCGATTGTTTCACCACAAAACCATCTGTAGTAAGTATATTCCTTCCAAATAACTGCTTTTGCAAAATTAATTAAAAATATTGCAAGAATTATTACACATTTAATGTAATAGTGTGTACAATTTAGTATTACAAAAAGTTATAATTCAATGTAAACAAAAAGTCAACAGTTCATTGCTTCTTTCAATGCTGACATTTACAAACCTCCGGTGGCGCACGAGCAGTGTAACGTGCATCGCACGTGGGACCGCATATGCGTTTCGTCTCGAAACAGCCGCGTGGTAGAAGCCGCCCTGGACGCTCTGTCAAGTCCACTACATAGTTGGCTCGCAATAGTCCTGCTGGGTATTTCTCCTCTGTGGTTTCTGAATCCTCCTGAATAAAAGTCTAAATAATTTTCAAATTTATGCATTTGAAGTTTAGAGCCTGGCAACTTAAAGGCAAAACGCTTGCTTTAAGTTTGATTTTACTCGATCGAACCGTTAAAGTTCGATCAACGCCAACGCCACCGGAATTATCTATACCTATTGTAATTATGATATACAGTAATTCTTAGACGAGCAAGTACGGTAGTAATACATTGCGCACTAAGTTCCGGTCAATTCTCCATAAGTTCTTTAGTCGACTGCAAGCAGGCGAAAAAACTAGTTCTTTGTTTTGCAAAACGCGAACGTTATTTTCGACAATCTAACACTGGTTTTGATTAATGTGTAATTTATGTGAGCACGTTGTCAACGTTATTTGAAGTTTATTTCAGATAAATAGGTATGTAATTTTATTTCGTATTTGCCTATAAACAGTAACTGTCGTAAATGAAAATACGCCCAGCGGACTCCCGCGCGATTCCCAGCTGTGACATAGTTTTTGTTCTGAATTGCCGCTCTAGTATTAGCCATAAAAAACTTAAAACGCCTCTTTTACCATGTTATGCTCAGGGTTAAAGGAAAACATTGTCAGGAATTATATAAATTGTACTAGCTGTTCCCGCGACTTCGCCCGCGTGTTTTTGAGGTTTTATTTTTTTTGCGCGGAACCCTAATTCTTTTTCTAAAATAAAAGTAGCCTTAGTTACTCCATGTGACATCAGCTATCTGCCAGTGAAAATTCCGTCAAAATCGGTCCAGCCGTTTCGGAGATTAGCCTGAACAAACAAACAGACAGACAAACAAAAACTTTAAAAATTGTATTTTTGTTATTAGTTCCGTATATAATTTCATATACATTTAGTAAATGCTGTAATTTTGACATTACGAACAGACACTTCAATTTTATTTATTTGTATAGATAATGAAATAATTTAATTGTGGAAATGTAATAGATATAATTTATCCCTTTCCACCCGAGTTAAACTGATCGTGAGTTTCGACTTTACAAAATTCCAAAGAACAATATAAACAACTTAAGCGGACGCAATCGGCGTCGATCTATCGTGAGTCTACATAAAAATGAGACAAAAAATAGTTTTAGTCTCTGCGCGCGCGTTTCGTCCTGCCACAGTATATATAAAAGTACTCTGTGTGCCACATCGTCGAAAGCCGCATGAGGGATGGCTGCGTTTTTTAATCCCGGTGCCACCGCACGTAAGTAGATCGATTTTTAGTAATTGTATTGGAATATTTCATATTATTTGATGCTATTTGATTAGATACGAGTTCCCGTAGGTTTACTTATCAAGTTTTTGCAAATTGAAGCATTAGTTTTGTAATTATTTTCTGTCAAAATTGAACACGCACGATCATGCAACATCGGTCGTAGCACGTGATGTTGTTACATTTTGTTATTTTGATCCTATACAGTGTTTAAATGGCCTTTTCTTCTTTATTAGGGATTCCAATTACGGATGATGTAATATTAGAACAATTGATGAACGGAAACCTATCGGAGATTGAAGATTTTGATGATGACGACTTGGAATTTGAACCAAATACCCTATTTGATCAATTGGCTTGCGAAAATCTCTTCGATGGTGACAATCCTAATGCAGATGAAGAAACAAGCCACCAAATCTCAGAATTGAAGTGTCCTCCGGTGGTGCAACCTCCATCTACATCGACACCGCAACCTCCTACTTCAATAATGACGCAACATCCTCCTCCACCAAGGACGCAGTCTCCATCAACAATGCAACCGTCTTGCCCATCATTATCATCCACGTCGCGTCGTTATCGAGAAAGGTCAGTATATTTATCCTCTGAGCGATCGAGATCAACCACCAGTACTCGGGGAAGAAAATCGGTGTGAACACCATGTTCTCAAGGGAATAGATCAGCATCAACATCAAGTGGTAGGAAAAGAATATGGAAGCAAGTTCCATTTGTAGATAAACTGCATAACTATCTTCCCTTGCCTAAAAAAGTAGTAAGGCGTCCTATCGACTACTTTCGTGACTACATAGATAACGAATTTATAGAAAGGATATCTCACTGCACTAACTTATATTACTTACGTACTACGGGCCGTGAATTGAAAAGTACAAGCAGTGAGATCGCAAAGCTCCTTGCAATACAAATAATCATGGGTTGTGTTCCTTATCCCCGACTGCCTATGTATTGGAGGGCTGGTACTGGGTTGGAAATTGTCAGTGGTTTAATTTCACGGGACTCAGATTCTCCATCTGCATCCGAAACTGGTAATCCACTATGGAAGGTTCAACCTATGATCGACCAAATTAAAGGTGCCTGTAGTAAATTAGAAAGGGTGCCGGGATTTTACTTGATCGATGAGCAGATGATACCGTTTACAGGCCGCTGTCAACTTCGTCAGGTAGTGAAGAACAAACCTAGGCCTGTAGGGATTAAAAACTTCGTCCTCACAACTAGTGAAGGATTAATGTTAGATTTTGAGTTATACAGGGGTGCAAGGACGATGTTTGGTGATACGAATCTCGGTCTGGGTCCTTCGGTAATCTTACATCTAGCTAAAAGTATTCCCCCAGGTAGCTGCGTTTACCACGATAGATATTTTACCACCGTTCCTTTGATTGAAGAAATGAACAAGTTAAATCTGCATTCGACTGGGACAATAATGTTAAATCGTATCCCTGACCGAGCTACAATAAAATTTAAAATTGATTCACAAATGACTCGTGGTGAAAGCCAACATTTTGTTTGCGAACCTGTTACAATAGTAAAGTGGAAAGATAATAAATCGGTATTACTTGCATCCAACTGTACTGGCTCTGCCGCGACGATTATCGTTAAAAGGTGGGATAAAACCATTAGACAGTACGTTGACGTGACTGCTCCAAAAATAGTAAAAAATTATAATCAACACATGGGAGGAGTTGACGTCCTGGATCAACAGATGGAGTGTTATAGAACTTTTATAAAAACAAAAAAATGGACCTTAAAATTGTTAACACACTTTTTTGACCTCGCGCTCGTAAACTCTTGGAGGCTGTATAGAAACGACTGCAATAGAAACAATTATGCAAGGAAAGATACGATGCCTTTACTCGATTTCCGCTTGGATGTGGCAGATGCCTTATCTTGTACACCAAGTAGAACTCGAAGGGATAGTGAAGATGATGACCAGGTATCATCTCCTCGTCGCGACTACAAAATATACAGACCAGCAAATAGACCGTTAGCAGAAAAACGACATGATGGGTATGAGCATTTTCCCACCAGCGACGACATAAAAGCGCCGAGGACTTGTAGATTGGAAACCTGCAGCAGTCGTTCAAAAATTAGGTGTGATAAATGTAATGTGTATTTATGCTTATCCCGTGATAAAAATTGTTTTAAGGCTTATCATATACAATAATAAGTCGATCTCATTGATTGTAATAAGTAAAACCTAAGATCTTGTTGATTGTTGAAGTAATTATAGTTTATTTTTGATCCAATTATAGAAATTAAGAAGATCTCATTTGTTATACGTGATTTTATAAATAATTACAGTTTATTTTTATATATAATTGTAATACAGACTGATTAAAGTAATAGGAAAACATACATATTCATATTTTATTTTAATTGATGTTTATTATTTCATTTATATAACCTAAACCATTAATTATTTACATACACTCACGATCGTGCGACTAGCAAATTATTCCTGAGCCTCACGTATGTGAGGGTCTGATTGCTGAAGACCAGCTTCCTTGTGATTTTTTTCAGTAATTTTTCCATGACATCTGAACAATTTCCTAACGTATTCTAAGTTCTTACTAATGTATGCGAATTTTTTAACTCCCGGTTGCAAAGGGCTATACAAATAAATAAAATTGAAGTGTCTATTTGTAAGGTCAAAATTACGGCTTTTTACTAAATGCATATGAAAGTATATACGATACTTGTAACAAAAACACAATTTTAAAAATTTTTCTCTGTCTGTCGATCTGTCTGTCTGTCTGTTTGTTCCGGAATCTAATCTCCGAAACGGCTGGACCGATTTTGACGGGGCTTTCACTGGCAGATAGCCGATGTCATAAGGAGTAACTTAGGCTACTTTTATTTAAGAAAAAGAATTAGGGTTTCACGCAAAAAAACTAAAACCCCAAATAACACGCGGACGAAGTCGCGAGGAACAGCTAGTTGTAAGTGACTATAATATTTGTATACCTAAGGGTTGAATGCAGCGAACATATTTTTTTTAATCTATTCTGTCTCATTACCTGTATTCACAAATAAATAAAATTTGAATTGGGAACATGTATGTCTGAGAAGTTATTTAGTGGAAGATATTTAAAATCCGCTTATTTGCAGTTTCTGACACATAAGCACTTTTAACGCTGCTCTCTGTCGTCGACGTTAACCCATCAAAAACATAAATGTAGAAAATTGGGCCTATTTCGCTACAAACGATATTCAGGGTTGTCGGCAAGTAGGTACGGTATGTAGTTGCCCAAATCACAGGATCTATAGGAATAGAAACAACGTTCTAAGAACTGCTATGAGATTCGAGGTATTCAAGTGGTCCTTACCAAGTATGCAAAATAACAAGTGTGTTAATCTAATTGCTTTTGAGTTATGGAGGGTTCAGGGGTAACATGAAATAATTCATAGAAATATAAACACTACCGGTAGAGTTGTATCGCCCTTTTCTCGTTCAAGTTTGGAAATGTTCGTGTGTTGATACTTCCGATGTAGAGACATGGTGACTGTCATCTATAGGAAGCATGAGATGATTTTGGTGTTTCTCATGATCGCCTCTTACAATAGCCGCCCATTCCTCCTACAATGGAAGAGGCAGCAGTGAACTGCGGGTTGCAGAAGTCGGTTGTTAAAACGTAACTCGTCAAGCAGAGTGCACAGGTGAAATTGCGATTTTTAGGCATATTCTAGCCTACACGCCATTTCTTTCTTTGTCAGCCTAGACATACTCGTAGATCTTTCCTTTACAAGGGAGAATTTGCCATACCAGTTACACTTCGGTTGGGCGGGATATTAGTCGTAATCGTTCTTAAGGGGTTACGTACCCGAAGGGTAACCAACGTGACCCTATTACTAAGCCTACGCTGTCCGTCCGTCTGTCTGTCAGCGGGCTGTACTTCATGATCCTTAATAGGTAGACACTTAAAATTTTAACAGAATGTGTATTTCTGTTGCTGATATAACAACAAATAATAAAAATTAATATAAAAGTTAAAGGGGGTTCCCCTACTAGAACCGTGTTTTACGGTGGTATGGAACCTTTCATGTGCGAGTCCGACTCGCACTTAGCCGGTTATTTGCTGCTCCCTATCGCCGGGTTACGTAAATTTACATTTGGTGCTTACTAGCAATATCTGTGGGCCACAGCATCCAATTACTATCAGGTGAATTGCGTATATTCATTTATCATTCTCTTTGTGTCATGACATATACCCTCGATTAAGAATCGAAATGCAAAACCGTTGTCTCCCTTGAGATCCAAAATGAAAAGCCTCGTTTCACCAAAAAGAGTTTTCAGTTCCCGCCCATACTACACCTCACCATACTACAAAATGCCACCTTATTATGCAACTAAGCTACTATTGTATTCTATGAGACCGTGGTCCTTCCCTGACGGAACCGCTTCGCACATAAACACACTACAGCGCACTAACGTCTTCCAGACCGATGTTAGGTTACGGCGTCCATCCTCAACACGGAGGCTAGCGACCTGCGTAGGACAGGATTATAGTATACGAGTGTAAGGGCAATTACAGATGCACTCTATTCCTCTCAAAGACCGATGGAACGGCAATCCAACACAACAAGAGATCATGTGTAGGATCAACGGCTACGGCCAACTTCAGTAGTCGCGCTCACGACTACTAGACGAACGAATAAATCATGCTAAAGCATGTAAGCATGGCCACTATGTAATTAGTGTTGTTCTAGTCTGATGGAGAAGAGACGGATCAGAGAACTAGTTCCCTTTTATTCATCAAGGGTGACTGTGCGACTGTAGTCTTTCTTTGGGGTTGGCTATAATACACGTCGTAGAGGCCACGTTGCAGCTATATTACGGTTGTAGCACGAATGAGTCGGCTTGATCAGGAAAAAACACGCACTCATAGAATACCAGCGTGAAATAGCAGTTTTAATGTTTTAGTATATCAATGGTTTAATGCTGCTGTTTTTCACATGGTGAGTGTAGAAAACCGGAAACCCTTTTACTGAAAATGAGGAATTCCATCGTAAAACTCAGGGGCGACATCGCATCTGCATTTTGATTCTTAACTGAGGATAAATATAGATATGTCTATGGGCCACGGCATCCACTTACCGTCAGGTGCACTGTGTGCTCGTTTATCACCCTTAATCCATTAAAAAAATATTACACAAAAGTATATACCGGGTCTAGTTCAGGCACGGCGACTTCGCACCAGGCGTGTCCGCTGGTGGCGCGGTGCAGGGCACACGGCAGCCCCGAACGATCCGCCAGCACTTTGTAAAGCAACGCCCGCTCCAAACTACCACCGCACTTCACGAAACCCAAACCCACCAGGTTTGAACTCAACTCCATCTACGAAGTTAATTATACCTTGTCAAAATTGGGTATTTTTTAATTATTCATTACAGTCAATGAAAAGTCCACTACCAAACATAGGCTTCCTTAAATAAATTCATAAGTGTATATTTTTTTTATAGAATAAGGGTGACAAACGAGCACAAGGTCCACCTGATGGTAAGTGGTTACTGTGGCCATTACCATCACCATCGATTACGAATCAAATGCGTTGTTACCCGCGAGGACTAAGATGGTATGCCTCGTTTGCAGTAAAACGGGTCTCCGGTTCTCTACACTCACCTTCGAAAAAATGTAGAGACTGAATTAGTAGTACAAGAATGCGTACATTTCAATGCCACCTTTTTTCAGAGAAAATATTGGTGACACCAGATTCTGGATCATTATAAAGTCTATCTTCGTTTCTGCGAAAGCAGAATTTGCAAAAACGTTTATCCATACTTGGATATAGCTGTTCGTGTGGCTCTATGTACACCAGCGACAAATTGTTCGGGTGAGAGAAGCTTTTCTTGCTTAAACCGGGTGAAAAATTGTGCAGTGTGCATAGAGTCAGAACTAATGAACAAGATTACATACGACGATTTAATAGATGATTTTGCGAATAGAAAATCGCGCAAAAAGGTATTGTAAAACTTCCATAACTTAATTGAATTTCATTGTCATCATCAGCCGGATTGTTACCAGGTAATTTATTACAATGTTTTTAAACTGTAAGTAAGCGCAATAAAAATTATTTAATTAGGTTTACTGAATGTATATTATTGTGTAAGTAATATGAAAAAGGTAGTGTAATTAGGACGCTAGTGCACAAATCATAAAGTTACAATTTCATTGAAAAAAAATGTAAATAATATGATTGTGAACTAGGGTATCGCATTGTAGAGGTTGGTAGGGGCGGCAAAATTTGAATAGCCTACTGGCGGCAAATGTGTAAATCCGCCACTGGCGCCACCACTACAACTTTTAGCTCGTTTACCATTTTTAAATAATTAAAAATGGTAAACGAGTTTTTAAATAATTAAAAATGGTAAATAAAAACGCTAAATTAAAAAGAACATCTTATCTCATCAATCATCAAGTTCTACACAAACGAGCTGCTTAAGTATCGTGTGGCTCCAGAAACGATTTGTCATGATCGTAAAACTAGATAGGCTATTTTCGTAATGGTTTATGTCTACGGCAGTAAGTACTGTACTTACACCCTCTAAGCACAACCGGAAACAACTTCGAAATAAGCCAAAAAAATTGTCAGTAAAAATTTTGTTCATATATCAGAATGAAATATAATTAATAAAACATATTTTAATAATACCATCAAATCAGCCAAATGTAAGTCTACACTCGGCAAGGAGCAATCCCGTTCTTGAGTCAACCCGCTCATAGCCTCAGACACGAATTCGGCCAACAGTATCGCTTTCTGTTTCAACGACGTTGACACTTCGTCACATTTGTCCCGGTACCTGACAACATTTTAATACTCTAAAAAAGATGATAAAAATTAATTACAGATCCGCGTAGTAAAATAAAATATTGTCTTACCTAGTTTGAAGAGCACCTACTTCCTTCCCTCAATTGCGTACACTATCCTCGTCACCACTAATCCCAATACCACTACACTAGTTGTGTATCGCCAACAACGTAAAGTCAGGATTATGAATTAAGAAAAACCCAAAATTAGGGGCGTTTTAGGCACTAATTAGGTGCCAAGTTTAAAAATTAGGTGTTCTAAAATTTTCAACGCAACGAACTGTTAAAATTTGCGTTGCTAGCAAAACGTATCGCTAGCAACGCAATGAAGTTATTAGATATACGATAAATATTAATAGCAAGGAATTAAGTGCTAATTAGGTGCTGCAAGTATAGGCAATGACAAGGTGCCCCTAATAAAAATAAAGTCGTTATTCAGAACAAAGCAGATGCAAAATTCAGGTTTTCTGAAAATCAGAATAGAATCAAAATTGCTTTGTAATAGAAAAAGCCCAAATAAGGTTCTTTTTAGGTGCTAATTAGGTAGGTACCAAATTTAAAAATTAGTTGCTCTAAAATTTTCACCGCAAAGAACTGTTGAAATTTGCGTTCCTGGCAAAACGTATAGCTAGCAACACAGAAAAGATACCACCGTCTATATTACGACGCGTGTTTCTGCGGTGGGTGACCGCAGAGTCTATTTCACCTGGTGATGCGTTCATAAGCGAAACACGTGTCGTATTATATCCCTACGAACTAGGAAATTTTATTTTATTATGCGGATCTTAGCTAATAACTCTTTAATATAATGGATTTAGTTATTATTCTGGTTGAAAATTACAACTCCATTCATTATTACCATTATTATAGCAACTTACTTTAAAAAAGAGCCGTGCTAGCTCAGATGGTTAGCGCTCGCTGTAAGTTTCAGCGAGCGCTAACCATCTGAGCTTAGAGTTAAGTACGCGAGACACCCGGGTTCGATCCCAGCCAGCACCAATGAAATTGTTAATTGCAATTTTAAGTGCTGATTTACCACGTGTTTCGGCGGTGAAGGAAAAAATCGTGAGGAAACCTGTATGTCTGACAAATAAGAAAAAATATATTTAGAAGACATGTGAAGTTCGCCAACACGCATTGGCGCAGCGCGGTGGACCTTTCCTTGCCCTAAAACACTCTCAGAAATGATAGGCGGCCTGTGCCCAGCAGTGGGACGTGTATATAAGTTGTGACTTTAACTTAACTTTAAAAAATAAAGTGAATAGTTAAGAGTAACGACCCTATAACAGTTTTGACGTGATAACGTCTTATAATTCGATGAAGCTGGCTGCACGCACGAAAAAACATGACTCATGCGGCGTTACCTCGCTCTGAGGCGTTCCATTTAAGGCTTGAAGTGCAAGCGAGAGCGCGGAACGAGCGACAAAGAGGCACAATCGGCCTCCGCGTTCGGCAGCGTTCGACATCTGTCTCTCTCCTACTTGAGTGAGCGATGCGTCCGCATGGACAGCTGCTATACAATAATACATTTACATGTTTTCGTCAAGTATGAAGTGCAGTGAATAGTGAATGTGGTGTCAATTGTTTATAGCAACATTTTCTTATGACGTTGTCACGTTCAACTATCGTCAGTAAACCGACTTTACAGACAACCGATTTTTTAACGATACGACTGGTGTAAACTTGATTGTTATACCGTCATATAACGGCCGTAACCGTGAAATTTTGCTGATATTTCTCATAGCTTCCTATATTCTCATCGCCTCCAGTGATACCCAAGACACAAAATGGAGTGATGGATTCGTAAATCGACCGCACCGTAAGAATCGACCGCAGCGATTCCATTTCCTTAACACCTGTCGCACTGCAATTACATGTGAATTGTGATGGATCTTGACAATTAAAGTTTTTAAAAAGTTACCTCGTGTACAACCGCTCGATAAAATAAAATTATGTGTCTTACCTAGTTTGAAGAGCACCTCCCGCCCTCCCTCAATTGCGTGCACTATCCCCGTTATAACTAATCCCAGCACCACTACTCCCAACACCACTACACTAGGAAAGACACACCACTGACGACAATACGACACATGTTTTGCCTCTACACGAGGCGTCTTCAGGTGATGTCAACTCTGCGGTGGCTGACCGCTAAGACTAAGGCTCTTCAAACTTGGTAAGACATATCATTTTATTTTATCGAGTGGATGTACGCGAGGTAACTTTTTAAAAACTTTAATATAATGGATTTCCGCAAAGTAACGCCTGATTCTATTAAGGATCTTCACAAGTTTTTATTGTCAGTGTTTTATTAATGGAAGATGAAGAAAGTAATTGAATTAAATTAGAATCACTAATTTAAAAAAAATAGTAAGAATTAGTATTCGCACGTTGCTCTATCGCACGAAACTATCAGAATGCGAGCGCATCGGTTGATTCGATTCGACCGGGTCGCCCGCGCGTCATCCCAATTTGTCTAGGATTTTTGGGGTTCTTCTAGATTCGGACGATTCGACGCGGGCAGGTGTGCGCGATTTCATATAAAAAAAATTAAAAATTCGTTTCTTTCGCCACATTCGGCTCGTATAGTTTACGCCAATTAATTATTCTTACCTCACTTCGTAATGAGCGTTTTCAATTTCGAAGTAGTGCAAAGATTTTGCTCTAAAAAAAATAAAAAAAAGGTTATCATTTATTTTTTATTCGTGTGCTTATTATATATTATAGTACCACGAAATTTTGAAAGTTAACTATTAAAAGAACAATGATTTTGTATGATGAAACATCAAATATTTTTCTAGTTAAGCAATTTAACTATAAATGTATCTCCGATACTCATACTTGTCAATGCATCACTAACTAGGGTTCTGAGCTTAAAATCCAGCTAAATCCAACATTAATTTGTTTTAAGTAAATACATATTATGAGGGAATGTACAGAATAAAAATCTTAACCTTGTAATTTTTTTAACAATTATTTTTACAAACTATTTCCAACCGAACACATCGTCCTCCTTTCCACTTCGTCTCTTTCGTTTAATCTAATCTATACGATTTCTTCATTTTATACTTGTAATCTATACGTCATATTCTAACAATAATAGACTAAGCAGTGGGTATTTTTTTATTTCATCATCAACATCATAATCTTACACCGCCACTACACGGTTAATAAAAACGGAAGATTTAGTGTGAACTGCGACGTTATCAAAAAAAGCCAAAGCTCTATCAAACATTGATCTATTACTTGATTGATAGAATCAGTGAACTATTTCAAAAATGTGTTAACTTACGGATCACCAAACCATACGCGCAGGCGCAGTAAATACGAGCGCAAATAAGGGTCGTCCTGTATAACTTCGCGATTTGAGAACGACGTCGACTTTGACACCATCCGTGGGACCTCTATAACAGTCGGGAACAATTATTAAGCAACTATTAATCATTCTATCTCATCATCGCCCTGATTAAATCCACTGTTGGGCGAAGGCGGTTCACGAAAGTGCCAGTCTACCAAAATCCCCATGAAGATTTTCAACTATGGTGGTAGCTGGTAAGTAATAACGTATTGATTGTTTTTTTTTTTTCTGTCAAGAAATTCGCAGTAGCAGCCCATTAGTCTGTAATCCTCTCCTGCGCAGGTGACTGTTCTTCGTTGGGCAGAAACCCGGCCGCCGTGTCCGACGTTTCGTCTGGAGGACATTACTATTATTACTTAATGGAGAAGGAGGGAATCTTTATGATGAACTCTATCTTCCAGAAGCGGTCCCACAGAAAGTGAACCTGGTCGAGCCCCGACGGTTCGACATAAAATGAGATTGACTTCATTATGAAGACCAGACGACAACTGTAACCGCGATCGCGAGGGTGAAAATCGGCAGCGATCACAGAATGGTGAAAGGCACACTGAATCTAAACGTTAAGTTGGAGAGGTCTCGTCTAGTGAAGTCAACGCTCCGTCCCCTTCGTGCTCTAATCCAAACTCCTGAAACTTTACAGCTCAAGCTACAAAACCGTTTTCGGTACCTAGAACATTGCAATGCAGTGGACGATATGAATGACAAGCTCGTGAAAACTGTTCATGCGGTCGGAGCTAAGTTCTGCAAGACCCGCCGCAGAAGAACATAAAAACTCTCCGATCACACTTATATTCTCATAGCTGTTAGACTGGAAATGAAGCTGTAGTCTTCAGCAGATTTGACCCGTACAGGCAACTGAATAGACAGATCTCTAAATGCATGCGGCGGGACTTACGCAACTTCAATACAGTTTGTATTAAAGAAGCGATCGAGCGGAACCAAGGCTCCAAAGTCTTTGCCAGGGATCTGTCTACCAGAAAGAGCCAACTGTCAAAACTGATGACCGAATGTGGCAGCATCGTTTCCGGGACACCTGAGATTTTGAGTGAGATTGAGAGGTTCTATGGGCAGCTGTACACGTCATCGTTGGAGCTACACGCAAGTCTGAGCAAGTCGGATAAGACTTGCTCTTGGATCGTTAACCCAGAGCAAGTCTTATCCGACACTATTCTGATGGTATTCCAGACTTCAGTTTGAGCGAGATAAGAATGGCTCTCCAGCACCTTAAAAAGCACGGCCCTAGGCGAGAATGGAATTACAGCGGAGCTTCTGATAGCAGGTGGAAAACCGGTACTTGAAGTCCTTCAGAAGCTCTTTAATTCCGTCCTTCATGGGGGCACTACTTTGGAGGCGTGGAGCAGAAGTACGGTAATCTTATTCTCCACGAAATGCGACAACACTCTCTTGAAGAACTAAAGACCGATTTCCCTTTTGAGCCGTGTTTACGTGCTGTTTTCGAGGGTCATTACAAATCGTCTCGCATGCAGACTCGACGACTTCCAGCCCCCCGAACAAGCTGGTTTCCGAAAGGGCTTTAGCACTATAGACCACATACACCCTTCGGCAAATTATACAGAAGTCCGAAGAGTACAATTTGCCACTATGTCTGGCGTATGTGAACTATGAGAACGCCTTTGATTCCGTCGAAATTTGGGCGGTGCTGCAGTCCCTTCAGCGGTGCCAAGTTGACTGTTGGTATATCGAAGTGCTGAAGTGTTTGTACAGTAGGGCTACGATGGCTATCCGAGTACAGAACCATAGTACGAAACCTTTCCAAATGCAGAGAGGTGTAAGACAGGATGATATTATGTCCCCGAAACTCTTCACCGCTGCATTGGAAGACGTTTTAAAACTACTTGACTGGAAAGGATACGGGATTAACATCAACGGCTAGTACATCACTCACCTTCGATTTGCCGACGATATAGTCCTTATGGCAGAATCGCTGGAGGACCTAAACACTATGTTCAATGATCTCAATAGTTCCTCCCAACGAATAGGCCTTAAGATGAACATGGACAAAACAATGATCATGTATAACATTCATATCACACCTATGCCAGTAGTTGTTGGGAGCATTAAGCTCGATATTGTTAACGAGTATGTTTACCTGGGACAAATATTCAGACTAGGTAAGTCCAACTTCAACCGATAGGTCAATCGACTGATTCAATTCGGCTGGGCAGCGTTCGGGAAATTACGGCACGTCTTTTCGTCAGGTATACTTCAAAACTTGAAAACAAGACTGTACAACCAGTGCGTGTTGCCAGTGATGACCTATGGAACTGAGACGTGGTCCTTCACTGCTGGCCATATGAGGGAACTCAAAGTCGCTCAGTGAGCTATGGAGAGGGCTATGCTCGGGGTTTCTTTGTATGATAAACTGAGAAATGAGGATATCCGCAGTAGAACCAGAGTGGCCGACGTAGTCCAACGGATTAGTAAGCTGAAGTGGCTATGGGTTAGCCATATAGCTCGAAGAACCGACAACCGATGGGGAAAAAAGGTTTTCGAGTGGCGGCCTCGTATCGGTGGACGAAGTGTAGGGCGTCTTCCCACTAAATGGAGTGACGACCTGGTAAGACATGCAGGAAGTCGATGGATGCAGGTGGCTCAGGACCGTGCTTTGTGCCAATCCTTGGGTTAGGCCTATGTTCAGCAGTGGACTTGTGAAGGGCTGTAATGATGATGATGATGATGATAAATCTGTGAAACTTGGACTAAGGGTTTTTGGATAGATTTTTACTATTTATTTATTTCATAGAATAAGGGTGACAAACGAGCACACAGTCCTAAAAAAATAGTAAAAAAATTAAGAGTTATTCATCATCACCGCCCGAAAAAGTCACTGAAAAGAAAAGGTCAATGGGCCTTTCCTTTTGTATGAACGACTTACTTTGATCGTCAAGCTTGGAGGCGGATAAATGATCGTACTACCAGACGTCTCGCATTTTGACTCTGCTGCCTGTCGTCGGTCTGGGTGTATGTATTCTAGCGTAAGCGAGATTATTATAGCACCATCTATCGGGGGAAAGGGTACCACGGGATGAAAAGGGATGATGGATTCTGTTACGCCGGCATCATACAAAAAAATTGTGACTCCATAAAGTTTACTGCATATTATATATATATATATATATATATATATATATATATATATATATCAGCTTCACGTTCACACTTCCGAATGCCAAACGGCGACTAAGAGTAGAGTTACATTACAAAGACCGCATACAACCAGCAATTTACGATACGTAAGTTTCATCTTTAATAAAATAATTAATTGCAATTATTAAAAAAGCTGACTCACCACCTACTCAGCGGTAAAGAGAAACATCGTGACACTCTTTTTACAGCTAATGTGGCATCCCATTTTAGTTCTCTTGGGTGATAACTTAGTGTGATTATATTTTGATATAAATATAATCGCAGATAAATGTACCTATAATGGCCCCAGCATCCATAAATCACCAGGTGGCTGTGTTCTCGTGTATTACTCTTTTTTATATAGAATAAGGGTGACAAACGAGCACACAGTCCACCTGATGGTAAGTGATCGCTGTGGCCCATAGATATCTACATCCATCTTCGTTTGAGAATTACAATGCAGATGCGTTGTCAACCGTGAGGACTAAGATTGAATGCCTCTTTTCCAGAAAAAAAGGGTCTCCGGTTCTCTACACTCACCATACGAAACACAGCAGCATTAAGCTGCTATTTTACGCTGGTATTCTGTGAGAGCGTGGTCCTTCCCCAGTCGAGCCGACTCATTCGTGCTACAACTATACTATTACTATAGCTACAGCATGGCTCTACCACGTAAAAACGCTATTGCTTTTGCTAAAGTACTCTTACTTGTCTAAAGAAACCTTAGAAACATTACACATTTTTTTAAAGGATAGGGTGACAAACGAGCACACAGTCCACCTGATTGTAAGTGGTTGCTGTGACCCATAGACATCGACATCTATTCTCAATAGATAATCAAAATGCAGATGCGTTGTCACCCGTGAGGACTAAGATGGAATGCCTCTTTTCTAGTAAAAAGCGTCTCCGGGTCTCTACATTCACCATACGAAACACAGCAGCGTTAAGCTGCTATTTTACGCTCGTATTCTGTGAGAGCGTGGTCCTTCCCCGATCGAGCCGACCCATTCGTGGTACACTATACTTCTAATATAGCTGCAGCATGGCTCTACCACGTAAATATTGCAAGGGCTATATAAATTTAGAGATATTGTCTCATTTATCTCTTAATTAAAAATAGGCCATAATATATCAGGTGCTCACACATAGGAAGATCACATATCTACTAATAGAACATCAGCTGATATTAGCAATATTTAAACAAAGTGTTGCTTACTCGAGGCTCGCACGTCTAATTCCAAGGAATTCCCCGTATTGGGAATTTGAAAGTTGCACACGAACACGGGATCTTGGTGCGGAGCTGGAGTTTCGGCTAAAGCCCGCAGCGTTGGGAATGGACTTTTTAAACGCTTCATTACATAGAACCCGTCCTGAAAAACTAATATTTTCATTTTCTTTGTTCTTCTTTGTGGCATCCCTTGATTCCTTGATTTATAAATACTAATAAATACTAATAGTGGGTCAACTCCTTTGTTATGCCGCAAAATATCCACAAGGCTGTCTCGACGTCAAGTCGTTAAAAATATGCAAGGGTTGTCGCAAAAACATTTCCTTAAATAATAATATTATAACATTGTATTTTATCAGTATTCCTCGTAATAATTTATTTTTGTATCCAAAGATACGAAGTAATTACTACTTTACCCAACTAGTCATGATAGAAATAAAGACTTGTGCTGGTAGGTTCCTACCTAATTTTACAATATTTTACCTATATAGCAGTATCTCAGGTATTCCGCTTAAAATATTTGATTTAGGGTTGAACAGAATAAATAAGACAGGTTAAAATTATACGTTGGTTCTGTTTATTCAACCGATGTGCGTCCGACAAATATTTACTACATTTATTATTGTTTTTTTTTTAATTGTCTTTTGTTGAAGTTAATGATATAATGAATTCTCATCCTTACATATAGTTCAATTAAAAATCGTGATGAAAGCACTTGCAGCACTTGGCTTCAATTCAATTTTATTTAAAGCTTCATACAATCTTTCCCTATATTTCAAAATAATATCGAGTAATATCATGTCGCTGGGTGAACACCAAAAGCGTGCAACTAATTCCGTGTAAGTGATACCTAAACGGTCGTACCGGTACGCAAGCGAAGTCGACCGGTACTACCGCAGACATCGCGGGCAGTGGGGGACTCCGCTTTACTTCATACCGCACCCGCACCGCTTCGTCTACTCGCCGAGTTGACTCACTAGTCAGTATTTATTACATTTATATGATGTTCTTCTTCTTTAAGTGCCATACGTTTGACAGTCGGATTGTCGATTGCAGCACCAAACGTCTCGCACATTTAATGCTGCCCTCGTCGGCGGTCTACGTATTCACATCTAGTATATTATATATAAATAAATAGATCTATAGAAGACGGTTATACCACTGTCTGTTGGAGGTCATAAGACAATTCTGGCATTCTCTCTAGTCGCCTCTTCCGACACACGTTACAAAATGGAGTCATGGAGTCTCTTACACCACCAATACAATACACTGCTAAAATCTCTTTATATTGAAATTAATCTGTACTTCGTAACACTATATCAAACATAACTTGCATTTTTTTACAGAATAAGGGTGACAAACGAGCACACAGTCCACCTGATGGTAAGTGGTTGCTGTGGCCCATAGACATCTACATCTATCCTCGTTTGCGAATTAAAATGCAGATGCTTTGTCACCCGTGAGGACTAAGGTGGAATGCCTCTTTTCCAGTAAAAAGGCTCTCCGGTTCTCTACACTCACCATACGAAACACAGCTGCATTAAGTTGCTATTTTACGCTGGTATTCTGTGAGAGCGTGGTCCTTCCCCGGTCGAGTCGACACATTCGTGCTACAACTATACTACTAATATAGCTGCAACATGGCTCTACTACGTACAAAATGCATATGGGTCTCTTCTTATATTATTATATACTAGCTGTGCCCGCGGCGTAGCTCGCGTACATAGGTTTTACTTAAAGAATTTGACGTTTAGGGTAAGAGAATATTAAACGATTTATATCATTACTGTATGAATAAGTGGTAACAAAATAAATCGATACGCTCAAAGTTCTAAGTCGTTTATGATAGAGCTTCCGTGTAAACGACGATAGAAGGAGACTTAGCCGGGGCGTACAGAAAAAGGTTGGCATAGAGTTGGCCATGTGCAAAACAATCAGTACTGGGGTCCACTCCTACAACGCGTAAAGTTTGACCTTGCGCTTTATTTACGATCGTCGCATAACACACTCTGAGTGGGAAACACACTTAAAATAGGGATGTTAGATGATCATCGATGTTAAAAATTAAAACTTCGATGTTTTAACATCGATGTTGACACATGTCAAACATCGAAACATCGACGTCAATGAACCCATAATCGATAATTGGGAACTTGCAAACAATGCGAACTCGCGAAATCAATATCAACTAAATCTTGCATCTGCTCTGAAGATTAAAAATTTTGAATAATTCAGAATTCCTGAACGCATCGTTAACCTAAAAAAATGTCAGTATGGTGAGTCAAACTTAATTGTCAAGTGTCACCTGTGATGTCACAATGGTCACTGCTTTCGCTTTATTTTGTAGTGTCGTTGTCGGTTGTCGCATAATAACTATTCTACGTAAATTGATATTCAAGTTAATTGTTACTTTTCCCTTGATGTGTATACCCACATAATTTTGAAACAATGTGTAAGTATCTACACATATACAAAAACCATCGATAATGGTCATCATCGATGTTTTGAGTAGGCTAGTTGAGCTATCGATGCCAACATCGATGTCATCATCGATGTTATTATCCCTATCTTAAAACTGTAAGGAAAGTTATTTGGTATTAGAGGTTTAGAGGGATTCTGGGTATAAAACAATATCACGACATTTATTGCAAATTTACTACTTTTAGTCGAGTTGTCGAGTTTTGTTGAATAATTTCGACGTACGTACGTCTCTTTTTTCTGTTTCTGCCGGTGTTTGTGCTTTGTGTTGTTAGCCTACACGGCTCTAACAGCTAACAGGCTTGCAGCTTCGTCGGACTCATGAACCTAAATTTTTTCAGTGAGTGTCAATACGATTCACCTGCGAAAAATCTTAACACCGCAATTCAGAAAAGGTTGTAATTTGTACAACGCCATCTATTACGTTCTTTGTGAGAAAACATCCTTTTTTAATTTAAGGAAAACATATTTTTTTTTACTGTGTTTTAAGTATAAATATATTATAATAGAACGTTTTTTTTACACACGTATCTTTTTATTACTATTTCTGAGATTTTGTGGCGCCATTAAACAAATTCGAACCTACATTTCAAAATAATAATCATAACTTTCGATAGAATTAACCAATTTTAATAAAACAAAGATTAAATGTAACTCGAAGATACGCTATATGATTTTCTTAACGATTTCTTTGAAAAAAAAAGATGTTTACTTTAGACGTGATGCTTTCATATAAAAACAGACAGAAAGACAATTCTAAAAATTATAAAAATGTACTTATTTAATTATTTTTAGTTCCCCATAATGATTTTAGTCACCATAATATATATATACAATGTACAGAAAGAGACACAACATGTTATCATCATTTTTATTATATGTATATATTTAAAGAGAGATGGCGCTGCTAACATCATCTTGATGACTCAAACAAAGCCACCGTTGAGCAAATTCCCTACCCATACTTCAGAATATTTATCATAACTTTTGATGGAATGAACCGATTTTAATGAAATAAAGACTAAATGTAACCCGAAGGTTTACTTTATAATTTCCTTAACAATTTTTCTGATATAAATTAGTACTTTAAACGTGATACGTTAACAAACAAACAGACAGACAGACAGACAGACAGACAGACAGACAGAAAATTCTAAAAATGGTAGAAATGTATTTAATTACTTATTTTTAGTACCCCTCAATCACTTTTATTACAAAAATATAAAATGTACAGACATCTGCTATTTACAGTTTTATTATATGTATAGATATAGATTTTATGGATTTGCCGCTATCGTCACGTTGCCATACTTAACATATTGAATTAGGGAATTTTTTTGGCTAAAGATTTAAAGCTTTAGCTAAAAATAATTGTTGGTTATACGCGCGCTTATCGCGACTGCTGATAGGTCCTGTGTTAAAATTCCGATAATTGAGTTTTTTTCGGTAGCAGCTCCGGTTGGCGATGTTTCACCCCCGTACCTCGCAAAGTACTTGAAGCAGTCCTGTGCTTCGTTTCTCCGGTCGTGTCCGATTGCCGTTCTATCGAACTATAAGAGTAAACAAATAGAGAGTGCACCTGTGCGCAAGCATATACTATCCTGTATTAACGGATGCAGTCTCGCACTGACGCTGTTGCCTGTTGCCTGGGTATTTAAAATATGGTATATAAAATAACTTTATTTCTTTCTTTCCTCCAACAATATACATTATAAAGTGAGCAACAATAAATATATTATGCTTACATCCGACACAATATTATTGTTAGGTGAAAAACTGTGATGCCTACACTAGGAAAAACCTTAGGTCACGAGGCGCCTGTAGACCTCCGTGGACAAAGTAGGTAGATGTAACTATGATATCCTTCTGAATTGAACAATAAAACAGGGGATTAGAACCTAGCTTCAAAAAATATACAAGAAGGTCACACCGCCATCCGAGGCAGTAAAATCTTCCTGGCATTTCATACATCATCATCATTACATCCCTTCATAAGTCCACTGCTGAACATAGGCCCCCCAAGGAATGCCACAAAGCACGATCCTGAGCCACCTGCATCCATCGACTTCCTGCATGTCTTACCAGGTCGTCACTCCATCTAGTGGGGGGACACCCTACACTTCGCCTACCGGTACGAGGCTGCCACTCATATACCTACATTTAATTATTATTATCTAATATACTTAACAAAGTATTTTAATAACTTACGTTTGTTACGTCGTTTATATCCAACCGGCCGGTGTAGGCCAATTTAGCTGACGGGTGTTGGTTGAAAATTGCCTCCAAAGCTGTCTCCCAAGCGCCGAGGGCATATCTCGCTTGCTTGTTTTCTACCATACTAATAAATAAAAGATAAGTGAAATCTATATAATAATACGTGAAGGAAAAACTTAATACCCTTTTAAAGTATATACTTATATTGCGCAGTTGAAAAGTGACATATAGTTTGCTTTACCTACATAAAAAATAATAATTTCGTTCAAATTTCCACCAATGCATTTCAACTACTACATGTACATTTAAGTCCGTGACGATAATCTATATATCAAAGCAAGAGCGACGGAGTCCAGCGTGGCGTTAAGATTGTGGCGGCGCTGACGTCGGGCTACAAGCGAAATCAACTGAAGTCTAAATCACGCTGTCGAAGTTTTCGAAGTACTCCGGTATATATAGGACAAGCGCCGCACTATCTTAGAGATCTCCACCACGATATCGACATGCCCACTATCCATTCGTATCTTAAGGAATTATCCTTAAGTCGAATTCGATTTACGAGGATCTTAATCCGTTGGTGATAGAGGCCCTTACTCCAAAAACAAGGGCCGAGGTGCCTCAGGTAAGGCGCGCCGGCAGTATCGTTGCATTCGATAGCTCGTAAGTCCTCGCTTACGAGTCTAATTTGAATTTGAATAAGCTAAAAGACCGCAGGGCCAACAGCATACAATTTACGAAAAAAGAACTTCAAGGAGAGCTGACCACTCCCCGAACGGAAAACCTTGCCCGGTGGGAGATCCCTATTACGAGTACTTCAACGGTCAAAGATGGATCGATCATAGTTGTATAGGGTGGCTTATAATCATTGGCGGCAGCCTCGTATCGGCAGGCGTAGTTATTGGGCGAGGTTCCATTAGATGAAGTGCTGATCTAATTATATAAGATGATACTATACATACAAACAGTGTGTTTTCTAGTCATGAACTTATCATTATAACGTTATAAATATTACCTACTGCGTCATCCATTTAACCATTAAAGCCTTTAAAAGTCCACTGCTAAACATGACCTATGTTTAACAATGGACTTTTATAGGTTCCATAGATAGTCCCATAGGGAGGATTTTGCAACAACAGTTTTTTTTTCAGCTGTTATTATTACAATGCTGCGGTCCGTTTTCTCCTTCAGCTTCCCTCTGTTGCCTCTTATGGGAAGCATAAAGGTGTCTTTGGGTCACATCATTCACTTACGATCAGGTGGACTGTGTGCTCGTTTGTCACCCTTAAAAATATTTCTTTCTAGTAATAAATAATAAAAGTACAAAAGAAATTATTTGCATACTAATGAACAGTTCCAAGGTCTAAATAAACGTCGGCGCCTTCATCAGTGACACTGACAGTTATTAGCGTGCAGAGTGCAGTGCGTAGGCCCACGTGCTCGATTCGTAGGTTATTTGACACGACCTAGAATTGTAATAATTTATATACACACGACCCGTGATAGCACAAGTTATGCGAGCGATAGGTTCATGTGCAGGGATTTACCACGTACTTGAAGGAAAACATATTTCAAAGATATTTGAAGTCCGCTAACATACACTGGAGCATTATGGCAGATTGACCAGTCCATATGTGTATAAAGCGTGTTGCATCGTTTTGGGCGACAGATTGGTGGGACTCGCCGCTGCTTGAGCGCTGGATACGGCTACATGCCACGGTATAAGACACCGGTCCCCTTGTAGCGGCTGGTCTCAAGCATCTCCATTTATATTTGTGATTATTATTTATGTAAATTAATTTAATTACTAACAATATAATTTAATTTATATTTGACTTCAATTTTACTAATATTCTTGTATGGGTTCTCTGTTGCCTGAAATAAAGATATTTTATTTTTATAAGTCCATATCCCTATCGACTCTCATAATAGTACATACATATCATACATATAATCACGCCTCTATCCCGTAGGGGTAGGCAGAGACCACTTCTTTCCACTTGCTACGATCCTTACATACTTGTTTCGCTTCGTCCACTTTCATTATTCCCTTCATACATGCGCTTCGGTTTAGGGTACTCTTGACGTGGCCTTTTTTCAAGACGTCCCTGATTTGATCTAGAAACGCCCGCCTAGGTCTACCCCTTCCAACACTTTCATTCACACTCGCCTTATACACCTTTTTAGTCAATCGTTCTTCATTCATTCTCTTGACATGGCCAAACCATCTCAGCATACCTTTCTCAATTTTTGTCACTACATCTTATTTTAGACCACAACGTTTCCTTATCTCACTATTTCTTATCCTGTCACTCAGTTTAACTCCTATCATACTTTTCTTAACGCTCTCATCTCAACTGCATTTATTCTACTTTCATGTTTCTTATGCCATACCCAACTTTCACCGTACATGAGTGTCGAAACTAACACCCCCTCATGCACAGCCAAACGAGCCTTGTTAGAAACCTTGCGACTGCTCATAAAGGAGAGCATAGCTCCATTCACCATGTTTCTTGCATTCACTCTTCTTTCAATATCACTCTCACACTTTCCATCTCTCGTAAACTTTGAACTCAGATACACAAACTCCTTCACCTGTTCAATTTGTTCATCTCCAATCACGATATTGTAGTCTGTCACTGCCTCATCTCTTTCAAACACCATCACTTTCGTCTTCTTTACATTCATCTTCATTCCCCTTCTAACAAAAGCTCCACTCATAGCAGTTACCATCTCCTGCAACTCCTCGGCCGAAGACGCAAGTAGTACTTGCTCATCAGCATAGAGAAAACATTTGACGAGTAACTCATTCATTCTCGACCCGCTTTCATTCTCTTTTAAATCTGTCAAGCAATTGTCCATGAACAGATTAAACAGCCACGGTGACGCTACACATCCCTGTCTAACACCTTTTTCGATATTAAACCATTAAGTGTATACCCCGTTTATCCTTACACAAGCACTAGAATCCCTATAAAGAGATTGCAATGCTCGTATGAGGATACTACTCACACCGTTTACGGACAGTGCTGACCACAATTCATTCCTCACCACTCTATCATAGGCCTTTTCTAGATACACGAACACGCAATAGATCTTCTTGTTTTTAGCCAAACACTTTTCGGCTCATAATAGTGCCAAGCTAAAGTATCGTAATTCCATCCACATCATTTCGATTGTTGGCAGTTCACTACCCTGCGGTTTACAAGGACTTTTTGTGCCACGCACGGTCATATCTAGGGGAACGGTAGTGTCCCCGCCATATCGAACAAAAAAGCGGCACGGCCGTACCATCCTTTTCTCGAAGTAGTTCAGGCCATATTCGACCCCCTATAACTTTGTTGTGGATAAAACTAGAATCCTGAATTTTCAGTAACTAAGCATGCATTGTATAAACACGGCATATTTCAAATTTCATTCAATTTGAACCAGTAGTTTATATTTAAATTATAACTAGTCAAAGTTTCTTAATTTTGTCACTCACTGACTGACCGATCATCAAAACTCTAAGACACTTTTCGCAGACGTAGAAGCTTCATATTTATAATACAATTAGTTTTTAGTGTAGAAATCAAGGGAAAACTAAAATATTTAGTAATATCGGTCCAGTTTTCTAGATACACCAACTGCATAAATAACTTTATAATCCTATATTAATATATAGGATTACAAAGTTATGTTCAAAAGTAACTTGTAAAATGGTCAACGGAATGAAAAAGCAAGAATGGGACATGTCTTATGCAGTTGTACCAAAATCCCGCAAAGTATTAAGTAGACTAAATTGCCCGAAAATCCGTAGGTGGTATTCAAGAAGTAGATGGTATCGGAAAGGAAAAATAGTAAGACTATCTACAAAAAGAAATGAGATGCCATCAAAAACATAACTTGTTAAAAAGCCAAGTCGCGCAACTAAGTTCTTCTACCGTAAAAAGTTGTGAGATCCATTTAATACCAAGTCGGTTAATTTATTCAGTCCCTACTTAAGGGTCCTTCTGTCTCAAGTTATTATGTAATTAGCTAACCTAACAACATCTTATAGTGACCATATCAATATTAATAATCTTTTATGTTTTAAATACATAGATTGACTTGGCAATCTATTTATTTAAAACATAAAAGACTTTTATGTTTTAAATAAATAATTGCCAAGTCAATCTATGTATTTAAAACATAAAAGATTATTAATATTGATATGGTCACTATAAGATGTTGTTAGGTTAGCAGTAGTTATAATATTTGGCTGTAAATCAAAGATATAATCGGATAATCAAGAAGCTCACCTCTTCACCTTTTCCCGATGTAAATAACTCCTTAGAGACTTCCTCAGCCATCAGCCCGCTGAGCGCTGTACAACTCATTATTTTTAATCTGATATCGATTCTCTGGAAATCAAATAAAAATAAGGACATAGTAATTAAACTTTTAAAATAACATAAAAACCGACTTCAAAACTAAAAAGAATAAATAGAATAGAATAGAGTAATTTTTTTTTATTCAATGTTGATCAAGTAATTCTTATTGAAAGTCATTTTTTACTTTACCACTGGTTCGAAAAAATCCTCTGTCCTGGGAAGAACCAACCAGTAAGAAACCCAGCAGGACTTTTTTAAAATAAATTTTATAATATAAATGATTACAAACTATTTACAAAATTTATTTTAGAAACTGCTTGGAAGCGACCACCTCATTCCCATGGGTCAGCCGTCAATCAATCATTCATTTTTTCATTCATTTGTTTGCGCCAAACGCTAAAATTCAAAATTACTATAAAGCAGGCGCGTTAGCGCGCTTTGTCGATGTACTTAGCCGGCGGGCACGCGTCGAGCAGGCGCCCCCCCGCCCGCGCTGAGCGGTCGTCAAGCGGCCGCTGAGCATTGCTAGCTGTGATTCGAATCGAGCCGCGTGGCGCCGAATTTGTTAACGAATTTGTGCAGCGACGAATAATCGTGTTGTCTAGAACCTTAGATTCCCGGTTGTCTAATTACTGAGAAGTTAGTGTTTAATTGTACCGTTGTGTTAAGCACCTTAAAAAGTCGCGGTCGGTTTTCGAAATAATTGTTGCGCAGTGAAAGAAAGTGAACTTTGACCCACCAGTCGTGCCGCGTGTTACGTTTTATAATTAACGGGATTTAGTTGCGTCTTGACGTTAGTTAACTGTACGATAAAGTTAATAGACTGACATAGTGAATTGAAGAAGGAAATAGCACTGCTGCCGCCGCTGGAGAACGTCGGAGGGCGGTGCCGGAGTCAGCGTGGCTGCTGATTAAAACCAAAAGGCTAGTTCCGGTTACACAAATTTACACTTCTAACACACCACTCACATTCACGATAATTACGCCAGAACAAGCCCTGGGAGCCTTCTTCGCCAGCGAACAGGTACGTGCTATTAATTCACCTAGCCTCCTCCCTTTTGTGTAGTGGGATAGGACATTTTCCATAAGGCCATTTGGGCCATTTGTTCGTCAAGTGTATTACTGATGGGCCCTAATACAGTCGACTTCTGTCTGGGCAACTGAGAGCCGTAATATATTTGGTAGCAGAGCGTGGTTGATTGATTTCCAATCACGCCCGGCCGTAATATTAATAAAAATATAATATATTAATAAAAAATAGTAGGTAATAAATACGTACGTACGTAATATAATACGTACATAATACGTAGTACGTACGTAATATTTTTTGTTTGTTGGCGGGTGGAAGAAGCAACCACGCCCGTAGCTTTGTTAGGGCTAGGTAATTACCATAGTTTTGTTAAGGCTAGGTACTTTGACTAGGTAGATAAGGCTATCACACGTAATCGGATAATTATCGTTGGCGTATAATTATAGTAGATTAATTGTCGAAGGGTCGGTTGTTTGAGCGAGGCATTTTGCTGATTGACTGTAGTGTGGACCTTTAATTGTAGGGTAACTTGTATTTAATTTAATAAATAGTAATTGTATTTAACTTGATTTGATCGTACTAGTGTTTGTTATTTGTTAATTTGATTTGTGTTTTCTTGTTTTTGTGTATTAGTTTGTATTTAGCAGCGATGCCATCGCACAAGCTACTGATTCGTTGCCTAAGAGTGGAGCTGCGCTGGGCAACTAGCGCCCACGCTTTGATAGGTCGACCGGATAGGGTCTATAACTTGAGGAAGCGGCTCGAGCAGGTCGATGCTCGAAGGGCCGCAGTGGAGGAGGCTTACGCTGAGCTCGAGGACTCGGAAGTGGAGGACTCCTGCCGCGCGGACTACGAACAGTTCCTTTCGCTCACAGACGATATCGAGGCGGGAGCCAAGGATGCGGACGAAGCACGTGAAGCTAGGCTGAGGGGCCTGTCCGAGTCTCCTCGGAAGAAGCCTACTCAGCCGGAGCTGTTAGGGCAACTCCCGATTCTGGACCTGCCAAGGTTCTACGGGTCCTCTCCGAATGGCTGACGTTCGTCGGTCTGTTTGACAGCCTGGTGGACGCCCGGAGGGACTTAACACCCAGCCAGAAAATGGGGTACCTCCTAGCCTCATTGGAGGGCGAGGGTCGTCGGTCACCTGAAATTGTCGAACGACGCCTACCAGAATGCTCAGGTCCTCCTCGCCGGAGGGGTACGTCAACGTCCGCCGGATTGCGGACGACTACGTTCGGAAGCTGCTAAACCTCCCGCTGCTTAAGGATCGGACCAGACTACGTACGGACATCGTAAATCCAGTCGTGGTGGCTTGTAACTCATTGAGGCGGCTGGATTTACCGGTGGACGAATGGTCTTTTTTAATGCTCCACATTGTGCTGTCTCGCCTGCCTCTCGACCTTCGGCTCCACTTCGAGGAGAGGTACGGCGGGGACGGTGCCTCCTATATTCCTCCCTTCAGGGACCTGCTGCGGTTCTTGGAGGAGCAGTGCAGGCAGATGGAGAACGCAGCAGGCGCCGTCGAGGAACCCCAGGTTGAAGCTCAAGCGGTGCCCAGGAAGAGGCCGAATCCGACGGCCAAGGCGTCGCCAACCCCCCTGAGGCCGAGCGGAGCTCCCGCGGGAGGGCGCCACCCCCAACCCTCTTATTGTGGCCTAGCGGCTAGGGAGGCGTCCCCCTGCTCCTATTGTCGAGCATCCGATCACCGGGCGACATCGTGCCCTAAGTTGCTGTGCAAGCCGGCCCCGGCGAGGCGAACCATCGCCAGGGAGCACCGCTGGTGCTACTCGTGCCTGGAAAGGCATCTCCAAGGAGACTTCCCACACCAGCGACCCTGCACGCACTGCCAGGGCAACCACTACGCGATTTTATGCCTGCGCGCGAGCGGCGCGTCCTCTCGAGGCCCTGCCAGGCCCCCGATTCCCACGGGCGGGGGCGCTCATCCACGCCCCCTATCGGGCGACTCTCGGCACTCGCCTGCCGGCCACCGTGCCCCTGGGATTGAAAGAGGTCCCTCCTCCGACCAGTCGAGGGGTCGCTCCCCCAGGGGCGGAGGGGTCGTCACTCCCCCTCAGCGTGTTGAGAGGCGCTTCGCGGCCACTCAACGGTCAGCTAGAACCGCCTCACCCCCGTTAGCTGAGCGGCCGCGACTGGAGTACCACCCTCCTCCCTTTGGTCGATACCGGTACTACCAGGTTCCTGCGACCTCAAGACTGTCCCGGGCCCCAAGGCCGAGGTTCCCCGAATTTCCCCAGGTCGGCCCGTTTGGTGAGTGGCAACCACGGATCGTTGAGATGCCGCCGGAATGCCGCTTTCCGGTATCTCAAGCTAATCACGTCTGATGGTAGGTATCGGAGGTGCCGAGCCTCCTGCTCCTAGAGGACAAGCAGAGTTGGTGTTCAGCCCCGCCAGCGAACACCTTCACATTTTAGTCAAGGTAAATGTCCTCGATGACATTGTAGGTTTTCTCCGTAACGTCCGTATAAATGACAGCGCGGTTCGTTGTGCGTCGGGTTTGAGACCGGCAAACCCTCAATGGTCCCAACCTGGGCCTATAGATTTCTTGGGGGCCGACGCGCTGGGGTTCATCTTGTTAGGCGAGATACGAGCCCTGCATCCCGATGGCTTGTCGGCCGTGTCCACTGTATTTGGGCACAGTTTCTTTGGACCGGTTCTGTGGTCTCTTCCTCCTCCGACAGCCGACCCGCTCTCTGTTGTGGGCGTGTCCCTTTCGGACGTCGTCCAGCGGTTCTGGGAAATTGAGGAACCACCACACGCGGCTCGAGTCAACCCTCTGGACCGTGAGTGCAAGTTGTTCTACCAGAACAATACCGGCCGTCGTGTCGACGGTCGTTTCGTCACTCGCTTTCCCTTTCTGGACTCACGTCCCACTTTGGGTCAATCTCGTGCGCTGGCGGAGAAGAGGTTGCTTTCCATGGAGTGCCGCACGACGGCTTCGCCCCCACGTCAAATGGTGTGTCCCTGAACCAGTGTCTCCACTCTGGTCCCAAATTAATCAAGGACATATCCGACATTTTGACCCAATTCCGTCGACACCAAGTGGTTTTTGTAGCCGACATTCGGATGATGTTTCGACAATCAGTGGTCCATCGTGATGACCGCCGATATCAGCTGATATTGTGGCGCGAGAAGCCCAGCGATCTGATACAGGTGTTTAAGTTGAACACCACCACCTATGGACTCCGGTCCAGCCCGTATATCGCCATGCGAACCCTCCTTGAACTCCCTGATAGAGAGCGTCTAAGATACGCTCGGGGAGCTTCTATTTTGGAGACGTCGGTTTACATGGACGACATTTGTACGGGCACCTCCACCGTCGAGGAGGCTCTTGTCTTGCGAGACGAATTAATTGCCATCCTGAGGGTCGGAGGTTATGAGTTGCGCAAATGGTTGTCGAACTCCCCTCATATTTTGAAGGACCTCCCAGGAGAGGATCAACAAGACCCTCATCTATTTGAGCACCCTGAAAATCCTAATTTGTTGACTGTCCTGGGCATTCAATATCAGCCTGTTCAGGATACCTTCACGTATCGAGTAAAACTCGATCCCCCCCCCCCCCAAAGCATGGACCAAGCGCTCCGTGCTGTCTACAGTAGCCGCATCTTCGACCCTAATGGATGGATCACCCCGGTCATCTTTTTGGCTAAGTGCTATCTTCAAAACCTCTGGATGTCCGGGTTGGATTGGGACGAGCCTATTAGCGGAAATCTCTTGCGAGAGTGGCTCTCCATTGTCTCCTCCCTTCCGGACGTCAACCGGGTCTCCATGCCAAGGTGCTTCCTCCCTCCAGGGAAATGCCGGGCGACCCTACATGGGTTTTGCGACGCCTCCGAGAAAGACTATGCTGCTGTCGTATATTTGCGGACTGTGAGCTCTTCTGGGCATACTGCCGTCGATCTCGTACTTACTAAAAGCAAGGTTGCTCCCATTAGGTCCCGCTTAACTATCCCTAAATTGGAACTGTCCGGAGCCGCTCTTCTCACGCGACTCCTCAACCACTTCACTCGTCTTTGACGGCTGTAATCGACATTACGGACGTCTACGCTTGGTCGGACAGTGAGATAGTACTTTGTTGGCTAAGAGATTGTGAGGTACAATCTTAAGGTCTGTGTGGCGAACCGCGTGTCTCAAATTCAGAGTTCTGAGACTTCTCTAAACTGGAGACATGTCCCAGGGGAGTTGAATCCCGCAGACTGCGCTTCTCGCAGCTGTGAAGCCCCCCCGTTGGTTAACCACCCGCTGTGGTGGGGTCTCAGTTGGCTGACTGAGTCTCAGTCATTCTGGCCCCAGAGTAATTACTCCGAACCGATTGAACTGCCTGGCCTACGAGCCCGAGTAGGAGTGGGCAAGGATAAGCCCACTCGGGATCTCTCTCTTCTACAACGGTAAAGCTCACTCGATAAGCTCTTAGAATTTGTCCGCAATTCGAGAGACCCGTCCAACCGAATCTCTGATTTCGTTTTGTCCCCTAGCGAGCGTCGTGAAGCTTTGATGCATTGGACCCGTATGGTCCAAGCGGGGCATTTTGAGCCCGTGATTGAAAACTTGAAGCGGGGCTCCATTGTCAAGGGCGCTCTGGCCTGTCTGAACCTCTTCCTGGACAACGCTGGGATGCTGCGCGTTGGCGGACGTTTGAGAAATTCCCAACTGCCGTACGGGTCTCGACACCCGTTACTGCTCCCCAAGGACGGCGCCTTTGTCCGGTTGCTGGTAACCCACCATCATGTTAAGAACGCCCACGCTGGGTGTAACGCTCTTTCGGCTATTCTGCAGCGGGAGTTTTGGATTTTGGCTGGCAGACGCACCATTAGGAGCGTCATCTTTAAGTACATATCTTGTTATAAACTGAAGGCCACCATATCGCAGCCTATGATGGGTGACTTGCCACCCGACCGCGTCAGGGCCATCCCACCATTCGCTGTAGTCGGAATAGACTTTGCTGGCCCCTTCCTCGTCAAGTCCTCTAACCTTCGTAACGCGCGTTCACATAAGGCCTATCTTTGCGTCTTCGTATGCCTCTCCAATGTTTAATTTTAATATGGATTATCATTAAATATATTAATTATTTATCATAAATTTACATCAAATTTAAATTTTTAAAATACTATTTGTAGGCCATACAAATTCTTGTTTCTGGTCTGGATGTTTGTCCTTGTGCAATTTATGTGTGTAAACTGCCCCTACGATACGTAAGAAAATCCTAGTGTGGAGGTTACGTATTAAAGAAAGAAAGAAGAAAGAAACTAGTTAAGACACAGATCTTATCTAATTATTTTTTTAAGATTTTTCATTAAAGCCGTATTTCATCGAGACACATGTACCTTTGTGGATGTTCATTTATTAAAACAAAAGGAAGAAGAAACTGTAGGTAACTAATAGACAAACATACCTGTAGTATGCCGAGCAGCTCATTCACAAACTCCATGTTGAGCATTGCTTGCATGCTTGTGTGGTAGTTCTGCAGGTTGATATAGCATTGTACGGCGAGGCGTTGCGCTTCTATGGGTGTGTCTTTGTCTAAAACAGGATGATTCCATCAGTGTATAAAATTCTTCTCTGTTAGACGTCAGACTTTGCCACTACCAGGGTTTTATGACTACCAACATCACCACGCTTGGCAGGAAAATTGTTATTTGAAGTAAGTAACTTTCTTACATCCCATTTGCATACAACAATGGAGTGGAATAATTGTGCCATCATCAGCCTTTTCATCTGACTAGAATGTGGGTGTTTTAAAGCAAGAGTTAATAGGCTTTTGGTAAATTAAGTCCAAACAGTAATTAGTTAAGTCAGTGCGTCTTCACCATTTTTTATACCATAGAGCCATGCTGCAGCTATATTATTTGTATGGTTCTAGCACGAGCGGGTCGGCTTTACCGGGGAAGGACCACGCTCTCACAGATTACCAGCGTAAAATAGCAGCTTAATGTTGCTGTGTTTAGTATGGTGAGTGTAAAGAACCGGAGACCCTTTTTACTGGAAAAAAGGCATTCCATCTTAGTCCTCACGGTTGACAACGCATCTGCATTTTGATTCGCAAACGAGGATAGATGTAGACGTGTGTGGGCCACAGTAACCACTTACCAACAGGTGGACTGTGTGCTCGTTTATCACACTTATCCTATAAAAAAAATTCACGTCAGATGGGATAGTAGCACTGGCTTGTAATAGTTAAAAACCCTAACATTAGAAATGTTGGCACAGATCAATTTTTTTCCACATTTAAATAGAAGTGGTAATATGGCGCATTGCTCGCACATTACATCCCCGCGTCGTGTGCATCGCACCTTACATATCTTCCTACTATTATTGTTAAGGCCTATTAACTCACAGTTACTAATAAAGTAGTTTTATATTCAAATAATCAAATAATAATACTGTGGTTAATGATCTAGGTTGCATGACCAAGTGTTTTAAATTCAGTCTTGAGTCTACATTACAAACGATAGATGTAATATAAAATCTTTCATAGAGGTGTACCTATGCTCTGGTCCTCGCCATGGGTAGCAAGACCCAGAAAATCAATTACTATCCGGAGAGGGAATTCCCTAAATCGAACCTAGAAATCTAGAACTCGCACACGATAAGAACACGTAGTACAACAGGACAGTATCGAAAGTCTTGGTACTGTACTGTAGGTGTATTTGTAACTATAAGTAGCTTGTTTAATTATCTATGTAGGTACGTACACTTCTTGTTAATGTTCCTGAGCGAACCGAACGTGCTGTGCTCTACAAGTCTGTAAGCGGCCTTAGGTATAATTCGGCAGAGTTCGGCAAGCGCTCGCAACGCGTTGATGCGAATATAGAACCACGCAGTCGTTTCATCGCTTAAAACACCTTTCAAATTAAAAATAATGTATTGGTTAGGGATGCTATAATACAAATTCTAGTCGATTTTTAAACAATAAAATCAGGAACAAGGCAATCGCTTTATATTTTCATAGAAAGCAAGTAACCTGTCTTCATTCCCGGGTGCCAGCACCACGAAATTGTTACTTGCTACTTTCTGTGAATCAATTGAGATTTTGCATAAATGTGGGTGCCTTAAATTATATTTAACGTGAATGTAGGAAAAAATGTGCAACTTCTGCCATTGTTGACGGCCCCTAAATCCGGTCCTACAGAATGCAGAAACCTTGCCTTGTCACCTTGCTGGGCGACTATTTAGACTGTTTGCTTTTTAAATACATTATGAAATTTAAAAAAATCTGTTTATATATAGAATAAAATAAACATTAAGTCACACATTTTAGAGTTTATATTTCATGAAACATTAAAAAAATTAAAGTGTATGTCTGAAATATCGAAATAACTACCTTTTGACTTATATTGATCTGAGGGGGGTTTTTGTACACCAAAAGACATAAATAGACATTTTCAAAATTTTTGTCTGTCTGTCTTATCCGGGCTAATCTTTAGAATGGCTTAACCGTTTGTAATGAAACACATCACGAACAGATAGAGAGAATGCCAGAAGTGATCTAGACTTGTTACAACAGAACAACATCATCATCATCATTATTGCCCTTTAAAAGTCCACTGCGGAACATCGGCCTCCCCAAGGAATGCTTCGATGCACGGTCCTTACTCAACAGCATGCATCAACCTCCTGCATATCTTTTTTCACGCCATCTAGTAGTGGGCCGCCCTACACTTCGTTTACCGGTGCTATAGGTTGCCACTCGAGAAGCTTTCTCTCCAACAACATAAAGCAACTGCAACAGCAACTTAAATCACTGAAAATAGATCCACAGACTGCAGTCTAGAAAAAAGAAAAATGTATTTATTTATTTAATTTGTTTAATGATCTTACTTTAATGTACGTAAACGAATGGAACGTTACACTGAAATATGATGAAAAATTACTTAGTAAAGATATTAACCGATGAATATAATACAGTCATATAGAAATAATCACAAAACGTCCTACCCTTAGGTTAAGTTCTTAAAACTTTTAATGTATAATTTTATTTCTTTCGGTTCGGGCTCACTGAAAATCTGCGCTGTTGTTTCGGCGACAGCATAAGCTGAACTTCAGCTGCTGAAGTGAGGTCCGTTTGCTTAACGTGCCACAACACACAATGAACGTATTTTAAAGAGTAATTTATATCTATTCATACTTTTGTTGAATGTATTTGTACGTGACTTGTTGTTTTCTTTTCTTGTATCGACATGTGTACAAATATTAAGAACCTAATTTATGTTGTGACATGTTTCTTTACAATAAATGTTTCTTTCTTTCTTTCTTTCAAATGCCTTTGTATTTGAAAGAAAGAAAGCATTTTTAATTTAATATATATTTGACTTCGCGTCTTTTGTAATTTGAAATGTACCTACATAGTGGTGTTCTGTTTGTCTTTATTTGTTGGTTTGAGGCGATAATCAATCAGAAGATTCATCATTCATCATCATTCGTAAAATATTGCTAACCACAAAGAGCCTCGATGATATTGGTGTCAGACATTCGGACAGCCGAAGGTAAGAGTTTGGTCATATTTGCCACACCCATGGCTGCATCCGCCAACAAATCAACATTAGTACTCAGCAATTGATGGCAAAACACCAGGTCGGTTTCCGTTTGATAAAGCGCCTGGAAATTAAATGTAATTTAATGTGTCATCCATCACTTCTTTTCTCCTGTACTAGGGAGTTGGTTATATATTTTAGCTATGTGTCAGTATGGAAGGTAAAAGTTTTTACGGCCTATATAAGTCTCACTGCTAAGCACAGGCCACCTCTCATTTCAGGTTTTTCCTGAGCGTTTGGAAAATCCAAAAGTGCACGCCACATGAGCGTTTTTTTTTCATCAAAATTAAATAAAAAATTCCTAAAAATAAATATCTTTTAAACGTCTATGCGTCTGATAACAACCAGCAATAGGGATCATCCTGAGGATAAATGGTAATTTATTCAGAAAGATTTAATTAATTTCGTTGCGTACTAACTGACAGCCGTACTAATAATTTTGTAAATATAACTTAACAAATGAATATAAAAAATACGCTCACTTTATAATTTAATATATCTAGTTTTCAAAATATTAGATTTAGTGTCTAAATTGAGACATACTAACAATTTTATATTGCAAAATCGTCACATAGCCGCATATGTCGAGAGTAGAGTACTCCCACACGCTCGCGCGTTATGAGGTGTGCAATAAAAATAACTGCGTTTGCCAACCCGACTAGCGTGACAACCATAGCAAAATCCTCCCTATGAGGCAATCTCATCATATATTGCCTCCCCTATGGGAGCTAATATGTGTTCAGAATTCTGAAGTTTATTAGGCTGTAATGGATGACTCTATGCATTAAGCTAACTCAACTCAACGGTATATTTTTTTATAGAATTAGGAAGACAAACGAGCACACATTCCACCTGATGGTAAGTGGATGCTGTGGTCCATAGATATCTACATTTATCTACAATTAAGAATCAAAATGCAGATGTACTGACACACCTGAGGACTAAGGTCTCCGGTTCTCCACACTCACCATACGAAACACAGCAGCATTAAGCTGCTATTTTACACTAGTATTCTGTGAGAGCCTGGTCCTACCCCGGTCGAGCCGACTCATTCGTGCCACAACCATAATATAGCAGCAGCATGGCTTTACAGCATATAAGAGTGGAAAATATAATTAGTGAAAAAACAAAATTAATGTCTCACATCTCTCCCATTGGCGGTAAACGACATCTTTGTAAGTACGGCCAAACAATGGGGCTTCATAGCTGGTAAAGCCATATCCAGATAAGCTAGAAGTCGTAGGATACATCCAGACTGGTACAAATGCGCTGCATTTTCTTCCGTTTCCGCATAATTTCGGAGCACTCCTAATACTTCAGTGTGCACATCGCGGAACTCATATGACTGTAAAAGACGATTGATTTGCGTACTCAATCAATAATCAGTTTTTAAAACAAAATAAAATATGTTCCCAATTAAACTAAAAAAAAAACTTTTTATGGGTGTAAGTGTTGATTTTTTTTACAAAATGACTTAAAAAAGTATTTCTTAAGTCTTCGTTAAATTGTTGATTTTTACTTTAAAATAAATAATAATAATGTCCTCCAGACCGAATTTCGGTCACGGCGGCCAGCCTCAACGGAGACTAGCCATGTGCGCAGGACAGGATTATAGTGCCCGAGTGTATGCGCAAGCACAGGTGCACTCTCTATTCCCTCACTCTCATAGTCCGATGGGACGCTAATCCGACACAACCGGAGAGAGATCAGGCGCAGGACCAACGGCTTAACGTGCTTTCCGAGGCACGGGGAAATAAATATATTGCTACATGACTATTATAATAACTGTTTTTCTTAAAATGTTGTATATGTATAAAAATATACCACATTTCAGTATACAATAAAAAAACATGTCTAATTAAGTTTCGGTTTCGGTTTCGGCCGAAACTGACACCCAGACCGAAGGTTCGTTTTCGGTTTCGGTTTCGGTTGAAAATCCTGTTTCGATCGGACACTACTCTATAGTGCCCTAAAAATCTCTCAAGCATGGCGTAACAAATTTTAGGTGGTGGTTTTTTGGGAATGAACGTCACTTCCAGGCCTTAAAAGTTAGTCTATACCAGCAGGATATGGTTTCCCAAGAAGGGCCATTATCTATAAATGCCCCTTTAAAATCTTAGAAAAGACTCATCTAGTTTTATTTAAAAAATCTTTGTGTGAAAAGTTTCCCAAATCAGATCATTTTTCAATGAAACATGACTTTTCCATAAAAATTAGGTCGTAAAAAATGTGGAGGGAAATTTAAAATATGGACGTTCATATTTTGCTCGTATTTCATCGTATAACTATTATAACTGGCCAGTGTCTTGTACAAAATACTTTTTTTTTTTTTGCTTGGCTTGTCGTTTTAATGGCGAGGAAACTTGTAAACCTGAGAAATCAAAACACGCTTACAATACAATAAGAAAACTACTGCCTTCATTATTAGGACGTATTAAGCGTTATTTTTTCAAAAATAATTTAACGTAATATAAAAGTTTATAGTCTTTAACTGACCTCCAATATGTCACACAGATCCAGTACTCCAGTTGAAGCTCTAAAACTCTTCTGTACCACGTTGTCCTTATATCGGCAGATCAGTTGGTCGACTGTCTTGATCGCTGCGTGCTGTATAGCGAGGTATTTGCTCTGCATCAACGCCAGCAGCGATGACCAGTTGAACTGATGACTTCTTGTTACTTCAGAAGCGCTCACCGGATCGGCGAGTAGATTGCTGAGAGTCTATTGTAATGTTTCAATAAGTTCACTAGATGGTTCCTGCATAGGAGTTTGTTTGGTTACTGGATTACGAACCAAAATGCAGATGCGTTGTCACCAGTGAGGACTACGATGGAATTCCTCGTTTCCAGTTAAAAGAGTCTCCGGTTCTCTACACTCACCATACGAAACACAGCAGCGCTAAGCTGCTATTTTACGTTGGTATTCTGTGAGAGTGTGGTCCTTCCCCGGCCGAGGCAACCTATTCGTGCTACAACTATACTACTATTATATATATAGCTGCAACATGCCTCTACTACATAACGTGTAGTGTCCTCGGATCCAATCCTCGGCGTCGATATATCGAGCGACGTGCATTTTCGTGGACACTTGGAAAAGAAGGTGAAATTGGCCTCTGAAAAGCTTGGCGTGCTCAACAGAGCGGGATAATATTTCATGTCGGCACACCGCCTCCAACTTTACAAGGCGCATATTCGGTCTCACATGGAATACTGTTCCCATCTCTGGGCTGGGGCTCCCCAGGGCTTTATTAAAAAATATAAAGCTGCTTTTGGTAACAACAATATGGTTTTCTTTAAGTTTTTTTTTTAAGAAATCTCTCCCTGATAAAAAATATCTAAGGCCCACGACCAGCCACGCCGCGCCGCCGCGACGCCGCCGTCGCCGAGGAAATTTTGAGGCCACGCCGCCGCCGTGGAATTGGCCTTCGGCGCTCATATCTACTATGCCATCATAAAGTGGTAAACATTTAACTATATCGTCCTTTGGATGACGTATAAAGCGTCTCCCACACACAAGCGGCTTGCGGTGGCGGCTAACCGCGAGCCGCCGATCCAGCCGCTGCAACAACACACCACTGCGGCCGGAGTGGCGGTCTGAAGCGCCATTCCCTTTAGGGATATATATGTTCTGTGCGCCATTCGCTGTGGTGTCTGTGCTACGATTGGACGTCAGTAAACATGACAAACCGTGGCGAAGTCTTATTATATTCAGCAATGTTATCATATATTTTGTTTTTAATCCTAATGCTTTTGTAATCACGATGCGAATTATCATAAAGTACTGGATAATTTTGCCATGTTTACTGACGTCCAATCGTAGGACAGACACCACAGCGAATGGCGCCTCAGGCCACCGCTACGATCGCGGTGGTGTGTTGTTGCATCGGCTGGAGGTGCGGCTCGCGGTTAGCCGCCACCGTAAGCCGCTTGTGTGTGGGAGACGCTTAAGTCAAATAAAAGAATGTGTGAGAGATTCTGTAGCTTACCGACATTATACCGAAACATAACCATCTTAATGATTTTTTTTTTATTAGTGATTACAGCAAATCCTGCCTACTATGAGAGAGGAATATGTTAAAATGTAGTCTGTATGCGGACTCGGACTGTTAAGGCAGAAACTTTCATACTTACAGAAATATAAGACGTCTCGAAATGAAATGAAATCTCTTTATTTTTCGACTAGTTCTTTTTTTTAATTTATTACGTTTTAAAATAAGGTTTCTTCGCCCGTGCAAGCGGCGAAAGAAACTCTTTATCAAAAATTAAATGTAAATGAAACTCACACCTTTGAAATTGCATTTCGTCAAGTCTTTAAAGTTACTGGTGAGACCAGCGAATTAAAAAACCTGACAGTGAAGTAGAAGTGACAATCTGGTATGCAGGTGGCTCAGGATTGTGCTTTGTGGGAGGCATGCCTTGGGGGAGGTCTATGTTCAGCGGTAGGCTTTTGAAGGACTATAACAATGATGATGATGATGAAACTTTATATAATTTTACAAGAAGTGAAAGAAAAAAAATTCCAACAAAAAGATTGCATGAAATTTGGGTCTGAAGTACGGATACGTGAAACAAAATTGCTGAATCGATTTTTTTTTTTATAGGAGAGGGGGCGAACGAGCATGCGGCTCACCTGATGGTAAGTGACTACCGCCGCCCATAAACAACTGCAACACCAGGGGAATTGCAGATGCGTTGCTGGCCTTTTAAAAAGGAGTAGGCTCTTTTCTTGAAGGTCCCTAAGTCGTATCGGTCCGGAAAAATCGCTGGTGGTAATAAAATAAAAATAAAAAAAGAAAAGTTCATACTTTCAAATCAATACCTGCAGACAATTATTCTGAACGTCAGGATCTGTACTGTTTTTCATTCTGGAAAATAAAGTATTTAGAATGTTCGCCGAGACCAACTGTTCACATCCTAATGGCTCCTTTGTTAGTTCTGATAATACTAAAGAAGCAAATTCTAAGACGAATACATCTTCAATCTGTAAAAGTACAAAAATAAATCCTACAATGTACAACCTGGCTTATTTTATTTTACGTTTGTACGTGGTAGAGTCAAGCTGCAGCCAATACGGTTGGAGCACTAACAAGTCGCCTCGAACGAGCTTGCTCGACCACGCTCTCACAGAATACCAGTGTGAAATAGCAGTTAAATGCTGCTGTGTTTCATATAGTGAATGTAGAGAACCGGAAACCCTTACTACTGGCAACGAGGCATTCCATCTTAGTCTTCAAGGCTGACAATGATAGATGTAGGTGCCTATGGGCCACAGCATCCAATAACAATCAAGTGGACTGTGTACTCGTTTGTCACCCTTATTCTATAATAATAATACGTAATCCCACTTCACACTATAACTTTCTCGTGTACTGTCGATGCGTTTTATATACTTAAATTGCACACAAACAAACATCCAGACACGGGAAAATTATTGATATGCCGTACAAGTACTTGTTCCATGGTGGAATTAATCCCACAGTCGCATCACCACACTGTCATGTGTTGTTTTTTTTTATAAAACTGAAGTGACAAAGGACCTAACAGTCCGCCTGAAGGTAAGAGGCTACAGCAGTCCATGAACACCTGCAACTATCCTCAACCAGAGAAACCGACAGTTTTCTATCGCTTCCTTGGACTAAGATGGAGTGCCTCAAACCTGTAATTATTTTGACTATCTTCATTCTTCACATTAGAGCGCAGCAATCCCTATACTGTTGTACTGTTGTGAAAATTACGTAATTAAGATGTCTTTTTTTGTGATCGTAGCATGAATGGGTCGCCTCGACCGGGGAAGGCCCACGTTCTCGCAAAATGCCAACATAATATAGCAACTCATTACAGCTACATTTCGTATGGTGAGTGTAGAGAACCGGAGACCCTTTTCTTTGGAAACGAAACATTCCATCTTAGTCCTCATGGGTGACAACGCATCTGCATTTTGATGCGTAATTGAAGATAGAAGATGTAGATGTCTATGGGCCACAGTAACCACTTACCATCAGGTGGACTGTGTGCTCGTTTGTCACCCATATTCTATAAAAATATAGGTCTAGATGTCTATGGGCCACAACATCCACTTACCATCAGGTGGACTGTGTGCTCGTTTGTCACCCTTGTTCTACATAAAAAAAGAGTGTGGTACATACTAAGACGGCCTACTAGGATTAAAAAATGCCCTATCACCTAGTATAAAGAACTTAGTGTTATACTAATCCTTACTTTGACAAGCATATTGGCAATTTTCCTCAAATTTTGCGAATTTAGCAGTACTTGCTCAGGTCCACGTGGCAGCTGGCACAACTGTGCCAGGGCTTTCAGTGCAAATCGCCTGATGTTAAGTTCATTGTGTTCAATGTGAGGGAGAATATAACGTATCGCCTCCAGGTCAAATAACAATTGACGATTTTGAAAATCTTGCGCAGAGAACTTCGTTATTGCCCGAAGAGTCTAGTAAACAAAACCTTTTTTATTAAAAAGTAAAAGTTAGCTATAATAATTTAAAATTAAAATTTTGTATAACCGACTTCAATATAAATTATTAAGAATAACTAAAAAACAATGAATCAGACTTTGTTTAAATTAATATGGAACCACATAAGAAGCACCAGCTTTCAAATAAAAAAAGAATTTTCAAAATCGATATACCTAGAAAAAAGTTATGAGGTAACACACATAAAAAAGAACATACAGTCGTATTGAGTACCTCCTTCTTTTTGCAGTCGGTAGGAAGTTAGTGGGGTAGCTTAGAAGAGCCGTGGTAGTTCAGGGGCTAAGCGCCAGCTATTAATCTCACAGTGCGCAACCATTTTATTTTATGGTTTACCACATCGTTGTAACATTGTGAGGAAACTTGCGTGTCTGAGGAATATGCACTGCGTATATACACGGCGCGGGGGACTATATGCTCCATTACCCACTTAGAAATGAGAATGTCTATGCCCAGCAATGTGACGTATATGAATGTAAAGTTTTTTTTTAACTTGTTATAAGCCAGTGCTAAATTACAATACTACCTGGCGGTAAGTAGTGATGATTTACTTTTAACTAGGTTATACTCCCATATCGTCCCTTGGGTTTCGTAAGAAGAGAAATTAAAACGGAAGAACCGTTTGTTCGAATGCGTGGTAAGTCAACAACGAAAGGGTGGAGATTGGCCGAACGTCTGGTTGTCCGATGGTAGAAGGGAGAGGGAGGAACTAAATTCTGCAATTCCTGCGCACACTCTCCGAAATGCATCCTGTAGAAAACCGAAAGGCTGGCTGCTTTGCGTCTGTGTTCGAGGCTGGTAAGATTGGTTTTAACGAAATTCGGGTCACCAATAAGCCTCTTAGCATGCATTTCCATTAAGTCTAGGTGGCATTTTGCAGCACCAGCCCATATATGACAGCAATACTCCATGCCCGACCGGACTTGCGCTTTATATAAAGTAAGCAGCTGTCCCGACGTGAAATATCGCCGCACCTTTGCAAGGACTCCCAGCTTACTTGCAGCTGCTTTGGCCTTGGACTCAATGAACCGCCCGAAGTTCAGATTTGAGGATATCTCAAACTCTAACAACTCAAGGCGGTCGGTATATTCCAGTGATAATATATAAATATCGGAAAGGAGTCAAGGTGAGCTGGCTCCTTTTTACAGTGAAGAGAGCCGCTTGTGTTTTGGAGGCGTTGAATTTCACAAGATTGGCATCGCCCCATTCGGAGACTGCCAGTAGTGTGAGATTCACACGCCATACCATAGCTTTTATTTATTTATATTTTACTTTTAATACGCCTGCAAAATTTCAGATTATTTCGACGTCCGAAAAAGGGTGAAAAATGACTTATTAAATGCCATTAGTTTCATAAATACACACACATATATTACACGAAAGACTGGCTAAGACCACTTAGCGGTCAGTCTACTTCACCTGAGGATGCCTTGTGTAAAGGCGAAACACGTGTCTTATTATCAACGGTGGTGTATCTTTCCTGGTGTGGTGGGAGGTGCTCTTCACACTATGTAGGAAAGATTATTTTATTTTATTAGGCAGATATAAGCAAAAAAAAATTAAGTCTTTAATATAATGGATTTTCGCAAAGTAACGCCTGTTTCTTTTAATTATATTATGATTATTATTTAAGACAGAAAAATCAGTTACTTGACATAGTATTTCTGGTTCCGGTGACTCCAGAAGCAGTACAGCTGTACGGGCAGTTTCTGGCGTAATGTTATAAGGATGAAATGTTAAATCCTTTTTATCGGCAGATCTATTCTCTCTGTCTTTTTGCAATGGTTTCGCCATTTCGTCTACAAGTAAAAATAATATTACTTCTTATTATAATCAATTTTTGTAAAAACGGTTTTTATTATTTAAACAATAACTTTTGACGTTTGAAATGACAAAGCCATAGATATTATTTGAGGACAAAGTTATAAATAACGTCAAGCATTATAGTTCGTGAAACGTAGTGATTAAATTATACTACTTGATATATACGCTAGAGTAATGATTTGAAGAAAGTTTTAGATTAGATGACCAACATGATTAATTTCGTTTTTTTATAGGAGTAGTGTAACAATCGAGCTCACAGTGAACCTGATGGTAAGTGGAAAGTGTCGCTCATAGACACTTCCGAATTAAAGTTCAAATGTGTTGTCACCCCAGAGTACTACTAAGAAAGAACGCCTCATTTCCAATTAAAAGAGTCTCCGGTTCTCTACACTCACCATACGAAACAGAAATGTCTCTGGGGACACAGAAACTGGCAGATACTTTGGTCAGAGGGTCAGCCTGGCGATACATCGAGGCAATACGGTCATTCTTCTAGGCACGCTAACAACAGACGGCGGTATATGTGTAATTTTGTAAATTTCTTTTTTTGTTTTTACTTGTATTAGAGGTAGTCTTTTATTACTTTTTGGTAGCCTACACTACTGCTGACCGAAATATGACATTATACTCTCTCCTTGTCCGAGACGTTCTTTACAATATGTAGTACGCGGTATTTTATACCAGTTCATCACAGTAATATCCAAGCTCCTAAAAAAAATTTGGAACGGCAGAACGTATGCACATCACTATCCCCATCCGTCCGTCAAATGCAATGTCATTACGTTTTTTTGTGCCAGCCGTCACGGTGTGTTTTTATACATTTTGTTATTAAAATCAAATATGTTGGTGTAATATTAAATGTTTTGTATCCAAAACCTACCACAACTGTGTTATACATGCCTGCGTGGTAAGATTGGGTTATACTTTGGAAAAAGAAGATATTCAAAATGGAGCAAACTGATTGAAGGTAAACATGGGTAAACAAGAATCATCTTGTTTCGGAGGTAGGACGTGTAAAAATTTAAAGTTTCTTTTAATAAAATCAGATTCACTGTGTATCGAAACATTTAATAACAAGTATGATTAATTATCAATGGAAATCCACTATTAAGCTGTAATAACATAACGTCGTCACTCGTATAATATGGAAATAATAAATAGGTATCCAACCAATAAATGTAGGTTGAGATATATACTAGAGATACGTAGAGAAATTGAAGTGATATATTAAATATGTTTTTCTTACTTCGTGTTCAATTCGTCTTTGAGCATTTAGTTGGGCAGTTGCGATTTATCATAGTCATTGGGAAAAATTGCTCCCACCTTAGATAAGCAGGTGATTGGTACAATATTGGGAAATTAAGAAAAGGAAAATACTCCGGTACACTATCACCATCTTATTGGACAAGATATTATATCTACCATACTGAGATACAAAAACAATCACAATGCGCTTAAAACTGTTGGGGAAAATATCTAACATGAGTTATATATATGCTACAAACAGACCATTAGAACTATTACTTATGATATTCAAATTATTCATATGAATATAATATATTGGTTCATATATATATATATATATATATAATAAAATACTCAGGCTGAAATGCCATCAACATCTTGGGACAGGATTTTCTGGGACATTAGGCAGTGCAAAGATGCAGCATCAAATTACTGAGGACTTAAAACTGTTGCAAAGAATATCTAGCATAAGTTATATAGAACACTACATTAGAGTTATCACTACCATTAGAGTTATCACTTAGAGGATATACATGGTATTAATTACTCAGACCATTAGAGCTATCACTAATGAAGTTAGACATGGTTTACTATTCATACCTTAGAACTATCACTTAAGAGGGCAGACAGGTTTTGAACTGACATATAAAGCGCTACCATTAGAGGAAAGACATGGTGTAGGCCCCGGAAAACATGACTGCAGGCTTTAAACCATTAGAGCTATCACATAGAGGATAGACATGGTTAACTATTCAGACCTTAGAGCTATCACTTAGAGGATAGACAGGCTTGAATTGATATATATAAAGCGCTACCATTAGAGGAAAGACATTAAGATGGTGTAGGCCTCGGAAAACATGACTGCAGGCTTTAAACCATTAGAGCTATCACATAGAGGATAGACATGGTTAACTATTCAGACCTTAGAGCTATCACTTAGAGGGTAGACAGGTTGGAATTGACATAAAGCCATACCACTTGAAAGTAAAACATTATGCTTTACTGGGATTTAGAATAAAAATAAATAATGGTATAAATTTTATTACAAAGGGGACTAATATTATGAGTACAACATAATGAAAAAGTGTTACAAATTACAGATGTAAAAATATCAGAAAATCTCAGGGGGGTTCGTTAAAAAGAAGTCCAAAAATTGTCAACATAAGAGAACCCCCACGTGATCATTGGACATGAAGATAGCAAATTATATTCCAACATACCAAACATATAAAAGGGGCAGCAGGTCCCGAAGTTATGTACCCTGATGTGCTAAATTTCAATATTTTATCAGAAAAATGGTTTTATTAAGATTATGTAAAACCTTGAGGATCCTGAGGAAAAATTAGCAAAACAAGTAAGAAATAATAACTGAATTTTGGGGCGGAACTACCTTGTTGCTCAAGGTGAGAGTCAGGTTACTAGTTCTTAAAATTGTAATTCCCAAACAAATTATGAGATTTATAGATACATGTTAAAATTTAAAGACAGTATATTATTATATTATTATGTAGACACTTTAAAAAAAAAAAAAAGTTACATAATATGACATCCCCCTTCTGTGTGGACGGGTGGGGGGAGGCCTATGTTCCGCAGTGGACTTTTATAGGCTGCAACGGAGGAATGGATAATGTGACATGGAAGTAACAAAAGACATGATATGAGAACCGTTTGCCTTGATATTGAATATCAAGAGGATACAGGTTTAAATAGCTTTAAAAGATTATACCAAATAAGCCATTATTTTAATTATATCATCCACCTTCAGATGGAATTACAATAAATTTCTTACATTATTAAAAGAGATAAAAAGACAACAGATAGCCTTTACATTTTTCATAACGTTAGTTTTATTGTAAATTTTCAAAAACTTAGCCTATTGAGCAACTTTCTACTGTTTGGCATATTCTAGCCATACCATGATTAATGAATTAAATTTAAACAAAGGCACATATTTGCATCTGAGCTGTATTATGTAGCTTAGTATAACCTAAGTTACAATGAAGAACCAGTGTATAGCATCATTAGGTTTTAAATAAAATAATGAGGTGCAAAATACATAAATGGCTCACAGCGGTACATAAAATATGTATTTGGGAAAATATAAAACTGACAAAATTTACTACTTTATACAATTATAAATTGTACAATTAAAAAGAAATTTCAAAATGATTATAGTAAACAATTTTACTATTATAAGGTATTTATAGGTTATGACAAGTTAAAATATAAGTCATATGTTAAGGACATAGTAAAAATTTTATTTTTTTCAGTTATTTTATGTAGGGTTTCATACCTACCAGGTTATTATTACATTATATAGTAAAATAACTATGGTAAACATACAATAGAGTTATGGCTGACAGATGCATTAAAATAGATACCAAAAGATGTTAGCAACATAATTAATTTGCTTTAGTAAAGGAAATTATAGAAAAAGACTTATACACATAATTGCAATATGAATAGCTACTCTATATTTTCTCTATATTGATTTGGCATAAGCCATTTAGGTTGCTATCAGTAATACAAGGTTAATAATGTTGTGTTTTTTAACTATTATGTACATAATAATATATATGGAAGGTATGTTCAGTTGCAAATTTCTGATCTTAGAGGGTAGTGAATAATATTGCAAGTAATAATACTATTAAAAAGCAAAAAGTTGGTTGAAATAAAGACTGACACTTCTCAACTGGATGGAAAGAAGCCATTAGAACTGAGACAAATTTGGTTCTTAGTCCTTCATTGTGAGGAAATTACATATATTATTATTGGATATGAAAGAAGTATATGCTTATAATTTTGAAAATTGTAGACCACAATACAAAATCTTTAAAACAAAACAATAATATAGATATTATGAATAATACTTACTACAAATAAATACTACTTATGGTGTACAAATTCACTCAGAGTTGATAAAACCACTGTTTCATACATTGGCAAGATAGAGAGGGTTCTCTTTCATTATTTATTGAGGATTCAATTCTATCAATTAAATGAAAAATATTGGAAATTATATATAGATCTGAAATTGAGGCAAGTAAACAAAGAGTAGTCATAGGAAGTCTCTCAAGTGTATTCAACAAGATCATAAAGCGGTGTCAAAACTAATAATTGATGAATTAGCACTGAGAAATAATAATACTATTATACAGAACAATTGTTTTCTGTAGGTATGACTCAGAGACCATGGTAGTTATATTAGATTGGGGGTGATTCTTCTATGCATTTTCACTAATTGCTATGCTGTTAATATGCTGTCAAAAAATTAAGTTTATTTTTGTTTATAAATGTGAATTAAGTGCAAAGGCATGTTAAATTAAAGATTCAAATTATTCATTTGACTAAAACAACAAATTATTAACACCACTTGACAGAGAATCATACACTACTATTGTTATTATCATGTTATAGACAGGTTGTTATCACCTCATAGGCATCTGACGCATATCATAGGTACTATTAGTGAAGCATTTGTAAAAGTATGGCACTCCAAATTCATACTTAAATATTATAATATAAATTATAAAATTATTATTTCTCTATAGTACCAATTTTGCAGTAAGTCTAATGTAATTCCTGGGCTTTGTGATTTTTTACTTAGGCTTTTGTTATAAACATAGACTTAATAATAAGTTAGTTTAGGTTACTAACATCAAAATTTTGCAATAAAGGTTTAATTTTACAAAACTAGTAAACAGCTTAGCTGTGATGATTCACAGGTCATAAAATTTATTAAATATTGTCCTTCATAAATATTACATTTATTCCAAGGGTAGTTCAGAGTTATAGTTATGATATAAGGTAGAATTTCACTTCAACAGCGATTGCGTGGGAAAAAATAAATGAGAGAAGCTTAAGCCTTTCCTGTGAATATTTAATAGAAAGCATAACACAAGATATGGATAACGTTAACATTAACTCACAAAAACCCATTTAGAAAAGCATTTCTCAAGTTATAAGATGTTAAATTAAAATTTACTTAAATAGAACTGGAAGAGATATTCCAGATTATTGTGTTTTCTCGCAATCATAGTTCTTCTACGGACCACTTCTGCTGATATCAAGTTGGCCTTACATGTATAAGGAGATGTTATAATATAAGGATAATTTATTTTATGTTATTAAATCAAATATGTAATATACATATAATACCTTCAATTTTTCCTTTATAAAATAAGGATAATTGCAAAATTTTTCCATTCATTGGTATTATAATTCGCAACCCTGTCTTCAAACATCTACATATTGTAAAGAACGTCTCGGACAAGGAGAGAGTATAATTAAATGGTTAAACGAACTTACCTTAAGTGAAGTTCAACCATAATTATACGAAGCTCCTTGTCCGAGACGTTACTCCCACCCAGCCCTCCCTGGTTGAGGGTTGCTCATCTAATTCCTTGCTTTAAACATAATGACATTGCATTTGACGGACGGATGGGGATAGTGATGTGCATACGTTCTGCCGTTCCAAATTTTTTTTAGGAGCTTGGATATTACTGTGATGAACTGGTATAAAATACCGCGTACTACATATTGTAAAGAACGTCTCGGACAAGGAGCTTCGTATAATTATGGTTGAACTTCACTTAAGGTAAGTTCGTTTAACCATTTAATTATTGACTACAGTGTATGAGCACCTGCCATCCAGTGGCAGTTGTAGTTGGCGCCCAAGGCCGCTAGGGCTAAAAATGCCGCTTGTCATTTGCATCAAATGCCCATTCCCCCTCCCTTCGCATTTTTGCAAGTATCTTAAACCTTAAACAATACAAAATCGATAAAAGTCATGAGTAGCATTATGTGTATTTTTTATAATAGGGATTAAAGTATGAAATTCCCGTATTATATTGAAAGACTTACTTAACACTTATCGCTATATTTTGGTCAATTTACACAATATTTTATGAGCTTATGTGTTATTCTGATGTATGACCTATATTATTGTAAAGTTTCATTACAATCCATTCAGTAGTTTTTGCGTGAAAGAGTAACAAAAATCTACACATCCTCACGAACTTTCACATTTATAATATTAGTAGGATTTATAATATTAGTAGGATTTATAATATTAGTAGGATGTAAGTACAACCTTTATCTAAGGTTGTCATAGATCAACAGTGTGGTAAAAAATGTTTGTTTAAAACATTATGTAATAACGAAGCCTATACGAAATCTGTGCTGAACACCATTTACCACCAGGTGGTATTGTAGTCAATCACTGGCTTATATTAAATTAAAAGAGAAAATAGGACTCCCCTCAGAGACTCCTAAAATACGGCTCTAGTCCACACCTTCATCTCTGTGTTGTGTATTTTACGAAATGGTCACTTAGGTCACTTAATAGTCACTTAGTCTAATAACGTGGTTCACTGCATGTGGCTGTCACAGGAAATCACTTTTCTCCGATGTTGTATTCATTAATTCATAAATAACAACGAAAAACTTTTTATGTAAGTTGTTAGTACTGGCAATTTATTTTTAATTTTAAAATATTTTTTGTTTTCCTACAATAAAAAGTCACGTATGTCATTTTAACGTAATACTATTTTTAATGTTGATGTACATTTATATACGAGCTTTATGCGAAATAAAGGCTTAGTTTTTCGTTACATAGGAATATTCGCAAGGAAATTTAGGTCTTTTCAGGAGACATGGTTACTGCCATGGTGGGGCAGTGGGGGGATGTCCGCGGCCCCGATTTGGGCACTAGACACAGTAGTACTGATCGTGAAGTTGTGCTCGACTCTCACTATGGCTGTCGTGAGAATTATAATACCGCCGGCAATGAAAAGTCTATACGGCGAAACTGTGTTGGTTTGTAAATTGTTTGATTTTAAGTCTTAAAGTTAAAAGATTTGACTAAAATCCACAGATTCTAAATGCTTGATATCTTGTGTAAATCTACGATAGCAAATTAGAAAATTAAAATAAGAGATAAAGTAGAAAAGAAGACAATGTGGTATATATCTTAATCTAAGACCCCGTATTCCATAATTAGGATGTCAATAGCATTGCTTCCGTGCGCACTGGCAAACGTAACCTCTCTTGATTATCTTAAGAATATATTTAATTTTTCAAGCGTGTGTTACAAGGGAGAGTAGTTTCATATGCGTTAATAATCTATCACTCATTGTAGCAGTAAAAAGTACTACGCAAGCAACTAGCTTAGATCATTCCACGAGTCTGAGTCGTTGTCGTTATTCTGTTGATGTTGCAGAGAGGCTACTGAGATGTGTTGCATAGTGGCGGGCAGTGTTGCTATTGATTTGCACTCGTTATTAATTTTGGTGATATAATATTGTATTTGCTTCCATGAATATTCAATAACGTGAAGTTGTTAGCAAGAAATAGTCCTTATAGAATAAGGATGAACTTCCACCCACAGTACAGTCAGTTACAGTCCACCCGATGGTAAGTGGATACTGGTGTGCAAACGCACCTACATCTATCCTCGGTTAAGAATCAAACTGTGTTTTTACCGCTGAGTACTAAAATGGAGTGCCTCCAAAAGGAATCCTGGAATTTCCAGTAAAATGTTTCTCCGGTCTCTATCTCATTAAGTAGCTATTTTACGCTGGTATAGTCTGCCCGAGCGTGTTCTTTACCCCGGTCGAGCCGACCCATATATGTTGCAGACATAAGTATAGCTGCAGCGTGGCTTTACCACAGAAGGGTATCAAAGTCCAACGTTATTAATAAGTTGACGATTAAACAAATATCTTATTTAAAGATAACCGGCGCTGGTCAAGGATTAGGACGCGAACTAGCGATCCAGTTCGCGGAGCTGGGCGCCACCGTTATATGCTGGGACATCGATGCGCGTAGAAACGATGCTGTTGTTAATCATATACGCAGCAAAGACGGCGAGGTACAAAACACAGCAGCGGTAAGCTGCTATTTTACGCTGGTATTATGTGAGAGCGTGGTCCTTCCCCGGTCGAGCCAACCCATTGGTCCTACAACTATACTTCTAATATAGATGCAGCATGGCTCTACCACGTAGGACAATAACAATAAGGTGACAAACTGTATTACAAAATTCCATTACATTCATATATAATACATAGACACATAGAGGTCAAGCTAAAGCAAAGCTAGTAAAAAGAAGATAGTCTATTTGTATATTACCCGTTTTTTTTTATTAGTAGAACATGAAGGCGAGCTATCTGCTCACAAATATAGCTTGAAAGTTGGAAACGCCATAAATACTTAATTCATGGCCTGGATATTTTTTCAATTAGCCGTATCTGTTGTGTAGTACACAGTCTACCCGATAATAATTGAACGCTGTGTCCCATAAACATCCACATCTCACGTCGCTTTAGAAATAAAAAATGCAGATGCCTTGTTGTAACTTTGAATGCTTCGTTTCCAGTAATAATCGGCCAAAAGAGAGTCGGTTTCGCACATGAAGGTTTACGTACCATTGTAATACACGTTTCTAGTAAGGGAGCCCCTTTTAATTTTTAATTTATTTTAATTTTTATTATTTGTTGGTATAGCGGCAACAGAAATACACATTCTGTGAACATTTCAACTGTCTACCTATGACGGATCATAAGATAAGTACAGCCCACTGACAGACGAACAGGGGAGGCTTAGTAATAGGGTCACGTTGGTTACCCGTTGGATACGGAACCCTAGAAAGGATCTCCGGATCTCTACTCTTACCACACGAAACCCAGCGGCATTAAGCTGCTTTTTCATGTTGGTATTCTGTTACTGTTATCGCCAAGCATGGCAACACAATTAGGAGATGGGCAGTAGCGTCTTCCTAACATTTTCTTTTTTTGCGAGCAGCTATGCAGGTCGAGAAGGCCTATAAACTATGATTTACAAAATCTATTGTGATCGCTAATATGGCTATAGTTCACTGCTAAGCCCTATGTTTTCAATGAAGGTGTTGCTCAGCTGTGAGCAATTTCACTTCTTCTGGGCGAAGTACTTACATGGAAAACTCCCAGATGAGAAAGAATCAGTTAGGATGTGTAGAAGCGTTTCTTCCGTTAAGGAACAGAACCGACACATCCTTGAGTTGCTTAGTCCCAGAACGGACATGTGCTTTTTAGACAATAATGTCCAGTCAGGGTTCTTACCAGAATACGCACTTTATTCTTACTTTATCCCAGGGCTTATGAAAGGGATTTAAGATTGCAGCTCGGATTAAGGTTTTAGAATGTTTTAAGTCTGGTGTATCAGACCAGAACCTAAGTGATTTATTGTGATAAAGAGTTTCAAGTGTCAATCGGGCCAGGCATTTTGAGTTTCCACAAAATGAATCGGGTTCAAATTGTGTACTCTTTGAGCCCTCTTGTGCGAGCTTGTCGGCAAGTTCATTGCCTATAATACTCGTATGATCCGGAACCCATCTTAAAACGACTTTATTGTTACACCTCAGGGCGTTTAAAGACGGCTCACGCAACCTCCAACTAGCTTCGAGTTCACTGAGTTTGATCTCAATGCTAGCAGCTTGACTATCAGAGTTTATATAGATATGGTTGACGTAGGGTTTTTGTAGGTAGATTGCTGCACACTAAAGTATGGAGTAAATTTCTCCCTGGAAGATATTGGTGAATTTACCTAAATTCATATTAAGTTTGATTTTGGGGCATTCCCCATGAATTCCAAAGCCTACGTCGAGGCCCATTTTGACCCATCGATATACCGTATAAGGCTACCGACCTTAAAGATAACCTGACCATTCAGCCAGTCTACTCCGGATGGTGGTTCCACTATATACTTTTTATTAAAAGTGTATAGTGGACGAATGATATCTGAGATCATGCATAAGATTGGCGTTTCCTTAATTGAGTCCAGCAGGGATCTCAATCTATATGAAAGCAAGCTCAGACTGACCTGGGCGTTAATTCTGTACAAACTAGTAGCCTCCTAGTCTAAATAAAGCGTAGGAAAGGGGAGCTAGGCATAAAAGTGCATTAAGGGCCGCTCCAGGCGATGATCGCATCGCTCCAGTTGCCATTAAGCAGGCAGTCCTTTGTAGACTATTTAGTCTGTCCGCAGTCGTCTTTTGGTTGGCCTTATTACACCAAACAATGGAGGCGTAGGCCTCACTATGCTGCTGTACAGCCATTGGATCATACTGGGACGCAAGCCCCAGTTGTTCCCGACCATGAGACTGCACGTACCTAAAGCAATTTTAGCCTTATGGCATACGTTGCTAAGGTGCGAGTTCCACGTTAATTTTTGGTTAATTGATACGCCCAAATACTTAACTTCAGTGGAGAATAGTACTTCTTGAGTACCCTCGTTTTACCCTTAGGGTAAGCCATTGGTGGGGCAGGGGTCGTTTTCGCCTGCTAAGGACGAAGACGTCCTTTACTAGAACTATCGACCCCCACCACACATTTCTCTTGCCGCTCCCACCTCCTTTTTCCTTACCCCTGGCCGACACCAGCGGAGACCGTCGACCCGAGGCGAGATCAGTACCTTGGGACATATTCACTATCACTGGCAACGTTCCAGGCTCACTTTGCGAAGTGTAGGGCTGGGGGGATTGATGTTGTGGTTCAGACTCCATTACCGCGTCAGAGCCACCCCTGATCTTAAAAGTTATCATTTTAAAACCAAAGACGACTCTGCCGCCTGCCTCCACTGATAGCCTCCACAGATGAGTCGTCCAGAGAAAAGGCTACTATGAACCCATTCTCCTCGTCCCTGTGGTGGAATATTTTTCAGTGCACTGTATAGAGCTCTTCATTTTGTGCCCTCAACAGCAAAGCCGCCTCTTCTGGAAAGCCAATTTCGCTGCGGCGCAGATAGGTATTTAATACCCAGCTGATGCTTAGGCAGTTCGCCCTCGGATATTATTGAGAGCTCTCCCTACGGCTTTCAGTTTCCCGACATCACCCACAATCCAGTCCCTGCTTGCCTTATTCAGGCATGTTCCCAGAATCCAACCTGGCTTGTGGGTGAAACCCGAAAATTTCGGTTCCGCACATGGCTGCGTCCCACAGGCTGTCTCAGCGCTAGCTTGTGTTAGTTCCCGGTGGACCGGCCGCATCTGTTCCACGCTCATGGGATTCGAAATGCGAATTCCTACACCCGCGGAGCCAGCTGCGGCCATTCGCCAAACTGCTCGCCGGATAGGAGATTAGAATAAGTGTTAATCTAGTCCTACCAATATAATAAAAATGTAAGAATTATGAGTAGATTAACGGGGGTTAATCTACTCCTAATTCCGTTCCATCTTCCTAATCTATACATATAAATAAAATTGAAGTGTCTGTTTGTAATGTCAAAATTACAGCTTTTTACTAAATGCATATGAAAGTAAATACGGTACTTATAACTAAAATACAATTTTTATATTTTTTGTTTGTCTGTCTGTTTGTTTGTTCCGGCTAATCTCCGAAACGGCTGGACCGATTTTTACGGGACTTCACTAGCAGATAGCTGATGTCATAAGGAGTAACTTAGGCTACTTTTATTTTAGAAAAAAATTAGGTTTCCGCGCAAAAAAAAAATTAAAACCTTAACATGCGAGCGAAGTCGCGAGGAACAGCTAGTAATGACTAAAAATAAAAAAACGCAATTGTCAACCTGCTTGCCAAGCGTGATAACTATGGCTAATATCCCCACTATGAGGCAATCTATGGGGGAGGCCTATGTTCAGCTGTGGACTTTAATAAGCTGTAACGGTAACGATTTCCTCCACCGAGACTCATGTCCAGCGGTAAAGTTTTACGATCGGATGAAAATATGGATTATAATGTGTTTCAGTGTTTCGCCTTCACTATAGACGTGACAGTCCGCGAGCAGGTGTCGGCGCTGGCCGCGCGCATGCGTCGACAGCTGTCCGACGTGTCGATGGTGGTGAGCAACGCGGGCACCTTCTCCTGCTCGCCCATAACGAGTTACAGGCCGGACGCCATCGCCAAGCTTATTGAGATCAATCTGATGGCGCATTTTTGGGTAACCTTTCAAATTATTTTAGTGTAAATTCACATTTTTTTAATATTTCACATAAGATTGTTAAGATAGGTTATAAAAGTATTATTATTTTAGTTCTTTAAAGTCCGCTTTTACTTTTTATTTAAAGACTTTTTTTCTTAACAGAACTCACAGTCCAACTGATGGTAAATGGATACTGTGGCCTATAAACATCTACATCTATACTCGATTAAGATTCAAACTGCAGATGCGTTGTCACCCCTTAGGACTAAGATGGAATGGTTCGTTTCCAGTGAAAAGGGTCTCCGGTTCTCTACACTCACCATACGAAACACCGCAGCATTAAGCTGCTATCTGACGCCGATATTCTGTGAGATCGCGGTCCTACTAGTGCGCGCGATTGAGGGAGGGTGGGAGGTCCCCTTAAAACTGGGCAGGACACATCATTTTCTTTCTTTACGCGGAATTAAGCAAATCAGAAGACGAAGAACGTAAAGGAAAGGAAGTGAAAAAATTGAGAAGGCTACAGATGCATTGTCACTTCCGAGTTGAGAGCTAGTTCCACTAACATGGACTACCTCACAGCCTGTATTATACTGGCTCTGTATACCCGTCAGGCTAGACCACAACTGCTTAGTGGCAGAAATAGATAAGAGTGTAGATTCCAAGGTTGAAAAACCACCTAATAAGTGACTACATTGCCAAACCACCTAGTAGCCAAATCCCATAATTGCTTAAATAATAAACATAACTCGCTACATTCATTGAGTTATATGTACTACGTACTAGAGAAGCTATTCCAAACAAAAATTGTGCGCTACTCTGTCTTCGTGCATGCGCGGGAGATAGTAGTCGCGTATGCGCGAAGACTAATTTATTATAAAATAAGATATTAATATAAAATAAATATAAGAATTTAATATAAAATACTCTTATTTAAATCTAAACAAACATATTTCTAAATAAAATGTAATAATAGTTATGTGATGGAATTCACAAATCTTCAATTTACGCAATATTTAGTTTAGTGTACTGATTGCGGTACAGTTCAGTTGAACATAGTCAATGTTCGGAATGCGAAATCTAGTGCGTAGTACATAATTATATATCGATGGCTACGCTACATTACAGATTATCCAAGCATTCCTACCGCACATGATCGAAAGGAGACACGGACACATCGTAGCCATTAATTCGAGTGCAGGTCTTCTGCCCTGTGCGGACATGGTGCCGTATTGTGCCGCCAAGTTTGGCCTCAGAGGTAACTCCACCAATAGCTAAGTACGCAGCTCATGTCAGTATTCTATTACGTTTCAGAATTTAACGGAATGTCGTCAGTTACTGCGAGAAACTGACATCCGTTATTTCTTAAACAAGTCCAAAGGTTGAAACAGTAATTTTAAAATAATATATTATTTCTATACATTTATTTACATAATATATTTTATTATATACAATATTAAAAAATATATAATAAAAAACATGCGTGAGTGTCCGTGGAACACTCGGTAGGAACGAAGTTCCTTCCATAGGGTTTTTTTTAATACTAGTAATGCTGGTAAAAAATACTAATATTCCCTTAAACCACTTCTGCACGGCTAGCATGGGCTGGGGACAAAAAATGTATGCACCCCAATTATATCCACTAACAAGAGATAAAATTATCTTGTCCTTATGCCAAAGCACGGCAACAGAGAGAAGTATATCCCCGTTTGACATAACGAGTAGACATATTTCCCCCGTCCGTGGCATGGGGCCAAATGAAAAATAAAAAGTATGCTTTTTTGACATTTGAAAGGGACAATTATATCCTAGTTCATTGGACGTGAGTTAAAGTTTATATTCATACAAAAAATCTATCTATCTCCCATTTTATCTACTATATATTACATATATCCACCGGTGTGCCCATTCTCGAAGGGTGGATAAAACTAAGTGAGAGGATAAACATTTTCTCCTTTCCCCGGGGATTAGGCTACTGACGCTTCTAATATATTATTATATTATTGATAAACGTAGATATTATATTATTGATTAACAAATACAAATAAATGAATTACTAGCGTCTATTAAAATGAAGCGTCATTTAAAATAAAATTATATTTCTTTCATGGCAAGATAAGAAAAAGTGCGAGGGAGATGGATATTATTCCATCTCGCTCCCTTATAGCCGCCAAGGCTACTAGTGTAGACGGCCTTGGCCCTCTACGTCGACGAGTCGACGCTGCTACCACAGGGGCGATAATGGGGGTTGACAAATCGCCGCTCCTATTCGGATTCCTACGGCAATGCGTAAGCTTTCCCCATCAAGTAATTTGCCGAGATTACTTGATGGTAAAGCGTGTAACCAGTGACTAGATTCCTTAGTCGAAACAGCTAGAAGGCGTGATTGATCGTGGTCAATATGGAAATTATGAAACAAATCTTTCTGCAAACTCTGTACTAACGGAATATCCCACTTTTCTTTTTGTTGGTTAACTTCTAGTGGAAAATTCTCGTCTGCCATGTCTGCCCTGCCTCCGTAGCAGGGCACAGGTCTACTTTATTATTTAAAATTGTGTTACCTACATAAGTCACTGACACTATGCACGGAAGCAAGGAATGAAGGCAATGCAACGCAACGCTAGAAAGATTTCTCACAACAATACCACCAAATTTTATTGGTAAAGAAGCTTAAGTCCAGGCCGTTGTATTTAAAGTTAAATTTAGAATTTTTTCTATAGCTATTTTAAGATTATTATCAATATCTTTCAAAATATCCGAACATTTCCAAATTCTCCATTTTAGACCTCTTCGTCTTCATCAAGACAGATATTCACAGACATTTTATTGCACTCTATTTACACATTTATCCTCAATTAAGATTCAAAATGTAGATGTGTTGTCCGATGTTACCAGTAAAAAGGGTATCCGGTTCTCTACATTCACCAAACGAAATGCAAAGCTTTAAACTTAACTTTTACCGGTGGTAGAGCCACGCAGCAGTTTTTGCTGTTGCATGTATGGGCCGGCTCGAGCCGGGTTGGTACCACGACCTCACAGAATACCGGTGTGAAGTAGAAGCTTTACTTCTGCGTTTCGTCTGGTGAGTGCAGGTGGCCGGAGGCCCAATTCCCCCGCCCCCCCATCAACATGGTAGCGGAATTACACGAAGAACTACCCCAGGAGGGTACCAGCACCCCTGGAGAATCCCTCGCTGAGCATCCACGACCATGTTATTCCGATCCTGAGCGTGGGTGCTCAGGCTGCCCCGCGTATTCTGGGGGGGGGGGGGGGGCAAAATTCCGCTCAAAAGCATTACTGCTAGGGGCAAACTGAGCAAGAACACCAAGGCGACCCCTGCCACGCTATCCGTGAATTTCTGCAACATCAGGGGACTTCACTCTAACCTAAACGCCGTCCACTACCATCTCGAGACGGCGAAGCCGGCCTTGCTCTTTCTGACCGAGACGCAGGTTTCCTCTCCGGCTGATATTTCGTATCTCTCCTACCCGGGGTACAAATTGGAGCATTCCTTTGTGCCTCGGGCTGGAGTTTGCGTGTATGTCAGAGAGGACATCTGTTCTCGACGCCTCGGCAGTCTTGAAGGTTCGGACCTGTCCATCCTTTGGCTACGCGTAGACAGCGACGACCATCCGCGCGTCTACGGGTGCCTCTATAGGTCCCATAGCGGTAATGCCGAAACAGACCGACTCATCGACCACGTCCAAATGGCTACAGATTTCTTGCTACAACAGGTCCCATCCGCAGAGATCGTGATCCTTGGCGATTTTAACGCCCACCATGCCGAATGGCTCGGTTCACGTCTAACCGATCATGCGGGGAGATCTGTTTATGACTTTGCCTTGGCATATGGTCTGACACAACTGGTTACTTCGCCTACGCGGATTCCAGATGTGGAGGATCATACACCTTCCCTGTTGGACCTTCTGCTGACCTCTCATCCGGACGGATATCTGGTTTCCGTCGATGCCCCTCTCGGCTCTTCGGACCATTGTCTGATCCGGAGTGTGGTGCCACTCACGCTCCCTTCGCGGTTGCGTTCTGCAGGTTGCCGCCGTGTTTGGCATTACAGGTCGGCGGATTGGGACGGAATGCGGTCCTTCTTTGCATCCTACCCATGGGGGCGGGTTTGCTTCTCGCCGGATGATCCCAGCGCTGTTGCTGACTCTGTCACTGATGTGGTGCTACAGGGAATGGAACTATTTATTCCATCATCTGTGGTACCCATCGGAGGCAGATCTCAGCCTTGGTTTGGTCGCTCCTGTAAGACTGCATTACGCAGTAAGCAGGAGTGTTATCAAGCCTGGGCTGCGGCTTCGGCGACTCGGGATGTAAATACCAGCACACTTAAAAAGAAGTATAACTTCGCCTCCAGGTCCTTCAAAAGAGTTATTGCCAAGGCAAAGTCAGAGCACATAGGCAGAATTGGCGAGAAACTAGTTCGCCTTCCTTCGGGAACCCGTGCATTCTGGTCTCTCGCCAAGGCTGTCCAAGGGAATTTCTGTAAGCCATCACTACCATCTCTGCACAGGGAGGATGACTCACTGGCCCATGACGCAAAAGACAAAGCCGACCTTTTAGGCTCCCTTTTTGCGTCCAACTCGACTCTTGATGACGGGGGGAAAACACCGCCGACCATCCCACGGTGTGAGTGCTCCATGCCGGATGTGCTGTTCTCACAGCGCTCGGTTCGCAAAGCACTGCTCTCCCTGGACATCCAGAAGTCGAGTGGGCCTGACGGAATCCCCCCAATTGTGCTGAGGACGTGTGCTCCGGAGTTGGCACCGGTCCTAACGCGTCTTTTCCGGTACTCCTACTCCCAAGGCGTAGTCCCGAATTCATGGAAGACAGCTTTTGTCCACCCGATCCCTAAAAAAGGCGACCGCTCAGACCCATCCAACTATAGGCCTATCGCGATCACCTCCTTGTTCTCCAAAATAATGGAATCCATTATTAACTGCCAGCTCATCCGGTACCTTGAGGATCACCAGCTGATTAGTGACCGCCAATACGGTTTTCGTCGGGGTCGATCAGCTGGTGATCTTCTGGTCTACCTGACCCATAGAAGGGCGGAGGCAGTAGAGTCCAAGGGGGAGGCGTTGGCCGTTAGTCTGGACATTGCGAAGGCCTTCGATCGGGTTTGGCACAAAGCGCTTCTTTCGAAGCTCCCTTCCTATGGGCTTCCCGAGAAATTGTGCAATTGGATCACCAGCTTCCTTGCAGATCGGAGCATCAAGGTCGTTGTAGACGGTGCATGCTCTGACTACAAGCCTATTAACGCTGGTGTTCCACAAGGCTGTGTGCTATCACCAACGCTGTTTCTTCTGCATATCAATATGTTGCTAACTGGTAACATTCATTGCTATGCGGATGACAGCACTGGTGATGCTCTATACACCGGCCGTGCCAATATTTCTCGGGAAAACGTCGCTGAGTACCGGAACAAACTTGTGTCTGAAGTCGAGTCTTTGCTGAACAAAGTCTCAGATTGGGGGCGACTAAATCTAGTCCAATTTAATCCTCAGAAGACACAAGTTTGCGCGTTTACCGCTAAAAAGAACCCCTTTGTCGTATCTCCTCAGTTTCAAGGCACTCCCCTTCTTGCCTCAGCCAGTATCGGTATCCTCGGAGTCGACATATCGAGTGACGTGCAGTTTCGTGGTCACTTGGAAGGGAAGGCCAAATTGGCCTCTAAAAAGCTTGGCGTGCTCAGCAGAGCGGGACAGTATTTCATGCCGGCACACCGCCTGCTACTTTACAAGGCGCAAGTTCGGCCTCACATGGAATACTGTTCCCATCTCTGGGCAGGGGCTCCCCAGTGCCAGCTCCTTCCACTTGACCGCATCCAACGCAGAGCGGCTCGAATTGTCGACGACCGAGCCCTTTCCGATCGGCTCGATTCATTGGCACTGCGAAGAGATGTTGCATCCCTTTGCATTTTCTTTCGCATCTACCATGGGGAGTGCTCTGAGGAATTGTTCGGATTAATCCCAGCCGCCAAATTTCACGAACGCACATCGCGGCAGAACTCCCGATACCATCCACACCATCTGGATGATTGGCGGTCCACCACTGTGCGATTTAGAAGATGTTTTCTTCCTCGCACGACCTCCTTGTGGAATCGATTACCATCAGCGATTTTTCCGGACCGATACGACTTAGGGACCTTCAAGAAAAGAGCGTACTCCTTTTTAAAAGGCCGGCAACGCATCTGCGATTCACCTGGTGTTGCAGTTGTTCATGGGCGGCGGTAGTCACTTACCATCAGGTGAGCCGCATGCTCGTTTAAAACCCCCCCTCTCCTATAAAAAAAAAAACTGCTATTTTACGCTAGTATTCTGTGAGAGCGTATGGCCCTTCCCCAATCGAGCCGACTCATTGGTGCTGCAGCTATCTAACTGTAAACACCGAGGTGATTCCATGTGCTTTAGAACACTGAAATTGTTGGTAAACAGTTGTTCACGCGAGTTAAGACGAGGGAAAATTTTGTAAGAAAAATATATTTATAATGTCTCCTAGTGCTAATGGGCCAATCATCCTTGATTTTGTGGGACAGCCCCGCAATAGGAATCCCACAATTGTTTCATAAAAACTATTGTAGGTACATACAACGGAATGAAGAATTTGTATTTAAATTATTACTATACTTTATCAGGCTTGATGGATTCCATGTCCGAGGAACTGAGATTGAGCACATGGACTAAAAATATCTACACGACATCCGTATACCTGGCAACGATGTCGACAGGCCTGTACCAACCTTCGTCTCATCGTTTCAAATCTTGGTACTCCGAAATCACGGCAAAAGAAGCCGCTAGGATTATAATAGCTGGTAAAATTATTCAAAACATTTTAAAGGTTTTTTTTATTATTATTTGTAAGTGACAGACGAGCTTACAACCCATCTAATAGTAAGTGGCTATTGCAGCCAATGGACACCTGCAATGCAACCTGCTTCAAACAAACAAGGATAAAGATGCGTTGTCATCTCTAAAAACTTGAGATGGAATGCCTAACAGTGTGTAATTACACTCTCTATATGTACACTTCAGAGCGGAACCCAGCAGTGCACTCACGGCTGCTTGACAGCAGTAATCACCCTATCAGCCTATCACTTAGAATGTATTTTGAAAATATTTCGCGGTTTCGACTTTAGTCAGCAGATTAAGGGGCCGACTAGATTAGCAAGTAGCGTTCTTGTGTCTAGTCTGCCGCGTAAAGGGTCCTTGATTGAAATCGATTCACAAATTCATGCAGTTTTAGAGCCTTGGTGCCATTCTTCCAAAATAATATTTATGCAAAAAACAATTATAATTATTGATAACGCATAAAAATTACATCGGATGTGACAATGAATAAAAGAACGGCAATAATTATGCCAATTATTTTGTATGTATAATTGGGTATAAAGGCAACGGACGCATGTTCCTGGTAACTCAAAATAACTAAAAAAACTGCGTTTGCCAAACCGCCTGCCAAGCAAGACAGCTATAGCAAATAACCCCCTTTTGAGGCAATCCGTAGACGAGGCCATTATATTTCAAATAGTTCAGCAGTGAACTCTTGACAAGCTGTCATGAAGGAATGAAATTTGTTTTACTTAATGTATTTCGTAATCTTATTCCAGGAATTCGTAAGAATCACAAGGAGATCAGCATACCGTCTTTCATGAAATGGTTGATAGTCATTAACAATGTGTTGCCTTACCGGATAAGAATAATTTTCACCGACTTTTTTAATTTCGGCCACAGAGGATGGTTCAGCTTCTGTTGAACTTAGTTGCTGAAGTCAGTAAGTTTAGTTTTCACAGCCTAATCGGATACCAAGATGTTGACTAGCCTTTAAGAATATTAATACTATTTGTGTTTATGTTTCACTTATTTAAAAGTATGTTATATATAATTTTACAAATAGATTTAACTTTTAATAAAATTTTAGTTATAAATATGCATACTATTCATTAATAAAAAAAGACCGCCGTAATTATGTTATGTCAGCTTGACACGTTTATAACGTTAGTTATTTATAAATCATTTTATGCGTTTTACTTATTATTTTGTTACAGACGTTTGTATATTGTTTTAAACTGAAATGGACTTTGTTTGTAATTTTGAAGAAATATTGTGATAACGTATCAAATAAAATAATTGATATAACAATGTTTTGTATATTTATTTACCACCTTAATATACATATCATCAAACAAAGTACAAACAAAGAGAACTCATACACATAAGTGAGTATTTAACTTATATTTATTGATAGTCTGGCCACACTTATCGCACATTACAATTTCACTGTGTTCGGATAGATGCTCGTCTCTCGCTTTCGCATCAGAGAACTGTCGACAGCAAAAGGTACATTGCAGTTCGGCCGAGTTTGCATGCAGTAAAGAGTGACGCATTAACGTGGCCTTGGTGGCAAAACTGTGACCGCACGATTCACATAAATGACGGCTTAGTACTTGTTTATTTGTGTGCTTTTGAACATGCATATAGATTTCTTTACGGCTTTTGGATGTTTCATTGCAAATCTTGCATCTGTAAATAAAGAGTGAAATACAACAACTTCTCATGGTTGATTTTCACTGTATGGGTCAGTGTAAAAGAAAGAAAGAGAGAAATCCGATAGAAAAGACATCAAAACATCCTCTGTGAAAAAAAACTACGAATATTTTATGATCTCTGACAGCTAACGGTGTAAAAAAATATATGACACTGAAGATTTTAGAAAATTAAAGACGGACCAAAGTTAAATATTGCTAATAATTATATTTTTGCAAGTGGTCTCCATGTCTGCAACATTGTTGCATAGCAAAAATGCAAAGGGATGTTATATCTCTCAAGAGAATGTTCTAAAGAGAACTCAGTCGTAGCCAATTCGAGCCACTCTGCGCTGGATGCGGTCAAGTAAGTTTAAGATGCTGGCACTAGAAAACCCCGGCCCAGAGATGAGAACAGTATTTTCATTTTAGTTGGTGCGAGTCCACGATCTGGGTGTGCGTAGGCATATCCGCATGTAAAAGTGGCGCTTCGCCTTATCAACACTCCTCTTCCCCGAGACCCCATATTGGTTGTGGTGGGAATGGGGAGAGGTCATAAGGTGGAACTTCACTTTGGGTCAGCCAAATGGAATCCTCTTTGGATGATACTAAGCCGGATACTAACCACCTCCCGCCTATGCTGAAACCTGTTCGAATTTGGGGAATGTTTCAAATTAAGGGGGAAAAAAATTACTTTAGGATGTCCCATACCTTGACTATTAGAATTAGTCTTCTTAAATAATTGAACCATTTTGCAGTGAAAAATAACAAAAGTAATGTTAAAAAAAATTCACAATGTCCTGATAACACCACAGAGGATGGAATAAAAAGTTCAATACCCTGAAGTACCACATCAGCAACAGAATCGGCAACAACGCTGGGATCTTCCGGCGAGAAGCAAACCCGCGCCCAAGGGTAGGATGCAAAAAAAGACCGCATCTCGTCCCAATCGGCAGACCTATAATGCCAAACACGGAGGCAAGCTGCAAATCGCAACTGCGATGGGAGCGTAAGTGGCACCGTACTCCGGATCAGACAATGGTCCGAAGAGCCCAGAGGGGCATCGACGGAGACCTGATATCCGTCCAGATGAGAGGTCAGCAGGAAAGGTACATGATCCTCCACATCTGGGATCCGCGTAGGCGAAGTAACCAGTTGTGTTAAACCATATGCCAAGGAAGTCATAAACAGATCTACCCGCATGATCGGTTAAACGGGAACCAAGTCATTTAGCGTGGTGGGCGTTAAAATCACCGAGTATCACGATCTCTGCGGATGGGACCTGTTGTAGCACGGAGTCTGCAGCCATTTGGACGTGGTCAATGAGTCGGTCTGTGTCGGCATTACCGCTATGGGACCTATAGAGGAACCCGTAGACGCGGGGATGGTCGTCGCTGTCTACACGCAGCCATAGGATGGACAGGTCCGTACCTTCAAGACTGCCGAGGCGTCGAAAACAGATGTCCTCTCTGACATATACGAAACCCCAGCTCGAGACACAAAGGAGTGTTCTAATTTGTACCCCGGGTAGGAGAGATATGAAGTATCAGCCGGAGAGGACACCTGAGTCTCGGTTAAAAAGAGCAAGGCCGGCTTCGCCGTCTCTAGATGATAATGGACAACGTTAAGGTTGGAATGAAGTCCCCGGATGTTGCAAAAATTCACGGATAGCGTGACAGGGGTCCCCTTGGTCTTGTTGCTCCGCTTGCCCCGAGCAGTTTTAGTCGCGAGCGGAATTTTGCCCCCCCCCCCCCCCCCAGAATATGCGGGGCAGCCTGAGCACTCACGCTCAGGAGTGGAGTAGTATGGTCGTGGATGCTCAGCGAGGGATTCTCCAGGGGTGCTGGTACCCTCCTGGGGTAGTCTTTTCTTTAATTCCGCTACCATGTTGATGGGGGGGGGGGAGGGGGGAATTGGGCCTCCGGCCTCCTGCACTCACCAAGTGCAACGCAAAGGTAAACCTCTACTTCACGCTGGTATTCTGTGAGGTCGTGGTACCACCCCGGTTTGAGCCGACCCATCCGTGCGACAGCAAAAGCTGCTCGTCTCTAGCAGCTCTACCACTGTTAATATATAATTATTATGTAATTCATATATTTATATAAATCTTATTTAATTATAAGTTATTGTCCTCAGTTTAATTTTATATTGCATGTTGTACCTATCCGTCAAAATATATTACATTGTCCCTTTTACGTTTGGTTTGTCAGGTAGAAATCGCTTATAGCAATATGACCACCGTTTGTAGTTCTTAAGTTTTCCGTAATTGTAACCACTTTGTATAAATGCAATAGAGTTATCTATCAGTGGCAAAGCTAGGGCTCCAAACTAGAGCAACCCTAAAATATGTTTTTGTTGTTTTTAGCAGTTTTATTAGAATTTACCTTTACTCTTTTTCGATTTTACCTTTTCCACGCCGATTAGCACTTTAACACACTTCAATTCATTACAAGAAACACTATTATCCTCCATTTTCACTAAAAATCTATAAAACAGTATAAATTTCCAACTCAATATTGCGAATTTCATTCGGAGTATACATTGGAATGTGAAGTTGTAAAGTGAACTTTGCAAACGCACGCCCCCATGCTCGATAACTTCACACTGAAAGCCTGGCTTCCGATCTCCATACTAATTGCTATATAAACAATCGTAGTAATATTTCATTACAGAACATTTTGCCACAGGTTAGAAAAGGAACAATTGTCTTCTCAAAAGCCCGATAAAAAGCTCACGCATGCGAGAGAGACAACTAATCGCTCATTTCAACTACTTTTTTATGACAGCAGTATCGCACAGTAAAGCGATCTGCCAAGTGTTGACGTTATATAATAAGGCTACGAGGTCATGAACTGTGTAAAACAAAATACGGCCTGTGTCGAAGACCACACAATGATGCCCCGCTTGCATGAGGAGACGCAACACGAGCCCAAATCAGCCTCGTAATGAATGGAGCACAATTTGAGCCGCATCTCATAAGACCACGGAGGATTTAGAGCGGTAAGCTTTTTCATAACTAATTTTTTTTAAATAACTTAGTACTGTACTAATCTGAATAGGTACATAACTGAATACATGAGAATAATAAACATAACTACACGATGAATAAAAACGCATGACTCTAACCTTGGTTACATTTCATTTAAGTATTTTTTTCATTAGCGGGGAATCGAACCAGTTATTTGGGGTTATTTAAGCTGTGAATGGGTCTGGCCAGCCGATTTTGTTAAGAGTATCAAAAAATTGTATAAAAAATTACGAATTCAACGGTATTCTTATTTTTTTCTGCCTTTAAAAATGACTGAAATATTGATGAGTAATGTGGTGTTTTACGGTAAGGGCGACCGCTTTGCTCCGCATTGCGTTGTGACGTCACAAACGGACACGTCGAAGCCACCAGTAGTCTTTATTGTTATATTTTACTTATTCTCTACATATTTATTACTCCATATTTTTCTTGTCATGTTATTTATTTATCAGTAACATTTATTCTGTTTTTTTTTTAATTTCTGTTATATCACGCTCCTTGAGAATAAAAGTCCGATATGAGAAGATAAAATCCTGTAGATCAAGTTATACCTTAACGCAAAATTTCATCAAAATCAGTTTACACGCTTTGAATGTTTGCGACCATTGCACTTTCAAAACAGTATAGGTACCAACTAACAACGTTATACCGCAATCAGTTTATTTAAAAGTAAGTCAAAGTAAAACTAGGACCATATGTTTGCAACCACTGACGAACTACGTAACCAACAAAATTTCTTCACGTGTCACTAGGTACTAAATAACAGTACGAGTTGATTAATACTCACTGCATTAATAAGTTTAAATAAGTTTTTTCATTTTATGTCGTTGTAAATCATGTGCAACTTCATAGTTCAGTCAGTTAATACCTACCTATGTATTACTGCTTAATTACTAATCTGGTAATGGTAGCCGACTATCTTTTTTCAAAGCCCGCTTCCATTTCCTTTTTTATACAGCACTACACACCGTGACTATACATATAAATATAATCATATAAAAGCGAAATGTTTAATACTTTAGTTTATAAATCAAATCAAATATTTCATTTGTGATTCACAGTTTACAAAAAGGTCTTATTTAAACACCAATAAAGTTCAGTATGTGATTAGCCTCATGGGCATACAAATGTCAAATATTATTACTAGTTCATTGATTACATTATTCATCATAATAGATTAGAGTATTAGATTAAATTATTCAT